TCTGGATGTTTTATTGCTGCATGGTCTATAATAGACGTGTTGGAAAATATGTGGATTATTTTATTTCTGTTGCGTTGAAAATTCTATAGACTGCAGGGTTTACGGGTCGCGTGATCGCGTGCGTATTAAAAAAAGTAAAAAGCTGTCCTAGGATATTGAGGACGGATGCAGCCACTGTTGTAGGTGGGAAGTTGACAATATAAGATATAGACGGGAATTTAATGTACATCTGTAAGCAACAATTAACCATTGCTAACGAAAGTGAAGTTCGGTTGATAGTATTGCTTTGTCAACAATATATATACCTATCTAAGTCATACTTTGGTAAAATAATTGCATATGCATTAAAAATTATCTTTACTAATATTTGTTTAATATCGTACCTATATTTTCCCGTTTTTTTTTTTTTTTTAATGTTTTTCGCATTTACTTGGAAAATTCCTGGGAAAACCAAAAAATAACCTCCCTAAAGTAATATCCCGATCAGATTTCCTATCAGAAAAAGCGATATCATTCTAAATCTGAGCAAAATTTGCTGGTAGAACAGTTGTTCAGGGGAAAAAAAGGGCGTAATATTTGTTTTACTTATACCTAAATTTCGTACATTTTCCAGTTTTAACCCATTAATTTGGAAAACTCCTGGGAAATTAAAAAAAAGACCTCCTAAAGCACCTTCCCAGTGCGATTTCCATTCAGAAAAAACTGTTATCATTGTAATTCGGAACGAAATTGCCGGCAGACAATGGTGTCCGCCACAGACATATAAATGTATGTACTGCGCTTTCCGTATCCCTGCCTGTATATTTTCAAAAGACAACACGTAATAAGAGTGACGGTATATTATATTATGTTCATGAGAGTATGGGACGAACTACAACTACACATCGCCGGGGGAAACTATTAGCTACTAACTAAATGGTAAATAGTAAATACTCAATAATATTGCATCGTTTGCTCCGCGACGGGTGTACTTTTTCTATCTCTCTCTCTCTCTCTCTCTCTCTCTCTCACATTACATGTTGCATTTGTATTTCTCTCTCTCTCTCTAAGCGCAGTCCGTATTAAAGTCGTATGTCAACGGTGTCCGTAGAGAAAAACAAAAAAACCCGTCATTGTAAGACCAATACACTCCTCGGTCCACTGAGAATCTGTAAACGTTGAAAAGACGCCGCCGTACCGGGCGCACGGCCCGCGTGAACCCGTAAATTCTCGATCGCGGGACCCGGACTCGGACGCGCCGCGACAGATTCTCGGCGGGAACGTGGAGGGTTTCCCGGGGTAGGGGGAGGGAGGAGAGGGCGAGTTCGGCGTTGGGTCCGGACGGCGTCTGGGAAATAAATGAAACGCGACGGACAATCGATTGCTGATTATTTTGCGCGCGCGACGCGACGTCGTCGGACACACGACGCGATAGCATAACGCCCATTGCGATACTGTCGAAAGCGGCGTGTGCGACCACGAATGGTAACGGTAACGCGCGGGCGGGTTACACCGTTTTTGTTTATTCGCTTTTTGCTTGATGTCGCGCGAACGCGAAAACCGCCGCGGCATCGGGATGCCGGCGCCGTCGGACGCGTCCGCATATTATTACACCGTAGGTCGGGTTATAACCACTCCGGCGCCGCGTCGCGTTTGGCGCGTGAGGGGAAGGAGGGGGGGGGGAGAGAAACCGAATCGAAAACCGTTCGGCTCTCTGCGTTTTCTCGGAGAGAGATACGATACTGTCGTAATGCACGCGCGTCTCGCAGCGCGTTGCTCCCCTCCCCTTTCCGACCCCCCCACCCCCGCCACCGTTTCCCCCACCCTCTCACTCACTCGCGCTCACGCTCTCTCTCGCTACCCGCGCGCGTTCATCACGAAAACCATACGTCCTGCCCGCGCCCGGGTACGGGTACTAGGCAGACCCGGGGAACCCGTTGTAATAATAATACGTTGAAATACGCGGCCGTACGACTCGGGGCGATCATATCGCGTAGGCGGGTATATGGAAAACATACAGGAACACGTCGGCGCGGTCGTCGGCCATTGGTCGTCGAAGCACAATCAGCGTTACGGACTTCTAGCCCCCGAAAATCATACAGTTACGCTTTAAAAACGTGGCGCTTGAAAGTGCTGCATTCTGCTAAAACGAGCAAAAAAAAAAACCATTAAAGTACGCGATACCGTACAACATAAACAGGATTTCTGTTTGACTCTGCTGCTTTTAACGCGATTCAGAAAAAACATGCAAACGCTAAAAAGTCCCTAAGCCTAAAACGATAACGTCATGTACGTCCGGAGATAATATTCTCTTCGTTTTGTCTATGGGTGAAATAGCGTTTCGATAGGGTCGCCGAGGGGTTATCGTTTTTTTTTTTTTTTTCTGTTTTCGTACCTAATTAAGTGTAGATAACACCTCTATTATCTGTCCAAATATAAAAAAAAACAATACGCTTTTTTACGCGTTGCGGAGATTATAATATTACATGCAGTACCTACCTATCGCGTGGAACTTGGTGACTTTGATAATTCGAGAGGACGGCGGAGGCGAGATGGATTTTTGGTGCAAAACGATTCGTTTAATCTATTCGCGCGCGGCTACACTTTTTACGATTATCACGCAATAATATTGTTTCCGATCGATACAATCGATTTTATAATATTATTATGTACCTACTCCGTTGTTGTTATCGTTTCAAATTCGTCAGAGAAGATGAAAAAATAAATTGCGTATAAAAAAATATTTTTAATTGAATCACGAAAAAAAAAAAAATTTGAAAATGATACATTTTGTAAATTTTCCCGATTTGTCCCAATTAATACGAAATCCTCTAAGAAAATCAAAAAAATGACTCATTTAATGTACCACCCGAATAAAATTTTCTCTTAGAAAAGGTCCTACAGTTGAAAATCGGAGCAAAATTTCTGGTAGAAACGTTGTTTTCAGAAGAAAAAAAATTTGTTTTTAAAATAAACATCATTTAAAACCAATAACATTATTCCTCGCTTCGGTCAAAATCAAAAATTACGTTCCGTTTCGAAAGCTCGCCTACCTATTATCGAGTGTTAAAATCCTATCAGTCACTCCGTCGGACATTTTAGGCTATAACTTTTAAGCTACATAGGTGCTGGAGACTGGACGATAATATATTGAATGTGGGTCGAGATCGATAGGTTTCTACGCGCTACCATCAATAATTTAACATAGAAATGAAATAGGAGTGTCAGTAGTGTGACCCCGCAGCATGTAGACATAGTTTTTTATTTGTAGTTTCTAGTTATGAATCAAAACAAAATTGATAAAACTAAACAAAACTGTATCAAAGTCACTCAGTTCTACTGCGCGTAAATAACCGAAAGCGTTTTACTTTTATTATGAAAATTCTAAGTTTATAAGTACGACTACCGGTTAGCGACTTACCCCCCCTTTGCGTGCACTGCACGTTTCAATATTTGTATCCGCGTAATGTTCTCAAGTCCTTGACAATCGAAAGTCGACACATTTTTCTATTTTTTTTTTTTTTACATCTAGATAAATTCCATACATGAGTACCTGACGACCGTCTTAACCCAGATAATTTAATTATACTTCGTTGTCTTAATCGGCTGAATCTAGACCCGCAAGGTCTAACCCAACCTTTTTAGGTCCACGCCACAGGCACAACTAGGGGGGTGGAGGTGCCGGGGGATCTTTAGCATCCCCGAAAATGCCCGGCATATTTTTTTTTCAAAGTATTGACCGAATATTTTATCCGTATATTTCACAATTGATCAGCCGCAGGACAAATACAGATTGCCCATGCACAAACAATGCACATTGTGTGTAAACAATATTAAGTTATGGTTATCGGATTAATAAAAGTGAATCTTTTATGTGATTGTTTTTAATACAATAAATGCATTTATTTCTTTAGGAAAAGTATATTATTAAAATCAAAATTAATCACTATCTAATAACAAATAAACGTAATTATACAATAATGATCGACAAATTTTACCAGAATATATTATGTTATTTATATTTTAACGGATAAAAAAAAAATCAGAAATAACGTTAAAACGTTAGAACTAAAAATTTTAATTTTTAGTGTTTTTTTTTTTTTTTATTATTATTATTGTTTTAACGCCTCCCAACGGGAGCGCGCCCCCCAGGATTGAGAATCCTTGTTTTAGACGATTTTTTTTTGAAAAATTATATTTTTTTTTTTTTTATCACTCTTATCTGTAGCTAACTCGTACACGTAATATTATCCGCTCGCTTCAACATTGACCGTCACGGAACTACAACGACGCCGGAACCAGTTGTAAGCAACGGGATAAGGTCACCCGTATTTTTATCGTTAAAAAAAAATACTCCCACATAGTGACCGGGGATAACATTATTTCCCAAAGTGGGTTTTTTTTTTAAACGAATCCTTAAACGTACACGACCCGCTCGTCGAAAAGCGCGTTCAGTATTTTTCGCGAACAGTAATATTGTTATCACAGTTAACAATATCGCCGAAACGCAGTTTTTTTTTCCTATGTAGGCAACCAGGTAACCGGGTTGCTCAAAAGTGCATCGCCCCAAACTGGTACGCCCCATAATAATAATGGTGATAATAATTATGGAATAAAATAATTCTGGTTGTCGTTTCGTGCTGTATTCAGGTCAAACGGAATATTAAAGAGTGCGAGAGCGCACATAGTCCGGTGCAGTGGTGCGTGCGAAGCCCTTCCGCGCGATTATGTAGGTCGAAGTCGAAGTGTAACGACGGGCGGTCGGGAACGGGTGGGACGGCAACGCGCGACGGCGACGACGGCGAAGCGCAGCTGGAACAGCCGAACGAACGGCGACGGGTGGCGGACGGACGCGCAAGCGCCACACGTTCACTCGAATCAGCTGTGCGGCAGCCGCGCCGCCATCTGTCCGACCGGCTTGGAGACACGCAAAAAATCAACCCCCCCACCCCGCCGCCGCCGTAGGGAACAGCTAGCGGGCAGCAGCACCAGCAGCACCGCCACTCACGACAAACAGCAGTAGAAGGCGGGCGGCAGTCAGACGAACAGCTTGTCGGTTGCGACGGTCATCTGTGGGTATTGTACCAGTGTTGTGTGTTCTCAACAACAGTCGGTCGTGTCGGACGCTGTGCGAGTTTGCGAGTTGTTCGTTCGCGCGGTGGTGCACGACGTCCCGATCCACCGTGTCTGCGGTGCCCGTCACGATGATAAGTGTTGCTGTTGATAGTAACCGTTGTACTCGTAGTCGTAACGTTCGCAACAATAGTACGACGCCAATCGTTTGCCGTAATTACCATAGCCGTAAGTCGTGACGGTAATGACGGTTCGCAGCATATTTTGACACGGCGACATTATTGTAGTGAACCCTCCACCGGGTTTTCCAACGTACCGGGAACTTTTTAATTTTTTTTTTTTTTTTTTTTAATTCTTTCGTTTCGTTCATTTCCGTTTCTAGTATTTTAATATTTTATTTCTCGACCACCAACGGTCGCGCGTCCGGCGGCTACGACTACGGCGTAGACGGACAACGTGTGCGCACACGGTAAACATCTTTCTACGCGCCGTTCAAATGGCGGCCAGCCCGAACAGCAGCAGCAACACGACGTTGGGTAGCACGGACAGTGGCTGCAGCGGCGGCGGCGGCGGCATCGCCGGCCACGGTATCGGTCCCGTGGTCAACTGCGGGGCGACCAGCCCGTTCGGCCAACAAGGCGAGGACCGACTGAAAAGCCTGTACCCCATGGTGGACGAGTACGACACGCCGTTGCCACGTAGCTGGAACTCCAAAGACAAGTTCACTAATCTCGGGCTATCGCAGAACAACATACGTGTACATTACAAAGGTACCAAATAAGTGTGAAAAAATTTAAAAAAAAAAAATAAAAAGAGTATCGCGGCTGGCCGTGTGTAAACGTTGCGCCAGTGCGACGTAACAGTACCCGTCGCTGTTGTGTTATGTGAATGTGGGTAACAAAGAATCAGCTGATCATTGTTTTGTTTTGAGCGCGCTGGGTCTATCGAAATCCGACTGCAGCTATAATTTTTCTGGACGTGTCTCCTGGAGTTATTTCCATTCGTTATCGCCGCGAACGCTGTAGATCTTATTCCCGTTTCGCCTTTTACGGATTTTTCTTTCGTTTTATTTACGAATTGTTTCCCAAGGTCGACTCTTGATCTCCCGTCTCCCCCCTCCCCCGCCACTACACCTGACCGTCGTCATTGTCCCATCCCGTGCGTCGTAGGCCCGTCCGTGTCTACGCGTGTTAAACGTCTTGGTGGTACACAATACCCGTTTCGTTGGTTTTTTTTTTTCTCTCTCGTTTTCGTTTTCGAAATTCCACGCCTCCCCCCCCCTCATTCTCCCTCGAACGTGCACACGGCCATTCTACTACAGTTATAGTATTATTATAATCGCTCGTGGTTGCGCAAATCGTACGAAAACACGCGATGCGTTTCGAGTGCGTTTCCACTATTTCGTATTATACGTATCGCGTAGGTGGAACCTTCCCACTAACCGCTCGGGCCAGTGCGTAATAACTGGCCGAATATCGTTCGATCGGTACCGAATATGGTTTTGCGTGGCCAAGGGATCCCGTACGATGTAACCCGTAACGTACGCGATTGTCCCACGTCTCCCGGTGTGCTTCAATCAAACGTGTCCCAAAAACTTCCAAATGATTACCGCTTTTGTTCCGTGTGCACAGCTTGTAACTGGACATATCTGGACGTTTTTACATTGTTGTAGTTGCTGTTTAAAAATGTCAAATAGTCCAGTTACACCCCGTACAGGTGTACGTATATATAAATATATGGACAGACGAAACGAACAGTGACAGTGATGGTCCGCTGTTGTTGTATTACTATAAATCGATAAGACTTAGAAAAATGAATGCAAACAAATTCTTGTTAAACGCAATATTAAGATGTTGTTGTACCTACGTAATACAACCTTGTAACCTAAATTACTGTCAGGTTTGAATACCGTTAGGTATTCACACTGCATACACCACATATTTACCTAATCACGAGACCACCCGGTTCGATTAAGGAAAATATAGTTTACAGATTGTATCGTAAAAATACTTAATTATGTTATATCAAAGTTTAACCAAAAAAGCAACTATATAAAAATAAAATACAGGGATCCCTAAATTGTGAACAATGTTGACTCTGGCTAAAATCTGGTCCCGTCGACAACAATAATAATAAAATAGAATAATGTTGAAAATGAATATTTTAAACTGTGTCCTTCATAATATACTTGATGTTTGTGGCTCGGTTATTAGGCACCTACTTATTTAAAGTTTAAACAGACTTTGATTCAATTTCAATTGCATTGGTTAAGTGGGTTAAAAGCAAACATGATTAACAATTCTATATTGATGATACAATGAAAATGTCTTTATAGAAAATCAATAATATTCTGTGCCCTGAATTCAATTATCATGTACATAGATAAACATTAACAATCTGGCCTAGGCACCGTACCTTTGTATTATTTTAGATTGATCAAGTTTTTAATTTTGTAACTCTGATATATTTTGTTTCTAAATACCTATTATTATTTATATGTACCTATCTAGTATCTACCTATTATCTATCTATGCATATTATATTCTATATCAAAAACCAGTTAAGAAACATTTTATTTTCAAGGTTTAAGATTTTGAGTCTGGTAAAAATATATTAATTTGTTTCAATTCATTTATAATAATTATAATTTTAACTTTTAAGTGTAGTTGCCAACTACATAACAAAAAATTAATAGGAGTAACTATTTTGGATATTTGAAGTTAGCGAGGAAGTTTGAATTTGAAAACTGTTTAAAATAATAATAAATTACTATTTTGACACTTGTCCTATAAAGTATAAACCAAAGTTAATTTTGTTTTAATAAATTGCTAAACTTATAGATTTTTGCTAGCATGATTTAGGCTTTAACTGATATGCAACTCTCAGGACAGTTGTACTCCCAAAATGTGAGCCCTTGTGTGATTAATAATATAATAGTTTTATTATAAAATCTATTTACTGTAGCCATATTATTTTTGAAAAATTGTTTTACTTTTTCATTAACTAAGTGTAATATTTTTATGGTAGTGTAATAGTTACCTATACTTGTACTAAATTAGTAGACCACCATAAACAATAACAAAAAATAAAATAAATAATAATTGATCATAGCTACTTATACTTCTACTATCTTTCACTGTGTGTATACCTTGGTACATTTGAATCGTAGGTGTGGTCAGAATTCTACAGCAGGTATTGTTGAAATGTTCTGAAGTTGGAAAAAAATTTTGTTTTCATTACCTAAGTACCTATGTAATTTAATAATAACAAATTTATGTTGTGTCATTGTTTTTGTTAAAATGTAGTTTTTATTCAAAAAGTTATTATTTAACATTTATTCTCATTTATGGTTATTTATTGTAAGTGTACCTTTTAAATATTTTAATTTTATATTATCTGGAAAAAATTTTATCAAGGAATAAACCGCTCAAAAAAATTTGTATACAAAAAGCTAAAAATCTTCATATCAGTCTTCCATATAGGTGTAACTTATTTATTTACACTAATTTGTTTAATTATTTGTGTCTTATTTTTTTTTCTTGTTATGGTGGTTATGCTTATGATTAATGGTAGGTAAATACTCATATAATAATGTATAATGTAATTATTATGATAAGAAATACCTACTTGGTGAAAACTTAAATTTTCCTTGACTAGGTATGTACATTTATTAATAAATAAACAACATTTTGATTCAAACATATAGGATTAAATCTTTTAAAATAAAATTATATTTAACTTATCTAAAATCAATATCCAGATTTATTAATAGTATTTAGAATAACCATAGCTTTTGTCAAATTATTAACTATTACACACTTAATTTATTCGAATACAAACTTAGTATTATAATACTTTTACATAACAATGAATACAGGGCAATTTGCCCTATAGTTATGTTGTTAAAATTTTAGAGATTTGTATTTGCCTATGATTTTATTTCATCTTAACCGACTATAGTATTGATTTCTATTAACATAATGCACTTGCTTATTATGATTATGTACAATAATAATACACATTTAATAAAATAAACCAAAAGTCATAATGTTAATATTTTTATAGTCTTATGTAGTACTTTTAATATTTATAGAATCTTTTTTTTTTTTTAAATGAAATGTCCAAATTGAAATAAATGATCAATTTTTTCGTTTTGATCATAAGTATTCCTTATAGATATGTAGGAATTAAGTACCTTTAGATAAATATTTAAAAGTTTTGTTTATACCAGCTTAATGTGTTTCTAGTTAAAAAAAAATTGTCTGCTAAGATAAACTTTAAATGATAAGGTGTAAATGTATTTAGGCAAAATCATATTATATTGTAATTTATATTTTTAATTAATATTTCCTAGATTAATCACTAATCTAGCCAGAATTGTGTATTAAAATACAGAGTTTCTGGTGAATATGGTAAAGATATTAAATAATAAATAGGTATGTAATATTATGATAGGATTTCAAAACTAAAATAAATATTTTGTTGTTATTTTTCTAATATTTAATTTTAGTTTGGCAATTTCCAATAATCCACAAACAAAAATTATTATCATTTTATTTTTAATTATCATTTATGTTTCTATGAATTAAAATACTTATTTTCTTTGATAAAATATAAAGTATTTTACATTTTGATTGTGATATACCTGATGATGAATTTTTAATTCTAAACCAGTCTATGACTTATCATAATACTCCACGCGATACATTCATTCATTTATTTATTTATTATAAATATAAAGTATTAGATCATTTACGTATGTTGAAACAGTTAAAAACTACATATTTTGATATCTAATAATTTTATTTCCTCTTTCAATCAATATAATTTCAAATTGAAAAAAAATACTATTTATGTATTATAATATATAAATAGGAAACTAAAATTAATATAAAACCTTTATATAGATTGTTTGTGTTTTCGACCTGTTTTAATTTATTTTATTTGTACCTATTTAATATAATACAGGGTGATGATTTTTTTTTTTTTTATCAGTAATTTTCTCAAAGTATTTCAAGTAATTTTATTTCTGTTTTAAATTTAATCCTTATGGAATTTATGAAGTTTTATTTTAAAACCATTTTTAATTTTTTACCTTAAATAAGTTCATACTTTTGTTTTTCAAACTTTGAACTTTGTTCTTTTTGAACACAAATTTGAATAGAGAATATTTTTTTTAAAAATGTTGATATGCATAACATTAATATCAAATTTACAGTCTATGAGATACAACCACTTAAAGTTTACACTAGAGGAGTAATGTAGAGTGTAATTGTGCAATTTATCACCCATCCCTACTCCTCCAGTCTAATCTTTAAACAGTAAATCTGATATCAGTGTTTTGGATATTTAAATTTCTAAAAGAAAAATATTCTCTATTTAAATCTGTGTTCAAAAAAGGTAGGGTTCCTATTTTAAAAACAAAAGTATATACTTATTTAAGGTATTTGGAGTAGGGGTAGAAAAATTAAAAATGGTTTTAAAATAAAATTTAACAGATTCCACAGTGATTAAAAAAAAAAATCACTGTATACAGTGGAGCCTGTATATAACAGACACTCATAGTGATAGAACTATTCAAAATTATTCGTTTTAGAAAGATTTTAGTATTTTTCTAGTCAAATTCGTACTACTTAAGTTTTCTCAATGCTAAATTGTTCAACAAGTAAACAAATAAACAAGTCATTTTAATGTGTGCATCAAATAATTTCTACTTTTTGCTTTAAATCAAACAAATTTCAACAGTATAGTAATGGCATCGCAAAGTAAAACCAACCTACACTGAATAAGTATAACTGAGAATGATGGTTACTAGTTAAAATAAGATAATTGGACATAATATTTCTTTCTTTATTATTGATCGTTCATTAAGCATTATTATTTTTAATGATATAAAATAATATTTTGTTTCACTGTAAAATTATTATCATATCAATAAGTTGTAATGACATTGGCTGCTTCTGTTTTGGATAGTTTAAAATACTTACCTATCTTTTTGTTGGGATATTATTATTTTGCCCTTTAAAACAGAGTTGGTATACTCTATATTGTATAGGTACATTTATTTTGTTGCTCAAATTGGACTTCCTGGTGGTAAAGTAGGAGCACCTAATGCTTAATTGTGTTATTCAAATTTTTTTTTTATTATTATTTCCATCTATACTCAAATTGCCTAACAATAAATTATCTTTTAAATATATATTGAACTATTGCCAATTATTCAAGGTTTATCTTTTTGAATATTGTATGATGTGTACTAAAATAAAAGTTCCATTTTCTATTGCATTCTAACATTTTTTACCTATTTGTAATTGGGTTTAGTAAAAAAATGTTTTAAAATCTCATTACCTACTTTATATTATAAATAATTGTAAATTTTCTGACTCAGTCAGTAGGTATTTACTTGCATATTAAAATAACTACCTAACCAAAATTATATAAATAACACTTGTATATAATTATTTCTTCAGGTCATGGCAAAACACATAAAGATGCAGCCAGTGTTAGAGCAACACATCCTATTCCCGCTTCTTGTGGCTTGTATTATTTTGAAGTCAAGATTGTATCAAAAGGACGTGACGGTTACATGGGTGTTGGACTTTCAGCACAAGGAGTCAACATGAATCGTTTACCTGGTAAATATTCACAGACCCAAATAAAATATTTTTTAATTTATTCACAGTAGTATGTACTGTCATACAATTATCATTGATTAAGAGCACATTATACTCTCATGTGATGTCTCCATTTTATAACCTCACAACCTATTATCAAAAGTTGTTTATGGTGTGTAAGACTGAGATATGACACATGCAGTTGTAATGTCTCCTTAGTGATATACCTACTAATAATAAATTACAATGTCAGGTTGGGATAAACATTCATACGGTTATCATGGCGATGATGGCCATTCATTTTGCTCAAGTGGCACAGGTCAACCATATGGACCTACATTTACCACTGGTGATATTATCGGTTGCGGAGTAGATCTTGTGCACAACCAATGTTTTTATACTAAAAATGGAACCCATTTAGGAACAGCATTTACTGACCTCCCTGTAAGTCTACTGTTCTATTATTTTCTTCAAAATAAAATATTTTTAATAATATAATTTTATTCATTTTTTCAGCCAAATTTATTTCCTACGGTTGGTTTACAAACACCTGGTGAGGTGGTTGATGCTAATTTCGGACAGTCACCGTTTGTGTTCAAAATTGAAGAAATGATGAAAGAGCTCAGAAGTCAAACACAAATTACTATTCAAAATTATCCATTTTCTTACCCTTATTCACAGTGCCAGACAAATTTCCATAAGTAAATATAATAATTTTAATGATTGAGGTTATTAATAATATCTAATAATTTGGTTTTCAGAATGGTTTCTACTTATTTAGTACACCAAGGTTTCTGTGCGACTGCGGAAGCATTTATTTCTCAAACTGATCAGTCATTTGAAGAAGAAATTACTTCTATTAAAAATCGCCAAAGTAATTAAGTTTAAAAAGAAAAAAAAACGTTAATTAATCTGTTAAAAATGTTTTTAGAAATATTAAAATTAGTATCAACTGGTCGAATGGGAGAAGCTATTGAAATGACTAATAAGCTATACCCAGGGTTACTTGAATCGAATCGTAATCTTCTTTTTAAGCTTAAATGTCGTCAGTTTATTGAAATGGTTAATGGTACAGATTGCGATATAACTCCTAACACTCATGAAAATATTGAAATTCAAACAATGACTCGTCCCTCACCAAAACGTACATTGCAATCTAATCGAAGTCCAACGTCTGTACAAACCAATGGGTATGAATAAATGTAAAAAATATATATATATATATATATTGAAATTTATAGTTTTATTTTATTTTTAGGAGCATAAAATGTCAAAAGTTATCAAATACAACTGAAGTGACTGAAATGAATTCAGTAAATTTGATATTGAATGGTTCTTCTGATATAACTACAGTTAAAACAATAAAGAATGGGACACCAAAAATTAATGACTACCAAATAGAAAAAATGGACTGCAATGAAGACAACCAAATGACTGAATATATTATGTCACCTGAGAGTGTAAATGGGCACCATCAAAATCACCATCTGGATGGTGATTATAATTCAAATGGTTATCATAATGGACATTGTGGTGAACTGAGTAATGGTACATCAAGAGTTAGTAATAATGATAATGAAGAATCAATGGGTAAATTGCTAATCTATTAGTAATGTTGTGATTTATGATAATGGCTAATTGTTTCCTAATATTTTTATTGAAATGTAGATATTGACCAACCAGAATATCATCAACCTTCTAAAAAAATGTGCGGTGGCAGTAAACCTGGAGTTGAAAAAATGTTAGAATTTGGTCGTGAATTATTCCTACTTAGTTTGCAATTACGACAAGAACTAGGAAGAAACGAAACAAATAAAAAAATGTTACAAGTATGTAATATAAATATATGTAAAGTATTTTATCAAATGATCAATTGAATTAGAAAAAGAGGTATAAATACAAATTGATTTGTATTGATATTTTTTATGTTAAAAGGAAATATTCTATATTATTAAAACACAACATATTTTGTTTGTTTGTTTAGGATGCGTTTAGTTTATTAGCATATTCTAATCCTTGGGATAGCCCTGTTGGTTGGCAACTGGATGCTACCCAAAGAGATAGTGTATGTGCGGCACTGAATTCTGCGATATTAGGTAATAATAGAAACTTTTAAAAATACTATATTGCTTTTAAATTCTCCATTTAATAAACACGTTTTTAAATTGATATTTTAGAATCTAGTAATTTACCACGACGTCCACCTCTGGAAATGACTGTTGGTCATGCCTACGAACTAGTAAAGCTGATGGCAACATCTAGTATGGGAGCGTGTGCTTTCACCAACATTGATGAACTGCTCAAATGACCTTCGTGTATTGTGCGTGTCTCACTGCCACTGTTCTGCATGTATTTAGTACTTTGGAATTTAAAAATGAAAAATGTAAATTGTTTAAATAATTAATGTGAATTCATTATAGAGTTCAAAACAATTCGCCGCCAATTTTGAACACAATAAAAATGGCAAAAGTACTTTAAGCGGCCACATCATCCACAAACATATTTTGTACAAAAAACTTTTTTGACAATTACATTTCTCTGTTTAATTATGTAAGTAGTTTTTTTCAGTTAGAATTTTAAAATATTTACAGTTTAACACAATATAAATTAGCATTAAATTTGACAACAATGAAATTTAGACTTTACCAAAAGTAATATTCACTTTTTTCTTTATCTTGTTATATTACCTATTATTATTATTATTATTTAAAAATAAATAAAATTGATACTGTGTACTTTGAAAGTCTTATATTTTGTTAATAATTTTTTTTTCGACAAATATTTATATATATATATAAAAAAAACATATGTGAAGGTCTGATTAATTTGTCGACATAATGCCTTATTGTTGGATACATTTTTTAATTTGTTTTACGTAAAAATATTATTTGCGTATTTTATGATCTCTTCACATAATTTATGCAACATATAAAAATAATATTTTGTTGCTGATATAATGTGATCCTTGAATATCTTTTCTTGACAAATAAGTTTTTTTTTTTTTTTTTTATTGAATCAAATGACGTTTTATTTTTTTATTGAATAAAAATATAAGATTTAAATCGCCAACAATAATGTGTAAGATCATTTAAACATTGTACCATATTATTTAAATTATAGTTGTTAGTTTCATATGATTGTACTAACAAAATAAAGTTATAAAAATATTATTAGTTCGTATAAATATAGATTTTTTTTTCTGAAAAAGTTTGTTTATTTTTTTATGTACTATTATTGAGTATGAAAAATAACTGTTTTATGTATTTAAAATATGGTTGCTTAGCAACATTGTAAAAGTTATCAAAACATTAAGCTTCACATGCATAAAATGACATGTTTGTGTGTTATCAATTTATTTAATATATAAAATCTTAATTAAAATACAGTGTTATTGTTATTATTTTGATTAATCCAAATTAATTAATTTGATTGATTAATGAATATTATTAATATGGCCAACGGATTGGTGTCTCATAACAACACAGGTGACTATAATATTTACACTATAATGTGTGCACAAGTAAATATTTTGAAGAATTTTTAGGTTAAACCACTTATGTTTCATTACTCTTTAAAAAATATTAAACCTTTTTTGGGGAGTTAAACCCCTAGCCCACCTTTTTGTGTACATTTCTGATTTACACATATCCCTAGGCTGTGGTTAATTTTTTTTCAATAGCAATTGTAACGATAATATTTTCAGAACCAACGGCACAAATTTTCAGTATTCAAGAAAAATCTGACTGGATTATATATAATCGTTACGTACAACGAGATTTGGAATTGTGTAAATTATTAATTGATCAAGAGTTACGGCACACCAAAGACAATAATGATTTTGCATTTTACATATTGGTAATAATAATATTCAATTTAAAAATGAGGAATACAACTTACAAATAAAAGGAATTAGATATGCTTGATAGGAATTGATTACATATAACATATTCTTTCTGGAAGCATCTATATATTTATTGTACCTATATAATATTATTTTTACATATCTTTTAAGTATATTACAAGTATAGTATATGTTTTAGGGGTTAATATTTAGAGAAGAAGGTAAGATAAAGAATTCATATTGGTGTTTTCACAGATATTACGCATTGAATCCATTATGCGTAGAAGGAATTAAACAGATTGCTCGATCATGGTATGTTTTAATTATGAGTAGTATTATATTTAACCACAGTAATAGCTATCAGTTCAATCTTATATTTATCACATTTTTTTTAATATTATGATTGTATCTTTAAAATTAATGTATTTAAGATACAAATTGTGATTTCTATCTATGATAGTATTATATTTTGTATTTCATTTCAATTTTAAATATTTTAAATTTGATAATTTGATCTTATTTCTAAAATAAAAAACAAGATTGGTTTCGTTGTAAATGGAGAATATTGGGCAGAACATATTTTCATATTATGTGCTGTCAAGAAATGCTTGTTAACTAACAAACTTAGATTTAAGTAAATCTAATATTTATAATGTTAAATAAACTTAAATTAATATTTTTTAAGTTCACCAGTACTTAGAATTCGCATATTGATATAATAATTAGTTTCTATAGCATATATAAAACAATTTTAATGAAATATACAAATTTAACAATATTCTATAAAATATATCTACTAAACAAAGCTATTATTATTTTAGATATTTATCATATATGTATAGAACTAGTACTTAGTAATTAGAACCTAGTACTTGCTGACATATAATAGGACTTGAAAACTTAAAATTTAAAATAGGTACCTAGATGATCAAAATCATAGGTACCACATATGTGTACTTACTGTGGTTAATAATTTATTTCTATTATTTTAAATATTGAACTATTTTTCAATATAATACTTATTACGTAACTATACAGTAATATGATATTATTTTAGTTTACTTTTGGGTAGAAACGACGAAGCCAAGAAAATGTATTTGGAAGCAGAAAAAATGTGCAGAGAACCAGACACTAAAATATATTTTAATCTCGGTGAATAAAAATAATTACAAATTTAAACATGTTATGTTTTTGGGTAACACGATCAAATTATTCTCCAATAATCAATGCAGGTTTGTGTTACATGAATTTGGGAGAATTGGATAAATCTAAAGAATATTTTCATCGCACTATACAACTTAGTAGAAATCAAAACGCATACGAAAAATTGGCTACGATATTCGCCATGGAAAGTAATTTTAAAAACGCGACCAGTACACTAATAACGGCATCCAAGTTAGTACATACCAACCTACTTAATTTACAAATAATATATTATAATTTACCCTTATTTGTATAAAATATTTTAATAAAACCCGACCGACACTTATATACCATAAAACGTATTCAATATGCGTGTACAAATTGATAATAATATGCACGTGGATACATATTATGAAAAAGAAAATATAAATACTTTGGTAGCTATTTATTTTATAATCACAGTCCTCTTGATTCGCATTTATGCATCCAAAGGTTATTTCCATTCAGCACGAACTTATCTGTGGACTTGGGTTTATTGTACATGAAACAACGTGAATACGATCAAGCTTTTAACGTACTCGGAAACACACTATGTCAAGATCCCGTAAATCCTAAAGCACTTTTAACGTTAGCAGCAGAAATTCAGGTACCTATATCGTAATATCAAAATTTACCCAGTAGTATTCCCATAGGATGTATACTGCTACCTATTAGGTCAGTGGCATAAACTGGAAGTCACATGGGGTTGCACTTGCGACCACTGAAAATATCATAGGGTCGCAAAAATATATTTTTTTTTTTTACGAGCTCAAACCAATCCTATATTACCAAAAATGATTAATTTAAAAACATAACTAATGTACGGTTTTCAAAAAAATAAAAATAAATGTAATATTTTTAAGTAGATGTTATAAATACCTAATCAACAGTATAGTAAACATTAATCGGGAGGTATTTCAGGACCCAATGTTTAAAATTTTTTTGATAAATCGTTTTTAGTGAAAAACGATTCTTAGTGAATTTCAAATATATATATATATGTTTTAAAATACCGTTATAACTTATAATGAACGTCGAGTAAATATATTCAAACATTTCTACCCTGTAAAAACAATTTTGTCCACGTAAAACCAATAAAAACACAAAATATCGGCGGAATGTTTTGAGTGTTATACCGCATCTAGAAAAGATCATTATTAGTATTCTGTGAAAATTTAACATCACTAAGACTACTTTAAACCAAGTTAGGTACGACTAAAAAAATAACAAAATTAAAAATAATGAAACTTCTCACAATTATTATGAAAACGACAAGGAAAATCAAAATATGACCATTTTATGCACCAACCAGACAATATTTTCTTTCAGTAAAGAATAAAAATAACATTCTAGAAATCAGGAATAAGATTAGCTACTGATAGAAAAAACAAATAATGAAACACTTACTATCGTAAATTTATCCGTTTTTCCTATGCGTTTTTTTCCGAATTTTCCCAAGTAGGTACCTATTATAAGAAATACTTTCAAAATTAATAAAAGATTTTCTAAATTCACTGATTTTTATCATAATGCAATTTAATTATACTATGTACCGTGGTCATTATGTTGTATTATCCGCGTTCATGTTTCTAATTTAGCATGGGACGTGGCTCTCCTATTAGAGGCTCGTCCTCCGAAAAAACCTTTCTGTCTTCATAATAACTATCTGCAGTATGCCCAAATTTCAGCCCTGTCCGTCCATTGGTTTGGGCTAGGCGATAATGAACCAGACAGTCAGTCAGGACATGTGATTTTATATTGTATTACATAGAATATAGATAGATAGAAGATATACCTATGTGCTCACCATGTGTTTGAAAAACCATAGGTACCTAAACTAACATATGTTATACACGTATATAATAGGTACGGTATGTACGTAGAATTCCAAATAATTCCGTACAAATAAAAAATTCGCCATGATATATTATCGGCATTGTTCATCCATACCACTTATGCCACTTAAATATAATCAGTGGAGCAATCGGGAGGGGGGGGCTGTTTTGGGTGTCTAGACGTGTTTAAGTAATATAAACGTGTTAAAATCGTGTTTTTTTCATGTAGATATTTGATACCCGCCGGCCGCCTTCAAAAAATCCTGGTTGCTCTACTGATCATGATAGTAATAAAAATTGTATATATTTCATCATATGTATAACTAAAAAATTCACAATTTTCATAAGATTTAAAATATATATATATATATATACTGTATACAAAATGTTTACTATCAATCTTACTTGATGTAACAAGTGTAGCATTCTAAAAACAAATTTTACCTATTTCGTAATTTATAAGGAGGCCATTTTTTTTTGATTTTCCAAGAAGTTTTCATAATAGGTAATTGAGAAAAACTAGAAAAAATTTTAAATAATAACTGACAAATTTACTGCGTTATACGATTGCATAATTTTAAATTTGCACGCTTTCTGTTTTCTACCCAGAAATTTGCTCCAGTAGAAAAACAGTGAGAAATTTTTTTTATTGAACTTTTAATCTTGTTGGTGACAGAGAAAGTGGTTTTTTGATTTCCTTTCTGTTTTTTTTTTAATAATTGAGCAAAACGAAAAAATGTGTAGCAAGAACAAGACAATTTGCGAAAATATTACTTTTATTATTTACAATTTTGTTTAAGATTCTGAGAGGAGCGTGAGATGTATTGGTTTTACAATGATGTTTTTTTTTTCTTTATTTGTGAACAACTTGTATACCAGTAATTTCGGTCCAATTTACATTGATAGTACTTTTTCTGATATGAAATCTAACTGGGTGGTACTTTAGGGAGATCATTTTTTGATTCCCCTAGAAATTTTCCCAACAAATCGGAAAAAAATGAGAAAATTTACGAAACCCATTTTGAGCTTTTTATAGACATTTTTATTTAGAGAGTATTTTACGTAATTTTTTTCAGTATGTACTCTGTGGATAAAATTGTTAAACTAAACAGAAATACTTGAAACTATAACAGGAGGTTCATTATAATAAGTCGTAATTTATGTATCCCACCTTCCCGTGGGTCATGGGATGCAACTAGTTGCAACTAGCCACCTAAAAAGCGGTCACACCTGTCCCCAGTATCAGCTCTTTTTTATTTTGGTGATTACGTTTAATTTTTCGTTTAATTGATGTATATTTTCTTACAAACGGTGTAAACCATACAAAAGATAAAATATCTCATGTAAGGTAACGTACAGGATGTTATAGTATACTCTTAAAAAAAAATCATGGGAACACCACTGAATATACCCTTTGTAGTAAAATATATAGGTACTTAACTTGTATTTAAATATTATTATCGCCAACAGAGAAATTTCGGTTACGATGAAGCATTGGCAAAATACACAAAAGCTGTTGGCGACTTATCAGAATGCTCTGAAACGTGGAACAACATCGGCATGTGTTTCTTTGGCAAACATAAATATGTCGCGGTGATGACAATATTATTTTTTAATTAAAAGTTTACTACTAGGGAACGGATTTTTATATAAATAGATTTATTCTATACATTCATGTATGATGAGAAATGTTCGCGATTCAAATCATTCTTATTAAAATGACGCCAATTTTATTTTACATGGGCATTTCAACATGATTTCCGTTTCCAATTCGTTATTTTGTTCAACATTGCAACCCGCGATTAGAGCAAGAAATTACTAGGGGTGAGCATCGGCGTGTGTCGATATTGACAACATCGGTTATAGGTTTTTTTTTTCGTTTTTCTAACCGATGTCAGACCTCCGATATTTATCGGGGGAAAAATGTGCTCAGTTCAATAACCACGATACTAACAAAAGTACACTAACAGAGTTTTTGATGCATAATTTTTAAACGCTATCGGATTTTTTTAAGATATCGGAAATTTGAATATCGGCTGTCGGATATATATGGAAAAATAAATCGGTTTATCGGAAAAAATTCATATCGGCTCACCCTCTAGAAAGAATGCTATAAATTTAAGTTTTCCGGTGGTTATAACAATTTTATTTTGTATTCATAGGTACTTTCCATATCCATGTTTCGTGTATTTCCCGTGCATTTATTATGCTTGCGGTAAAATTGTATTAATTTTTTTTTTTTTTTATTGCACACCGATTTTATAAATAATGCTTTCATATTTATGCATTTTAATTGCTTATAAATCCGTTCCTTAATGTAATATAAATTTCAAAAAAAAAAAAAAACCAATGTTATATTTTCAAATCAAATGTCATTGTTTTCTATTATTATTGCACACAGGTAAAATGAGGTGGGCACTTATATAGTTACTATGCCTACCTTTTTCCGTACCTAATAGTTTATTGATTTATTCCTGGCTTACGTGTCGTTGTTAGTTTGCCGCCTGATACCATTGATTAAATATACATAGATGAGCCAAGTCCACGGACAGTATGGTGACATGAATTCTAGTAGCTTAAGAACGTCAATGGGACGGCGGGTACGGTAGTTGCCCACTAAATAATTACTATCGAAATCGGGTGGTCGGTGAAAGTGTATACGGGCCGCGAGGGGTCGCCGGCAAAAGACCTCGGCTGGCTGTCGAACCGCGATAAAAAGCGCCTGTTCTGAGAATATAAATTAATATTGAATATTACCGTTATTTACTGAAGCCGAAACTATCCGTGATATTGTTTTACATTCCGAGTGAAGACACGGCGCCATTCACGGTATGCGGGTTTCGGCTGTACGGTAAAAAATTAATTTGGTTTACGCGGTTATTGTCAATCGGTGTAGTTGTTTTATACGAACACGTAACAATGGCATCGCTAACCGCGCCCTAAACATCGGTTATATTTATAATGTACAATTATTGTGGTCGACTATCATAACTTACGTGTGAATAGATTCGTGGAAGAAACATTTCGTCTAAATTTGACCATCAAATGTCTACAAAAATAATCGTGCAAATATTTATTTTCAAGTTTTTTGGTTTCATTTCAGATTCTGAGTGGGAGTTATGGAAATATATTGATTTTACAACGATATGTTTTTTTCCCCCTTGTGACTGGCACCACCTATTGGGGCAGTTAAAATAATTCGATTTTCTTTTCTGGTAGGAAACTAAATCAAGTCTGTACTTTTAGGAGTCAATGGTAAAAAATTCCCAATGGTTTTCAAAAATGTGTCAGGAAAAGCAACGAAAATCTGTGATGTATACGTTAAATCGATTTCGAACGGAATCGATTTTGGTTTTTGGTGTAACTCTAAACAAATTTACCGTAGATAGATGGCATTTTCACTGGATGTTTAAATCAACAATTTCTATATACCATACAATTTTGAAAATATTTTGACTCTTTTTGAGCTATTTATAGGCATGAGAAAATGTCTACTTTTATTTGTTTTTTTAAAATTATTGTCGATAAAATATATTTGTTCGGTCAAAATACTTGAAAATTAAATACAAGTATACTCAAAGGTTGATAATGGAAATTAATGGAAAATAATTCTATTATAAATTTTCATTGACTAATTTAGTAGCAAAAATATTATTTCCACAGTGTGTAAGATCCGCTGTCTTGATGAACTTACTTCTTTCGGAAAACGATAGAGTTTAAGACCCAACTCAGAACGAGCACTTTTACCACGGTTTACGTATGGTACACTTAGTACCACAAGCACTGAACATTTTAAAAATGTAATATTATTATATTGAACAGTAAACAGACAAAAATATAATAACTTAGCACATTTCAAATTTCGATTCCGCAATGATAATCGGTCTTGGTAAAACAAAACACTTCCATGGCATAACAAATTATTAACAGCACAACCTATTGGCATGGCTCCCACACTACTGCATTTCTGGCTTCCATTTCACTTTATAAAGCGTTAACGAATATTCCTATCACTTGGACCATCTATGTATAATTTAATCAACGCCAATACTTAATCAATTACCTACCTATAAATTTGTTTCGTAATGACAATTTAAAATATGTCAAAATATAAATAACTGGTTACTTATATTGTTTCTATAATAATTGTATTGGTACGCATATAATTGCCTACCTTACCTAGAACTAATTGAAGACCTTGGTGAAACAAGCAGCTAACTCAATTTTTTAAAAAAAAAAAAAAATACACTTTTTGAAGACATAGGTAATTTATAGGAAATAATCCTTCATAATTGAGCGAAGTAATCATATGAATCCGATACGATACGAGTTCAATACGATATAGATACCTATATTTGTATTTGTGATTCTTCGGATCCGCGGGCCTAACTACGAATGAAGTAGTAATGATTCGGAACGGACTGCGCACAGCCATTTTGTATTTATCCTGGCTGGACAGAATCACTCGGTTAGTTTTCTAGACCTAGCCATAAACTCAACGGTAGTAATTCGGACCGGACCGAGCCCATTCACTCCCGTGTTATTTGACACGGCCGAATAAAAATTAATTTTTGTTGAAAACCGTTCATCACTTATCGGTCCGTTAGATTGTAGATTCTAAGACGGTCGATTGTTGTGTGTCATGTCCGTATACATAATTAATATCTATGGACAAACGATGGACTAACGTGTTTTGAACGTTCTAATAATAACGCACGCTTATAGTTGCCTGGTTAAATGTCGAAGTAAATTCATCGGGCAGGGGGCGAGTTTCTATTTCAGTCGGGCTTGGACTTCAAACACAAAGCCCGTTCTGAGCTCTAGTCCTTGTCTATGGTTGTTGCTCCAAGGACTCCAATATAGACCTTCGTATATATATTTTTTACTATTGTTATTAAATGTTTTTCCCAAATGTTATCAAACAGGCTATCAGTTGTTTAAAACGCGCTGTTTACTTGCATCCGTTAAATTGGATCGCTCTGTACAACTTGGGCCTGGTACATCTGTACACCCGGCAGTATGTTTCAGCATTTGTGTTTCTGTCAACTTCAGCAAAGCTGAATCCGAACAACGCTAGTACTTTTATGCTAATAGGATGTAAGTAGTTTAAAATATTTTGTTTTCCATTAATCGCCCAATATTCACCACATTCCTGCAGCAGTTTTTCTACAGGAATTACCTTGTATATAAATATAATGTTAAATTATATCAAATCATTTCGACTACTATATTTCCTTCTACACATATTATAGGCATGACACTTATACAGGTATACTCATGTGATTAATACATTACTTATGTATTACTAATCTAGCGGGTAGTCTGATAGTGATTTCATATTAAAAACCTTCATAGGCAGTTTGAATTATTTTAATAACTAAAGATAGTTTATGATTTATATTTGATAATAATTTTTTTAAAAAAAAAAAAAAGCCCGGAATTAGGTAGATTTTTCAACAGTATACTATTATTATTATTTATAAATTATAAAACGTAATACTTACCTAACCGATAATAAAATTTACTTATGTACCTATGTTATTTAATTGAACTTTAGTGGTATTGAACAATATGGACGATACGAGAAATGCAGAAAAAGCGTATCGTAAATCCATAGAGCTAAATCCAAATTATCCAGAAGCTCTAATAAATTTGACAATTTTAGAACTGAACCAAGGAAAAGTTCAAGAAGCCAAAAATAGTTTCTGTTCTTTTCAAGAAGCATGTCTGTCTGGCGGTGCAATTGATAAAGAAGTAATGTTGCGGAATATAATATATTGTGTATATTTTTTTAAACACCTACTAATAAAATATTCTTAAGTTTTCTAATATTCTTAATATTCTACTAATTCTTAAGCAATTATAATTTTACAAAAATGTTTTTCTTTCACACTTTTACAGTTTTTAAAACTATATTTTCACGAAATTATATAGGGGTACTGTATTTTTTCATTTGGTAGAAACTTACTAAAATACTAACGTCTAACATTTTATAATTTCATAATACATTTAAAATAGTCATATTTAATTTGTATTGGGTATTGGGTTAAATTATCTTTGTTATGGGAAAAAATACAGTCAATAATCACTACTACTCTATTGATTTTAAAATATATACGTAACCCATGGCATATTGTCATAACTTTTGGTTAGTCATCTAAGATCCAAATAATTGTACACAAGGTACACCAACCGACCCACTCACTCGTAAAACAACTGGGATATTTAACTCACATGACACTAGTGTTCCGCGCCACTGAATATAGGCTACGTTATACAGGGTGTCCTAAAGTGTTATCCTTTTACTAATATATACTTTTTTTTGCAATCGGATTTTGCGCAAGGGGGACACAGAAAAATAATTACAGAAATTACAGAATAATTTTTATTTTCATTCCTTAATCAATGAAAACAATTTTTTTAAGTTTTCAAAATAGCCATATTGTAAAATATATTGTTCTAAACGTTTTAATGTATCATACATTCATATTCGATTAATAGTTTCTTAGTTGTAAGTGGCTTTAATTCTTACCTATGAATTTTCCACAACTCCATTATGGTGATATTCAGATTAGGAAGAATCGGTCACTACTGCGGTCTAACGATCATATAAGTTTATAGGATATAAATCTAAAGAACGGAATGAGAACGATTTTTTACTATTTTTTTTTTTTTTTAGTCTTGTTCCGAGTGCTTAAAAATTCAGTGATGACCGTATTTTTTTTTTACCTGAGTGAGTATCACTAACGCCCTAGAATAAGGGTGGTAAAAAAGGAGGAATGTAACAGTTTAAGGAACAAATTCCGAAAAAAACGATCACTTTCCGAGATTTTGAGTATCTTAAGTTATGTTGATCATTCTCTATTTTAGTGTCACTTCTAAGAAATTATTCTTTCTCCCACGGACAAATTGTAAGTAAATATAAGTTCATTCCCGGGATTTATAAGTTGACTGTATCCCCGTGAGGAGCTTTTGAAGTTTGAGTAGCAGCTGCCCCCCCCCCCCAAATCATTCTAATCAAAATATAATTTAGTAATATGATATTGTTATTATTAGTTTCATATGAATTTATCTTTACGCATAAAAACACAATGGATCCCACTGAACAAGTTTGTGAGGGCTCATGACAGTCGCAGATCTGAGGAGGGGGATGTTGGTTATGTTCGCCCCGTTCACTTTCTAATACACACTTATCTTAATTTATTATTGGGCTCATCCTACATGTGAACATTATATTATGAATTTTAAAAATAACCCGTTATCTTGTCCTGGATCCGCTACTTGTCCATGATTTCACAATTCACAGTATTTACGAATACATAATATTTACACTATATATTTACGATGTCTTAGCGCCATCTATTAGATGCAGTCGAAAACCCACCCAGTGATCGACCTACAATAGTACTAATAATTAAAAATATTATGTATTTATAAATATTTTAAGTTGTGAAATTATGAACCCTACGAACTTATTCAGTGGGCCAGTGGCATCATCATTTCGATTTTGTTTTTAATACGCATTGTGCAATCATTTCCAACACATCTATTAAAACCGTGTTATAAGAAATTAAGTAATAAAAATGACTTATAAAGTTTCATTCACAAATCATCACGATTATAAAGAACTTGACAATCATAAACAATATCTACGTAATATCCTAATCATGTTTTCGGTTTTAATTCAAAAGAAAAAACGAAATATTCAAACCACTAGGTAATACGTATGCTATCCACCATTATTCAGTCCAAACAAACAAAAACGATTTATAACATCGGGCTATATTACTTAATTTCACTTATAGTTAATATTGAATTGTAAATATGTACGCAAATGTATAGGTACCTTGACTATTCCTTTTCTTGATTTCGTGTTTCCGCCGAAAATTAAATTTAAATAATATCATACTTTCAGAGTTATAAAATAGATGTTTATTTGTACAATAGTCCAGTATTTAAGTAAATACGAATTTTTTTTTTCTAATCGGATAGATACTTGAAATAGGTACTTCGATACTGATATTATTTTTCCAGTACTAATAATAATAAGGGTCCATATAGTATAGTGACTGTACTAGTAACCAACCATCCGACACGCACGCATTTTTTCAAAGCGGCTAAAAGGCAATAAAAATATCAATAAATTTTTATGTTTTTCTCCAGTCAACAAAATATTGTTCGCGTAGAACAAAAATAAAAATTTTCATATAAAATAATACAAACGTATAGTTGTTCGACAGATTTCGCACATTTTTTTTGAATATGGAACTCCATCAAATGCGCCCCAAAATCGCTCCGAGAACGTCTCCTCTACCTGTAAAGGAAAATTTTTTTGTTACGACACATCACTAAATGGCAATATTTACTAGTTATCACAATGACTAACAACAGTATCTTTACACTTCACACTAGTAATTCTTCACGGCGTCCCCCCATTACAACCAAATATAAACATGAATAGTCATAGACGTAAATTGTAGGTACTTGTATACGTTTACAATAATATTGTATAGAATTAAACACTTCACGTGGGTACGTAGTATAATTTACGAAATATGCCGATTTTTTTTTCGAATTGTTTATAGCTATTTGAAATTTTCGCGTTTTTTGTTTTACAATTTTTCGTATTTTATGATTTTTGTCAAAAATTGAACTACAATTCATAACGATCAATTATTTAATTTAAAAAAAATCACCTCCTCAATGCACCAAATAAATCGTAAATTCTACGTGAAAGCTACTGTGGAGTTTTTGGTTGAAGCAAGACGAGAACTCGCACACAGGCAAAAAAAAGGACACCAAACTATAAGTTCCTAAACAATCAAGTAGGTACTTTATTAAGTGGGCCCATGTGATATAGGTCATGTTCATAATCAAAAATTTCAGTACTAAAACAACGATATGAAAGTTTAATTTCTTATTTATCCTGATGTTTAGCCAATATGCGTGTTCGTGTACGTATATACTTACAAAAATGTAGTCATCCTGACAATCCTGATTATTTTCAACGCTGTCCATATTGTACTCCGCTTGACAGTTTCCGCTGGCGTGTTTATAATTGTATCAATCTAAAATTAATGATTTTATATTGTATTTTTACCAAACTCAAAACACTGTGTTTAAATAAATAAACAGTATATTGTTGTTTAGCAACAAATGTATATTTAAACGAAATATTTCAAATGTTATACCGCATTACAGTGTCCGGTGTAAATTTTAAATGTACCCACTGTCACACTCATAGCGGCTTGTCGTGATAACTGGATAATTTATAATTGCAATTATTTACGGTTTTATTTAAATAAATAATTGTTGATTTTCAATACCTACGGTTAAGGTTCTGAGCATTGGTGTGTGCTTTTTTCGGTTCGCAACTGTTTTACCAGAAATCGTGCTCCGATCATTGACTTCAAGGATGATTTCTAGTAAAACGTGCCGTTTAGCTGATGTATTGAAATCATTTTTTGATTTCTTTGTAACTGAGAAAACATGAAAATTTATGTAATAGCGATTTTTTTTTGAAATAATCGTTTAAAAATAATCATAGACCTGAAATTGTCTCCGAATATTTATATTAGCTCTTCCTAGACGTGTTTTTTGATCATTTTGATGTACTTAAAATATTCTATCCGTGTATCTGAAACCAGAAAAATAATTATTCAACAATTTTAAAAAACTATAAATAACACAAATAAAACTGGAATATTTTAAAGTTCTTTTTGTCTAGAAAATTTCAGAATAAATAGAAATTTCAGTTTTCTACAAATATTTTTCACTGAACTACAACAAAACAATCATTCGATATTAAAAAAAAACCATGTTAAATAAACCACTGAAATATAGGTAACAGTTTTTCTAGTTTTCCCGCGTTATTAAAAATTACAAAGAGTATCAAAAAAGGACTTACCCTACGCAACAAGATAACATTTGTTACCAGAAACCACCCTTAAGTTGATGAAGCGAAGTAAGATTTCCAAACAAATTTTCAAAAAAACAAAATCTAATATATTTCTCACTTCTCTCGGATTCTAATAAAGGAAAGCGTTTCACCAATTTTTTCAATTTTGATTGGCCAAAATCTAGTCAATCGATTATAAAAGAACGTAATTTTTGATTGTTTTATATAGACAAAAAATAAATGTAAAAATAATATGAGGAAATTTCCGAAATGTTGACCAGATGTCAATCACCAATACTTGGGGATGAGAGGGGGTTAATTGCTTCACCCTTTCCTAAAATCATCCACGGCATCAACTCTTTTTTTATTTGAATATTTGGCACACCTTAAAGATAATAGAATTTATTATTTTGAAACAAATATTTTTTATCAAAATATTGAAAATCATAAGTGTATGTAATCATAATTGGTTTTAATTCAAACTCGTTACCAATCACGTTTGCTTACAATTTGTGGATTGTTTTTTATCCATTATTATGATCCATGAGCTGTGCCAATATAATATCACAATTTTTTTTCAACTAAGTAGTACATTTTTTTTTTTCCGTTTACAGTGTAATTTATTTTGATTTCAGATTTTTGAATTGGGGAAACAAGTTTCAGATATTTTAGATGGACATAATAAATGTGTTAAAGAAAACGATAATAGAACAACTGATCAAGAAGAAAATATAGTAGAATGAGGATTTTGCCACTGTGTAGGTATATTACAGTGTGCCTGATCAAGGGCTTTAGTAATACATAAATCTGTGTAATACATACTTGTATCAATAGATAATTTTTAAGATAATTTTTTAATCAACATATTTATTTCCCTTTATTAGATTATTAAATTAAACTTGAAAAGATTAACTGTAATTATCTGAAGGCCAACACTACATAAAGTCTACATTTTTAAACGCGCATTAATTTATAGTTTCAGATTATAATAAGTTTAAATGTCATACAAAAGATTAAATACAACGAATGCTCAATGAGATTATACAAATTTAGCACACTTTAAAAAGATTTCAATTATTTCAATAGAAGGGAAAGCCCTTGAAAAACAGAGCAATACAATTTGCATAAAACTTTTAAAACTTGTTTTTGTTTTTTCTGCACCAGTGAAGAGACATGCCATGGGCTGGGTACACAAACACACAAATTATTAAGTACATCAGTTTATTAAATACAATAACATAAAATTAATTAAGTTTCATTACAATGATATATTAAAAAATATATAATAATCCTTTTAGAGTTATTAAATAAAAACTCGGTATCTTCAATCTATACACGATTCACTAAGAGAATAAGAGAGTATTAAACATTTAAAAATAATGGGACTGGGTATCACATTTAGTACAATATATGGTTACATGCATAATATATAAATATATTTTAAAAATAATAATAATAATATGATGTGTAAATTGGAGAACTCGTATTCCAAAGAAGTTGCCAAAACATCTGCCATTAAGTACCAAGAATATCAATACGAATTATAATACATCTTCTTATATGATCAAAAACGTTTTTACCAAATTAAGTACCAGAAATATAACACATCATATTGTTATTGTTATCATTATTACTATGTTAGGACCTATATGTGTATTGCATATGTCATTACAATTGTATAACTTTTTGTGACTAGTGAAAATCACATTTCGTTTACTGTACGGTATGTACAGATTTTACAGATAGGTTAGGATTGGGTATAGTAAGTGTATTTAGGTAATTTTACATTATTATTATTAATATTTTACTAGCAATGTTATATTATTATTAATACTATTATCTTAAACAATATACACATGTAAATTATAAACTTTTCCCGATTTATTTAATTTTAAGTACAATATTATAAAAGTTTATATTAATGATATTTCACAACACTGTTTACCGTATTTATTTTATTGTATATCATTAAAATTATGACATAAATGAAAAACAAAATAAAAACACCATGTCAAATTTACAATTTTCACAATCCCCGAATACTAAACACGCCCATATAATAATATAATATCCAATCACGTTTGGTCAATAAACTAATATTGATACACATTGTCCCTACACCATTTAATTTTAATATTAATACTACAATAGAATAGTATTGAAACTTCAATATTGTTTTTATTTTGTATTTGTTATAAATGTTAACATAGAGTATAAAAACAAAAATTCACAGTAAATAAAATGTGATAATAAACAATAAAAAAATAGATACAAATATTTAAAAAAAAAAAACCATAATTATTCACCCCAAAAATGTAATTTTGTTAAGTACTTCAATTTTTTATATAGAAATATTACAATTCAGCTTCATAAGAGTTTTGTACCACCCATAATTTAATTTAAAAAACTGTTTTGCATAGAAACATTCTCTTGTACTATATTTATAGTACAATCAATGACCTTATTTTGTCATGATCTATCATAACTCTAGTTACTAATTTTTCAAACAAATATAAAATTTTATCTGCATTATAGCGGTCTTTTTATTTCCATAACATAAATACAATTTAAGTTATCAGATAACAAACAAGCAGTTTATTTGGTTTCTTCATTTACTTAATAAAAATGATAGACTAGGACTCAGCTGAAGTACAACACAGATAAAGTTCTTCCCTATGTTCTAAAATTTTACTACATCTACTATAAGTAGGTAGTAAGGAAAAAGCAAAGTTGTATCACACAAAACTATTTTCTAAAAACATTTTAGCTTATCTATTAATAACACAAAACATAATTATGATATTTTTAAATTTGTTTCAAAATTAATTTTAAAATGTATGAATATAAATTGTAATACTTTAAACAAATTTGTAATGATTGCCTAAATGAAACCCCCTTGAATACGAGCAATACCCTTACAATTTAATTTCATGTATAATGTAGCAAAATTTTTAATTTTTGTTCTTCTTTTAATGTATTAAGAGTAAAGATTGTTTATGATAGAATATATATTTAAGTAATACAAAAAAAAAAAAAAAAACAATACATTATAATGAATAAAATTTAAAAAGAAAGTAAACATCTTAAAACTAGTTTGACAACAAAATAGAATACAAAAATGTATAATTATATTGCACATAAGAAATTGGCTGCCAAAAATGAGAATAATTGTAAAAATTCAATAATAGTAGACTAATTTAATAATAAATAAATAATAATTAATAATTCAATGCACAAAAAATTATGGCACCATTATTTATTTTTATTGAGCTTGCGAGGAACGAAAGAGAAACTAATGTAGTGTGCCACGGATGAATCAATTCTTTGTTCAAATAAATCATATAAAACGTATGTTTTTAATAGTAACACTCTTAATACATGGGACATTTTTTTTATCAGTAACAGTTAACAAAAATTGTATAATAAACCAGTAAGTTTTATCAGAAAAATTGTCAATGAATAAAACAAAATGATTATTATAATATATTTAAAAAAAAAATAATAATAATAACCAAGAAATATTAAAGAAAATATTAAAAAATTAAACAAAGGTTACTAAAGAACCAAAAGGACGGCAATTCAATGCATAATATTAACAACCGGATGTTCAAAAACAGGACGGATATTGAAACCACGGTTAAAGGGACTCAATATGCAATGTCAAGACTTAGTTTAAAAATAAAAACTGTATTGAGGACGGTTTACACATTTAAATCAACCTCAACACTGAGGAAGAGGTACACAAATGATGTTAGCTGTTGTTGTTTTTTTTTCAAACAAAAGAACAAACAACATGTCTTACCAGTCACGGCGTTGAGACTGATTGTACCTTTTTGAAGTTTTCGAAGGTGTGGAAGAATTAGGTGTACCCATTGACCTCCGTACATTCTTCATTTCTCGGTCCATTTCAATTTCTTCCAAGCGCTGAGTGACCATCAATTTCTGTTGCACAGATAATCGTAACAATTGGTTAAGAGTCTTTTTTTCTTCTTCAGCAGCTGCTAACTGTCGCTGTAAATCATCCATGTGAGTTACTTGTTCTTCACAGCGAGCAGCGAACATAGCTCTTAAACCTGTAAAAAAGCAATTAATAAACATAGTATGTGTGTAATATGAGCTATTTTATATTATGTATTATGAAAAATATTTACTTGAAAATGTTGCAGCATCTTCTTTGAGTGTACGCAATTCATTACGTAATTTAGTCATGGTTTCTGTAACAACCATTTTCTCATTATCGTATTTAGATTTTAAATTGTTCAATGCCACCTCTGCGGTGTTCTTGTTTGTTTTTAAAACCATGCGCAACGATGATATTTGTTCTCTCTTTGTAGCTAACAGTGACTGTAATTTCATAACTTGTTCACGGAGATCAGACAATTCATCATTACTATCCATCATCAGATTTCTTTGACCTACAGTATTGTATTTAAATAATTAATCAATAAAATTAATCAATGAATAACTCTAATATCATGATTATTAGTTATTACCATCAGTGTTTTCTCGATTAGCAATTTTAGCATTATCTATTGATGTATTTACAGATTCCTTGAGCAATTTAATTTGATTTAGTACATTTCTCAAACTTTTCGCCACAAATGAAGCTTCAGTTAGACTTTCCAATTCTTTTATGAATACATCCGACTTAAGTCGTGTCCGTAACACATCGAGGCGAGGATCATTTTCTTCAGTTTCTTTGACAGGTTTTACAACTATAAAAATTGAAAATATAATAATATTTTTGTCTAATTTTAAAATTTACACCACCCTACCAGTATTCAATGTTATAGATTTGCCATTGAACACAGATATTTGGTGGGCAAGTTGAGCCAATTCATCAGTAATAACAACAAGATCATTTTGTGCATTATCTAAAGAAGCACTGGCATCTGTAGCTAATTCGCCCAATAGACGAACATTTGACTCGAGTTCCATTGTTTTTTGTTCTTTATCTATTAACTATAATAATTGTACAGAATTATATTATATAAAATGTTGTAACAAAATTAAATTACATCAAATTAAAACATATAAGAGCACAACAATATAAATACTTTATTTTTGAGCACGATTAATTCATCTCTCAATGATAAAGTTTCATCTGATGAATTTAACTGTCGTTCAAGTTCTTCTAAATCGCTGTGTAACTGATCGATTTCTTTAGAAGCTAAATTAAACCATTGCTGATAATATTCCAAAGATTCATTTGATTTTCCATCTTCCAGCTGATAAAAAAATATAAAATTAAATGTTAAAATGTTAAATAAATACAAAAATGAATGTAAGTTAAAATATATACATTTTCAGGTACAACTTTAAGACTTGTTTGGGTGCCAAGATGCTCCAAAGCTCTTATTTGCGATCCGAGTTTATATATACGAACTGCTAAGTTTTCTAAATCTGATTTACATTTATCAGATGCTGATTGTGACTCTTTAAGATTCTGGGTCAGTAAGCTCTTCTCATTTTCTACTTGTTCTAACTGTTTTTCTAACTTTTTCAATTCATTAAGATGAATTTCACTAAACAGATCATGTTTTCCACACTCTGGTAATTCCATAGTTGAACCAATATCATTTTCGAATTTACGTAACACAGGTGGTAAATCGTCTTCGTCATCACTACCAATATTTTGGTCGCCACCCATACCTTATAACAAATAATCAAAAATTAAAAATGCTTTAAAACATATTTTCATTACTTAAATCATAACATACACACCTCTTATACTAAAGGCTAAATTACTGAGATTGTAAACTGATTCATTGTTAATACGTTGATCCAATTCTTTTTTTAATGCATATTTAGCTTCACGTTCACCCTGTTATAAATGTATGTTAATTAATTGCCTAACAACAGTGTATTTTCAAACAATCAGCTTACTTGTAACGATTGTAGAGCTTCTTCCATTTGTTTTTCAGCTATTTTTTTCAATTTAGCTAATTCATCAACTTGTAAATACAACAATTCAACATTTTCTTGCAGTCTACGTATTTCATGTTTTGCTCCTTCAAACTCAACCTATTAACAATCCTATGTTTAAAACAACTATTATATTCAACAATAAATTTTCTTGGTAATATTAACCTGAGAAGATTTTAAATGAGCAATTTGCTTTTGCAGAGTAATATTTTCTTCTTCTAGTTCTGAATAGTCAGAAAGTAAATGTGTCTCACGAGATTTTACTTCACGGAGCTCTGCACGAAGCTGTTTACATTCATGATTAGATTCATTACCTGACCTTAATAAATCATTATTTTCTTGAATAGCTCTATCCCGTTCAACGCGAACACGCTCCAGCTCTTGCCGTAACTATTATCAAATGTTAAATTGCATTAGTAAATTAATTTTTTTAAACAAATTTCTTTTTTTACACACATACCAATTTAGTATCATTTTCTAGTTCTATAATTGTAGTATTTAAAGATGATTCTAAAGCTGCAGTTTCATATAAAAGTGATTCTTCTTGTTCTATACCGGATTTTGTTGTTACTTTATGAGACGTTTGAAATTTTGTCAAAGCCTAAAATTAAAACCATAAATGTATTATTAATTTAGTTACATTAAATAAACCAAAACAGCAAATTTTTGGAATAATTCTAGACTTAAACTGCGAGATATAAATTATAATACGTAAACTAAGTATAAAATGTGTTCCACCCTCAATCTTAAAATATTATTTCTTCTTAATAAATTAATTTATTCTCAACTAAATGATAAAGTCAATTAATTGATTTAACATATAATATATTTAAACATGCATAGTGTATAAGTTATAACTTAAATTCTCAGAGAAATTCAAGTAATTTATAATATTTAAAAAATATTATAATTATTTTAGTAAGCTAAAATAACTAATGATATTAATAAACAAAAAACATTCTTCTTCATTGAGTTATTTAAAAAAAATATGATTTATATCACACAGTATATAAACTAAAATAATCAACCTATATATCCTACCTTCTGAACTTCCTACTTACAACTAGGGCCTAGCTTAGCGCAGTGATAACAATTTTTTTTAAAATTTACCTATTATAAGTTGATGTAAAAAAGGAGTAGATTATTTTAAATAGTGACTCAGGCCAAAGACCAATAGTACAAAATATTGAATTAGAAACATAAGGAAAAAAGCAGTGTGTAAAACTTTGTTTGGTTTACATAGCAATTACCCTTGATCCGAACAATAGTCTTCAAATATAATATGCAATATAAATCTATTATAAATTAAACATGTTCTAGGTATGAAAAATATTAATACAGATAATATACGTAGAGAATATTCAATACACATATAAATAATTACCTCTTGTGTTATTTCTAATTCTTGTCTAACATTTTCATATAAATTTTCCAGGTCTTCATAACGTTTAGTTAATGATTGCTTTTCTTCAAGTAAACTTAGACCGTACGTGGCTGACTGGACTTTTTCGGTATGAGCTTGATCAAGCTCACGTGTAAGCCGATTTATCTCATGCTGCAACTCACCCACATCCATGTCTTTGGCGAAAAAATCAAATTTAAATCCATTCATGAAATAATATTATATTTTATTTCCAAAAAAAAATATATCACTTACTTTAGGCCTCTTCACTATTACTATGGCCTTCAATCAAAATTTCAGAGTGCACATATTACATTTGCTAAAAAGAAGTACGTTTTTTAAACTTAACATAAATACAAAGTGTGTTTAAATTTGGGAAATTAAATAATTAATTAAATTTAATACTAAAATATTTGACATTTTTAAGTATTTTGTGACGAGAGCCGAGAAGTTACATTTTCTTTTTTTTTAGCATAATATCAGCTATTCAGCTATTATTGTACTATCACCATTATCAAATATAAACATTATAAAACGTGGTATAAAGCAAATACCTAAGAGGTTGTAAACTCGTATCCGACAGACTCTGCAAGCTATCAAAATGATGATACCACAAAGTATAATTAAGCTGAAAGCGGATTTATCTCAAGGTTTAGAGATTATACTAAATATACTCTATAGATATAATTTATAAAAGTATAATCTATAAACCTTGCAATTGAATATCTATAAGAACGGGTATTATAGATACTACGTACTTATGCAATGTCTGTATCTGCTGTTTTCGAGTGTTTTTCAAGAGCAGGACGTAAATACTGTCGGTAACTTATCAATCGTTAGGTGTTTCACCTATTCACTAAAGTGTCAAGAATATTGACACAAGTTGCAATGTTTGATTTTTAAATGGAATAAATTGAACATTTTATATTCTGACCGTAGCCCACTTCCGAGAAATGTACGCCTATGGGTATTACATTGATATTACTAAATTTTGTTCCGCATCAGTGTACAAGTGTTAAATCGGTAGACTTGTTCTAACGACTAACATCGGACGTGGTCTTTGGCGGAAAATTTACCTACCTAGTCTATATAAAGTTAATGGCACTTGCTGCATTGGAAAGGTCATTATTTCGATTTTCCTAATGGTTTTATTTTATAACGGGGGAAAACTACAAATATTTACGCAGTAACGGTACCTAACGATATATAACGTTGTTATTTTCAATTCTGTAAATTGTCGTACCGATGCGATTGATTCTGAACGCAGTTAGCGAGAAATAGGTATGTGTCGGTTCTACTGTGTGCTATTTTTATTTTTTTTTTTTTTCATCTGTTAACGACTTTTCTATCGAAAATCTTGCTCCGATCAAAAACTGACAACGGGTGTGCGGCTTTTTTGTAGACAATTCAAATCTAGTTTTTGATTTTCTAAGCTGTTTTCACAATAATAGGAAAGAAATGAAGGGATAATTTGACAAATATTTGTACGTCGTAACGATTTCGCGATTTTACAGTGCTTCAATCAGAAAATGGCATGAGATCATTATAGTCGTATTTTTAATAAAGTCATTGAGTAAAACAAATGGCTTTGTTCAGTTTCCAAGTATGTAATTTGAAAAGTTTGAACACTAACAAATTTACGGGCGTTACGATTTCATTATTTAAAATTGTTAGATAGATACGCTTTGTTTTCTGCCGGAAATATTGCTCCAATAAAAAAACAACAATAATGATCTTTTTTGTTGCATTTAGAATTTAGTTGTCGATTAAGGAAGCCGTTTTTCGATTCTTCCTGTATTTTTTTTTTTTTTTTTTTTTATATATATACTATTGAGCAAAATCGAAAACACCGTGGAAAGAATGGGAAAATTTACGAAATTATGCTTTTATTATTTTCAATTTTGTTTGTTGTAATTCAGTTAAAAATATTCTTGGACTTAAAATTTGGACAGAAAACTTAAATTAAATATTATATTATAATAATTAGTTTAATATTATATTTTATCTCTTCTAGACGTGGTAAAAGTCCAAAACATTTGAGTCATTTTTTAGTTAGGTACCTACCTGCTTATAGTCATTTTAATTTTGCGAGATTTTTAAGTAATTTTTTTTTTGTATGTACACTGTGGATAAAATTGTTAGATCAAACAGAAATGCTAGACAATTTAATAGTTGGTACATTATAAGTAATTTTTAGTTGTCACAAAAAAAAAAAAAGTTGAACATGCATAAGTAGATGTCAATGTTATAATTTACTTCTCTTAGCAAGTGTAGTTCAAATTCATGATAAAATTAGGTAGTTATAAACACGAACAATTATTACAATTCACTCAGTTATTCCTAGGTAATAAGTTAACAAATGAATTCAATTTATAAAGAAAACCTATTAGATAAAGTGCGCTCATGATCGTTTTTCGTTTGCAATTATTTATTGTTGCATACTGCGGTAAGTAAATAAATTAAATTAGTAGTCAGATACCCATATACCTATTAGTACCCTATATTACTATTTATCTTATCATTACAACTTACCACTAACAGTAGGTTATCTACCTTACCTTGTCATTAACAACCGGTAGTCGCGATTTTTTTTGTCATATGTACCACCTACCAACCTAATTAATAATTATTTAAAAGTACTTACACATATCGTGCATATTTTTAGTTGTGTCCATAGATTTGTTTCAAATTTTTTCAAACGTTAATCCTGAAGCACTTATTTCCAAAAACATCAACAGAATATCCTGTACCCTAGACAAGTTGTTTCACTGGATGTGTAGGCTCGCCGTTTTAATTTAATTAATTAGATACATTTGATTAAACAGTATGTAATTTTTGGCTAAAATTTCAAAATATAAAACTGTTCGGAACGATTCTAGTTTAGCCACCACTTGTATTTTCGGGGTTATTTTTTTTTCGAAATGTGTGTTTTTTCATATACATTAAGAATGTAAAAAAAAAGAAAGTTGGACGAACTTCGTTTGGAACTTATGAGGGAAAATTCATACAGTACGGGGTTTACTTTTCACGTATTTATTAGTTAGAATTCAAAATTTTTCAAATTTTTTTTTTCCAATGTGTGCTTTTAGTTACTTAATCTATCGGTATGATCAAAACGTATCAATTATACTTATTTTTAAAGTTTTGTATATTAACCTTAAAAATAATTTTTTTGTAATTAATCTAAAATATGGTCAAAAATAGAATTTTTTTTATCGTTATTATTTGTAGTTATTGATATTTAGAAAACAGAGTTTTTCTTTATTTAAATCAGAATAAGTCTATCTGGCTTAGTTTAGGAGTTACAGACGTTCAAACGCGCTTTATTTTGCTGCGCTCACTCGTACAATTTTAATTGAAAATAACCCGCGATTTGTTGTGCAAAACCACGTAGGATAGATAACAAGGAAAAGTGAAGAGCATATAGGTGAAATTAGAGACTCAATGTGGTCACTCGCTCGGACTGTTTTAAACAAAAATGATATTTTTTAAGATTTACATACAGAAACTTTTAAAGTAAGTATGATGGGTACGTTTTGATTACACCAATAGATTAGGCGTCAAAAAACACAATTTTGGAAAAAAAAAAAATTTGAAAATGTTAAATTCTGACTAAGAAATACGCGAAAAAGAAAACCCATACTTTATGAAGTATTCCTCTATAACTTTCAAACGACGTTCGTTCGAATTTTTTTTACATTCTTAATGTACACGCAAAAACACACATTTTGAAAAAAAAAAACCCAAAAATTCGATGGCAATTAAATTAGAATTATGCCAATTGTTCATATTTATGTTTAACTGTAAATACCTGTATATATCGGTAATAAACAAAAATCAAACACTTTGTTTTATATAACTAGGCTAGTTATGGATTCTAAAAGGCTTGATATAGGTAGGCAATTTTGTTTAATCTGTCTGATATTTGTGCTACATATATTTTATATAGGTAGGTAATGTCCATTGTTGAAAAATTAACAGTAAACATCAATAAGAAAAAAAAGCTGTCTTTTTGAGGACGGATGCAGCCATTTTTCTTAGTGAGAAGTCAGGAAGGTAGTAGAAGGAAGATGTAATGTATATATATATATATCTGTAAGCAACTATAAATCATTACTAATGAAAAAAAAAAAATTTCAGTTGCTTTGTCAACAATATATATGTCATAGTATGATAAAATAATTACACATGCATTATATATTTGTTTAATATTGTACCTATTTTCTTAAGTTTCTTTAATTTATTGGAAAAACTCCTTGGAAAATCAAAAAATGTCCCCTTTAAAGTACCTTTCTATTCAGATTTCCTTTCAGAAAAAATGCTATCATTATAAATCAGAGCAAAATTGCTGGTAGAAGTTGTCTACAGAAAACAAAAAATAAATAAACATCATTGTAAAATCAATACATTGCTCGTTCTCAGAATTTATAAATTAGTACTTTTTTTCAAATAAAGTTGCTAGTAACTTCTTTTACTAAACTATCTTTTCCCGTGATTAATGAGAAAAAAAGAACCCAATACTGTTGGCGGGTTTTCCATTTTGTAAATGGGAAGTTGGAAGGGTAGGATACACGGAATTATTAATTTTATTTCAGCAAGCAATGATAAACAATGTTTAACAAAAAAACGATCCTTAGCGAAGTTTGATTATACATATTTAGAATTGTCGTAAATTTTAAGTTTTTTATCAAAACTCTTATAAGAAAAGAACTGTTACGTTTCTAATAACTTTTTTTTACCACTAAGTACAAATTATAATAAACTCTTTGTTCAATTTTCAATCATTTCTGTTTAGTCAAACGATTTTATATAAATAGTACCTACCAAATAAAAATTTTAAAAAATTCTTCAAAATGTTTTAATATGACCAAATATAGAAAAAGCTAATAAGATGAAAATATTCTGTGAACATTTTATAGAATGAGAATGTATATAATGTTACTATTCTGAACAGACATTGTTTGGAACTGTTATGAGCATATTACTATAGTATATAGTATAGTAGTATAAGCCCTTTGTATTAGATCATAAGAGTATATTATTGTAGTCTATAGATAACGCCTAGTGTGTAGGCGGCTCCGAGAATATTGTAAACATACGGGACCCGCGCAGTCAGTCGAGCTACCACTTTTAAAACTGTACGTCGTCTCAACGACTATTATAATATATTACTCTTTAATTATATAGTTCGACTCACATTAAAATTATATTAGTAACCAAAAATCCTTAGAACTGTTTTGTTGAACTTTCTCCTAAAAATTAGATCCTCACACTACCGAACAAATAAAACAACCTGTACGAGCATAACAACTCGTATAGGCACAACATTGAACAACATTCAACATGGTACCAACATTTTATAATTATAATAAATGTATGTTCAAAGTAATGTAATTCTAATAAATGTCAGTTTCAAATATTATATTTCCAATAAAAATTTAATAATCTCAATAAATGCTTGTTTTGAGTAATGAGTATTATAATTCTAATACCGTCTGTCTAAGTATTGTAATTCAGAGAAAAATTAATAGAGATCTAATAAATAAAGATAAATGTCTGTTCTAAGTATTGAAATTCTAACAATTGACTATGTCATCTAATGTAATTTCGCTATTAAATTTTTTCAAATATTGTATGTTTATTTAAGTCTGTAAAACATCAAGCAAAATAATTCCAATAAAATAAAACTTGTTATAATTTTGAACAGATTTACAAAAAAAAAAAGAGCCGATACTGGGGATGGGAGCGGCTACTGTTATAGGTGGGAAGTTGGGAAGGTAGGATACATAAGGTTATTTCATTTATTACCAAAGATTTGCTGACGAAAGACGATTCTGAGCGCAGTTTGGTAATATAAAATTTGAAGTGCCGTAATTGTTTTTGCGATTTTCGTTTAAATTTGATTTCAAAATACTTATTAAAAAAGTCATCCAATGATTTTGGGAATTTTACCACATGTAGGTAAGTTCAATATAAGTATTACTACAAAGTTTCAAGTCTCTATGGTGTATTTATAACTGAATTAGAGCAAAAATACTCAAGATTAAAATTCCTTAAAAAGTCAAAAATGGCTCAAGTCTTGGCGATGATACCATAAGAAAGTAAATCATAAAAGCAACAAAAAAGGTGTCTTGTGATTTTTCGATTTAATTATTTTTTCTGATAGAAAACATTGTCTGTTTTTATAAAATAATGAAATTGTAAGTTTTTCTCATTTAGGTATATTTATTTTAAAAATAGCCTCGGATATCAAAAAATGACTTCTATAAAGTACAATCGAGACAACTTAAGCTTTTAGAAAAGTTTGTACACGTAAAAATTGAAGCAAGTGTACTAGTAAAACACGTGTCAACAGACTAGAAAGAAATAAACAGCATTGTAAAACCAATAGCTCAATCATTATGCTCGGAATTTAAAACAAGAAATCGAAAATAACAAAACCGCTAGTGCTGTAAACTTTCTTATACGTTTATAGATATACGTAATTAGTGTTTTTTTTTCAATTCTTATGAAAACTGATTGGTAAATTAAAATACAACTTTCACACTAGACCTAAAATATAACAGAAAAGGTCTATTGTTATTTTTTTATTGGAGCAAGATTATATTAGACAAGTTGTTTACAGACAGAAAAAAAACATCATAGTGAAATTAATAGATCCCTAACCACGGTCAGAATCCAAGATTAAGGTAATTTAATTTTATGATTGAACAAATATTTCAAATTTAATAGAAATATATAATTTGTATAAATAATAGAAATAATTTAACATTTTCAATTTTTATAAATCTACAAATATTAAAACAAGACTAAAATAATTAAGTTTTTCTTTTTTTTTGATATTTCTATATAAACCATGAGAAGCAGTATGAATTATGCCTCATATAATCATATTATTATATTTTGTTTAAAAAGTAATATGTTTTAAAAAGAAAACAATATACATGATACATCAATGTATATGTATCTCTATAATTAAAATTTTAACTATAAAATAATAATGTGTACACATAGGAGCTTATCCAGGTATTTTTTAGAGGGGGGGAAGAGGTGACCAGATTAAAATATAATGTAAATTAAGTATTTAATACAATAATTTAAGATTTCCTAAATTGAATTATAGGAAAGGGCTGTAGTCTCTTGGATACACCACTGTAATACACTAAGTAATTAATAAACACTCTCAAATATGAATGAGTTTTAGTAACTAATGTTGCAATAATTCTTCATTTTATTAATACCAAGTTTTAGTAATTCATGTTGCAACCATTCTTCATTTTATTAATACACATATATTATAATTTAAATGAGTTTTCAGTTCTTTGATAATGGTTAATTCATTTATCTTCTTCATTCAATTTTCTTGATTGCTTAGATTTACTAGTCAGTGACTTATAAATAGACATAGCCTAAATAAAGTAAACCAAATTTGTTATAAATTATTATAAACAAAAGTTACACAATCAAAATAAAAAAAAATAAATAATTTTACCTGTGTTACCATTGAAGATACATCTGAAGTATTACTTGGTATAATAACAGTGTTTGTAGATTTAGCTAGTTTCCCAAATGCTTCTACATATGACTCTGCTACTTTTAGAGAAGCAGCATTATAACCATCCTAAAATTACCATCACTTAATCATTTCAAAAACAATGATAATAGCATATTGATATAATTTAATTACTAATTACTAATAATGAGTAATATAATTGTTTTGCATTTAATCATACATTTCTTGTAAATTAACGTTAAACAAAAATAAATTATTATACTCAACTGTTTGTTTAAGAGCATCAGCTATTAACCGAATTCCTTTAGCTTTAGCTTCAGCAACAGCTAGTAAAGCATTTGCTTCTCCTTGAGCTATATTAATTTGTTCTTGTTGGAATGCCTCTAAAATAAATAAACATTAAAAAATAATATTAAGAATATGGAAATATCTGTAAGTTACCAGAAGCTAAAATTGTTGATTGTCTTTTGCCCTCAGCTACATTAATATCAGCTTCACGGACTCCTTCTGAATCTAGAATAGCAGCACGTTTTTTTCTTTCTGCTTCTACTTGCATTTGCATAGCTTCTTGTACTCTATTAGGAAGTTTTATATCACCTATATGAAATAAAAATAATTAAAATGTATGCATTCATTTAAATTTCAAAAATAAATTCATACGGATTTCATATCTGAAGCATGTTAAGCCCCATGAAGCACTTGCTTTATTGAGACTTTCAACAATTGCATAGTTTAAATTTTCTCGTTCTCGAAATACTTTGTCTAAAGATATTTTTCCTAATTCAGATCTGTAATATTCAAAATAAAAAATATAAATTAAGTTGAACAGGAATAACCATAACATAATAGTCAAATGAAAACTTTAGTTTTAGAAAATAAAAATGAATTTTGATATTTTATTGAAATATTATATAGCATATGGGGGCAATATAAGTTAGAATGATCACTTTCTTACCTCATAGTAGTTTGAGCCAACTGAGTTATTGCAAATTCTGGATCTTCAACTCCATAACTGGCTAAGTAAGGATCATTAACCCTCAAATATAATACACCATCAATGCTAAGTGTTACATTATCTAAAAAAAATAATAATAATAATTTATATTTTATTCAACTAAAGAAATGTATTCAATTTTATTTTAAACTGACCTACTGTTACAGCACTTTGTTTGGGAACATCAATGGCTAATTCTTTAAGACTTTGTACATAACCAATTCGGTCCAAAAAAGGAATTAAAAAGTTTAAACCTGGTTCTAAAATACGACTAAATTTACCCATCCGTTCAACAATCCATGCCTGAAATAATGAACAATGTTTTAAATACAGCTTTATTACAAATAATTATACATTTAATATTGTTCTAAATAAAAGGGTATATAATAGTTTGTTTTTGCTCTGCTACTCATGTTTTTAATAATAAATATTTTTATAATAAAAAATAAATAAATAAATCTACTTTTTTAGAGTGTTAAGCATAAGTATAATCAAAGAAAAAATATGAATCACACCAAAGATAACAATCATAATGGAGGTTATAATATTAAACTTATTAGATTTCGGTTTTTATCTTAAACATATGCGGGTTGATACAAATGTATGTTACAGCTATTTTAACGTATTAACAATTAAAATAGAAAAAAATATAGTATATTAAAGTTGTTCAATCTACAAACATCCAAAATAATTAATACGTTTTTTTTTTTTTTACTTTTTAGGGGGATTAACTTTCCAAACTTAAATGAGAATCGATCAGAATCTATACTTAAAATTCCATAAATATATGGATTAAATAAATTATTGTGTTGAAATTTTGATTTTTGTCAACCAGCTGATGACATATTCCACGTTTTATTTGGTTAGGGGGTTAATAGTGGAACACTAGTTTACAGTATTTGTACCTATGTAAATCAAATTGAATATTTTTAGGAAAATGTTCATATATTTTTGAAGTAAAATGCCTTCTCTTTGATTCTACCCAATTTAAAATATTTTAGTTGGTTTAAAACTATCTATATCTACTTACTGAAATATGTGATTTTAAAGAATTTTATTACCTACATATTAAATAATACCTATTCAAATTTATTTTTTTTAAATATAAAGTATTTATATGTATTCATATTAACCCAACTATTTGGGGTCAGCCACCCTTGTTCTAAATTTCTATTTGACCTGATCTTTTACCTCATATACACCGGATGTTCTTATATCATTCTCAATTACATCCAACCACTTCTTTTTCAATCTTCCCTTTCACCTTTTGCTTCCTACATTTAATTGCATTATACTTCATATTGTTTCAGGTTCACCTTTCTCCGTAACATGCCCAAACCATCTTAGTCTATATTCTCTCATTTTGTCTACTATCAAAGTCACATCTAAGCTACTTCTTATATATTCATTCCTTATCCAGTCTTTTCTTGTAACTCCACTCATTTACCTAAACATTCTCATCTTTGCTACACTAATTCTTTGTTCTACTTTTCTAGCTACTACCCAAGACTCCAAACTAGTCTGAACCATACTCACAAAAAAATTATAAACTGCCACATTTCAATTTATGACAATGTTTTTTTGTTTTTTTCTTTATATATTGGTCACAATCTAGATAAAATAACTTTGTGATATATAATAAATACACCATAAATAATTATGGTTTTATGAATACCAATATTAGAAATTATAACTTATATAATATATAATTTATTTTAAAATAAAAAAAAAATCGACTTTTCTTGCCTCTTGTTGTGGAACAAATAGAATTCCAGTGTTAAATGGTCTATTACTTTTGAACCTTGCCAGTGAAATGGAAGGACTTATGGGTCTTGATAACAGTCTTTGATTCTGAAAATTTAAATTTGAAAAAAAAACCAATTGAATAATTTAAATATTTAGAAATTTCATATTTTTACTAATTTTATAAATATATATTATACTTAGTATAATGTTGTATGGTAGTGAAACATAGACAATTGCTAAAGAGGAGTGAAAAAGAGTAGAAGATTTTGAGATGTGGTGTTACAGAAGAATGCTCAAAATAAGTTGGACGAATATGGTAACAAACGAGGAAGTACTAGAAAGAATGCCTGAAAGAAGAACGCTATGGAATAGTATCAAGAAAAGGAGAAATTATAATGGATTGGACATGTATTGAGACATGATGGGTTGCTGGGATTAATTATAGAATGCTGCATAGAAGGTAAAAATGCCAAAGGAAGATCACAAATATAGTATATGCAACAAGTAATAAAGGACTAATTGTGTAATTCTTATGAAGAGATAAGAGGAAGGCAAGCAATAGGGAATAATGGATAATTGCTACAAACCAATCTCAGGATTAAATACAAAAGAAGGAAATATTTTACTTTTTCATGTATTGTGTATTATATAAGTACTTATGTACAATATAATAAATAAATATATTTTATTAATAAACTTAAAATGTCTATGTTGGTATAAAATATTTAAGATTATAATTAAAAAAAAAAATGCAAAAATATTATGATTTTAAGTTTGAATGGGTTGGGTTATTTAATTATTTACAGTGTTGGGAAGGAATATGTTTATTTGAAATAAAGGTTTGAGGAACGGGAAAGTGCATATTTATTTCACCAGTAAGAGCTCAGGCTCCTAAGTTCGCTAAACCTGATGTCTCCCTGAAATGATTGTAAATAATATATATTTATAATATTAATATTTCACAAAAATGATTTAGTATTGCATTACTGTCATATGTATGTATTTCCAAAGCAAATTAATTACTAGTATTTTCAAATTAAAAATAGGTTAAAAAATTAGTTTGAACTAAGTATAAATAAATAAAAAAAGTAAAAGGAAAACAGACATTTTTAAACAAAATTTTTGCAAGATTGATTATTTAAAATAAATATGTGATAACTTATGTATTTTATACTGTTGTAAATCTCAAAAAAAAAGCAATGTATTCTATTAAAACACAAGGTAGGTATTAATAAATGAGTTTAGATAATACATTATTAATTTATATAATAAATAATTCAATTGCGTTTTTTTTTGTATAGGTACATACATTAAGAGACAAAACTATATACATATTTAAACTTAACACATTTTAACATTTAGTTTTTTTTTATATTACGTGTACATATTACTCAAAAATTGTACATGTGTATATTATTAATCCTTGACTCACTAATATATATCTGTTTGTAATTAATTGAAATGAAAATAAATTAGAATCATTTGAGTACAAATGAAAACAGCATACAAAAATTAGTGTAAACTATAAATGTGTCAAAATATAAATCCGAAACGTTACCTTTATTACAGAAGTGATTCCCACCATTGGGTTTAGTTTACACACAAGCATAATTCTGAATTGAGGAAATATATCAAAATCGTATATTAATAATTTATTTTAAAATAATATTTGCTACAGGTAGGTACAAAAGAAATAATATGTCAAATTTCTGAATCTTAAATAATTTTAAATAATCTTAAATAGTTTTCATTGATAAATAAATCCGATTGTTCCAAAAATGATAATCAAATAACGATTAAAAATAAAACCATAGATAATAAACTTATCAGTACTCAATTGCTCAGACGTTACATTTTTGGTCGAAATATTTATATTCTCTTTAGAATTAAACTTTAAAACAGCAATAAGCCAATAACCCATAAGCGTTTAGTGCTACTAAAACTGGCTCTACTGTAAATTTGTAATTACTGTTGTTTAGCTTTGGTCAGCCGAATAGTTTACTACCCTGTAAACGTGATAAGGTTATATCTTCACTTTTCATTGTACAGTAAACTGAGTAAACTCTATGCTTTTCACCAAACATTTTGTAATCATAAAACGACAAAATTACGAAAACTTACTTGGTAATATTACAATTATAAAAATTATTATTTAATGGTAATTAAAAATAATATTGTAAATTTATTTGTGTGTGTGTATAATTAATCATTTTTATGTTTTTTAAATAGTATTATTGTATAGGTACCTAATTTTATTATTTTTTAGATTGTCATTTGTGAATAATGCCAAAATATTATTGTGATTATTGTGACACATATTTGACCCATGATTCTCCATCAGTACGTAAAACCCACTGCCAAGGCCGCAAGCATAAAGACAATGTAAAATTCTACTATCAAAAATGGATGGAAGAACAAGCACAGAATTTGATTGATGCTACTACAGCTGCTTACAAAGCTGGCAAGATTGGTATGAAGGGAGTTTGTATACCTCCACCAAACATGGGTCCAACACCACCACAAATGAATATGCCACCTGGTTCAATAATGCCACCCGGACAAATGCCCATGGGTGCCCCCCCGATGATGTCTATGCCACCTATGATGAGGCCTCCTATGGGACAAATGCCAATGGGTGCACCTCCTATGATGCCTCCAATGCCACCTAATATGAGACCACCCATGATGGTGAATCCTCCACCTAATCAACAGCCTCAACAATAAATAAAGTAAGTAACTATTTTGAATCAAATGTATAATATTAGTTCATATACTTAATAATTATTGATATTATTTGGTAAAAAAATAAAGTGCAGAAATATTAAATATTTATAAATAAATTAAACAGTAATGAAGTGCAAATTATGATTATTATAACCAAGTGTCAGTAGAACCAGATAAATTTCTCATAAGTGTGTGGAATGTTTTGATAGAAATTAACATAACAGAGATGTAGATTAAAATGATCTAATCCCTGTATAAATTTATTTAAAAAATATAGAAAACATGCAAATTTATAAGAGGTAAAAATTATTGAAGTGTTAAAAAGTCAATTTGGGTTTAGGTTCAAGCAGTTGGGAACATAAAAATGCAAAGGTGAAGAATGTTAAAATAAGTCATCATAGGTTCGAAACAATGATATCTGATATCTGCGTATAAAGTTCACTACAATATAATAGATACCTATTGTATGAATAGTCCTAATATTAGATTACATTATAATTTTAGACATTCTGACAAGTAACTAAACAAATTAAAATATTTTTTTTTTACTACATATTTTATAATCAATATTAAAGACTTACTTTTTTCTGCCCTTTAATGTTTTGTCACCTGGATCAACTGTTCTTTGATACGTTCTTAGAAATTGATAAAGATATTGATGTAAAAAGTAAAATAAAAGTAGTGGACCTTACTTGTATGAAATAAAGGTGAAAACAATTAAGATCAATAATATATTATATTTTATTCTTATTTATTTATTTGTTTAAAATCTGGCTAAATAACATAAAACTTACTAATAGTAATACATTTATTATATTCCAGGTGTATGAATTAGTCTGGATGATCAAGACAGTCATTAAACTTTATAAATATGTTTGAATAAGTAAATGTACTATGAAAAGTACTACAGTAAATTAAAAAACAATTATTTAAAATTATGTAATAATCATTAAGTATACATATTTTAATATTTCAAAATCATGAATTTTGTTTTTGTTAGAAATTTTAAATTATTTCTTATTTGTGTTATATAGTATGTACTAAATAAGTACCTCCAGAACTTAAATTTAAACCTAGTCAACTGATCGCTTTGAATTTAAATATTATTCCAGTATTTGTAAATGATTGTTTAATTGTCCACTCTAAATTACTCAATTCATATAAGTATAGGAAAGGTAGGTATACCCCTTGTTAATTAATCTTTTTTTTTTTTTAATGATAAAACCCATACTACTTTTCACGATAGAAAGATAGTGTTTCGCGCACGTAGCTGAGTTATGAATTGCTGCCGGACCCCTGATGTGGCCCAATAGTGGTGGGAGCCCTGGGCGAGGTGCGGCGTGGTGATGCATAAGAATGACTGGTTTTCGTCGAGACTCTCTACCGTTCTTTCGTGAAAAATAGTATATAATTATATTTTCCATTAATATTAGGAATATAATTGTTTGAAATCCCAATAGATAAATCATGGAATCTTTATTAACTTCCATCAGTAAAAAAAAAATCGCAAAACAAATTTGTGAATTTCCTTTTAATGTTTTATTGTATACATGATACAAATTTTAAACAGATACCTGCAATTTGTTATATTATATTTCTGATCTTTTCTATAATTGCATTTCCAATGGTGGGTGTAAGCTGTTACTTGATGTTTGGATTTATAAGGCAACCTGTTTATAGAAGACACCTATGCAATGAAGTATTTTCAACAATACTATGCATTTTATAATTTCACAATCATACAGCACTCTATCGGGTAACATGGAAAATAGATTTTTGATGTTTTTTTTAGGTTTCTTAGTTAAACCACCGCCACATTTTTACAATGCTAAGTATAATCCTTTCTTGATTTTGTAAGAAGCACCATGGATTCATTTCTGGTATTTGTCTAATATGCTACCTAGTACCTACCTACTGTAAAATTATATCTACCAAATAACTACGTGTAGTATGCTACATACTAAAAATTATTACATGATATTTCCTACATTATTTCATATTCTTATATTATAAAATGATATATTTTTATTTCATTTTATTTAAGTACCTGTGACTTGGGTCATTAAATAACAATCATACAATACTATAGCCATTATGATATCTACTAAATATCCACCAAGATAACAAAAACTTGAGACAAATTATTTTCGGAAATTCTAGAATGAAGATTTTTTTTTAAAGTGGAAAAAAGCAACTTTAATGCTAATAATACAGAATAAAATAGAATTGGGGATAACCAATTATTCAGATCAACAGCAAGCATACAGTAAGGCATAGTTTTTCATTATGAAACAGTCGACCATTCTGAGTTTTTTTTTATACATCCTACAACGGGCACACCAACACAAACAGTCAAATGTATATGGGGAGATATGTCAAAACCTGAAGAACGACAAATGTGTTAGACCACCAATTAAAAGATTAATGGTGGTATGGTAACCATTAATGGTTAATACAGTACACAATGATTTATTTGAAGTTTTCTGGGATGACATAAAAAAAATACATGGCATATAACAATATTTAAAAACACTAAAATACTTGACAATGATAATCATCAGCAATAACGCTGGTATTCTAGTTTAACACATTTTAATTATTAGGTAAAATTCATAACATAACGATATAGCTAACAATTATTGGTAGATGGCATTTTACAATAGGCAGCATATAGTTTTTTGCAGGGTTGAGTAAATTTAAAAAGTAATTATAAGATACTTCGCTCATTACTTAGAGATAAATGTAATGAAGTTACTTTACTTTTCAAATAGAAAAGTGATTAGAACTACCTACCTACATTAAAAAATTAAAAAAACAATTTTAACAGTTAAAACAATACAATATTAATTTACAACTATTAAAAAAAAATAAGGTTAAATGACTGACTGATAATCCAACACGACAATAGAATCTACTGAATACAGAATAACAGCTCCCATTCGTGTTCTTACTTATATTAACATGTTATGTCATATATATATGGGTATTATATAAAAATAAAATTAATTTTTAAATAACATTGTGTTCATATATTGATTATATATATATAATATTAATAATGAATCATGAAAGTAGACCATTTCTTGTTAATGGTTATAAATTTATACAGTACTTGAAACATAATTAAGATACTTGTTCACATGCCATTCTAAATAGTAAATACCCATATTATATCTTGAATTTTTTCTAACACGCGTCACATCAGTGTGTTCATTTATTACTGTGAGTATATTTATGATTGTTTAAAGTTGATTTACAAGAAAATGACTTCTTACATATATAACACTTATATGGTTTTACTCCTGTATGAGTTCTTATATGCTCCTTCAAATTACCTTTATTATGAAATGTCTTTTTACACACATCACATTGGTATGGTCTTTCCCCACTGTGAATTCTATTATGATAGTGCAAATTACACATTTTAGAAAATCTCTTGTTACACACGTTGCATTTATATGGCTTTTCTCCTGTATGAGTTCTTATATGATCCTTCAAATGACCTTTACTAGAAAATGTTCTCTTACACACATCGCATTGGTATGGTCTATCCCCATTGTGAGTTCCATTATGATCATACAAACTGTATATTTCAGAAAATACCTTGTTACATACATTACATTCATAAGACTTTTTTCTCGTATGAATTTTTTCATGTCTCCTGAAATTGATTTTCTGAGAAAATGCCTTTCCACATTGATCACATTTGTATGGTTTTTCCCCACTGTGAGTTTTTATATGATTACTTAAAGAGTGGGATTGTGAAAATGACTTGTTACATACGTTACATGTATAAGGCTTTTCTCCTGTATGAATTCTAGTATGCTTTTTTAAAGTGCAATTATGAGAAAATGATTTTTTACATACCTCACATTGATATGGTCTTTCCCCAGTATGGGTTCTTTCATGATTTTTTAAAGTTCGTCTTTGAGAAAATATCTTGTTACACAAGTCACATTTATAATTATTTGCGTTCGTATGAGTTTTACTATGAATATTTAAAATGCATTTAAAAGAAAATTTCATCCTACACACATGACATTCAAGCTTCTCTTCTGTATACAATTTTGTATGGTTTTTAAAAGAGCTATTATGAATAAATGATTTTTTACATGCATCACATTGGTATAATTTTTCCCCACTATGAATTCTTTGATGTTTAATTAAATTGGAGTTTTGAATAAATTTCTTGTTACAAATGTAACATTCATAAGGTTTTACTCCAGTATGAATTATTGCATGTTTTTTTAAATTGCTCTTATGAGAAAATGTTTTTCTACACACATCACATTGATTTGATATTTTACTGTTATGAACTTTCACGTCACTTTTTAAAACAGATAATGTAGAATTTGATTTATCATAGTCATTACATGAGTGTGGTTTTTTTAAAATGTCAATTTGAGATGCTTTGTATAAAATTGATTTTGCATGGTCGGTTTCAATAGTAATTGTACTTTCATAAATATAACCATCAATGCAATCGACTTCTTTTTTAATATGAGTATTTATTTCTTCCCCTATTTCTTCAGACTTGCAAATGTATCTGAAAAATATAATAATCATAATAATAAATAATAGAATTAAAAAGACATAAGCAGTCTGTATAATACAATAAAATATGTACTTAATATAATTTGAGTACAAATCAGTAATATAACAAAAACCATACCTAGAGGAGAGCATTTAACATTAACACATTCAATATAAATTATAATATATTAACATACATTTAGTTGGTGCTATAAAATACAAAATGTGCTGATCATACATAGACCACTGTTGTATGCGGAAGCTTAGTAAATATAAATTATATAACATAGAACATAGGGTAATCAACGATACACATTAACAAACAAGAACAATACAGAGTTTGTCTATTTTGGTTAGCTGGTTATTGTGAAAACCATTCACAGCTATGATTAGCTAGATTATCTAAAATCTATTTGTTAAAGATTGCATAAGAGGGATTGTTAGATATTTTAATAGTAGAGCATAAATCACAATCAGTGGCGTAGTGAGCCATGTATGATTTGAAGGCAAATCAAATTATTTAGTACTCCCCACTTCCAGAAATAAGTTCACTGAATAAACTTTAATTGTAATGTCATTATATGTAAATATAATAAAATAATAAAAAAACCAATTTTCTTGAATTATTTAGTATGTAAATAATTGGTTTCATCATGTATAAATAAAGACAGTTCTATAAACTGTAAAATAGTCTTAAAAACATTTATCCTATAAATATTAATTATGTTTAATTTGAATTCAAAGTAAAATTAAAAATATTCTAAATAACTATATGTCTTTTACTTACTTTCAACCTAAAATTTTATTTTATAAAACATTAAAGAATTTAAATTAAATTAAAAAATTAAACCTAGTTGTCTCTATTTGATCACAAATATATTTAATCAAATTTTTGAATTTACTGCCTGTGATAAATCTATTTTAATATATTATACAATAATTGTAAGTTAATGAATTTTGTATTATGTGTCACATTGGTCATAGCGCTTCTAAGGTAATTCTTTATTCATTTCATAGTTGAAAATTATCGTTCACACAAAAAAATTTAAGAGATAAAAAAAATACCCTTAATAATATCTAATAAATTAAACCCACAATGCAACAAACAAGATTTCTGTTAGAAAAGCTGTTTACAAGCGAAAAAAAATAAATACACATGATAAAACCAACACATTTTGAGCTTTACATAGTAAAAACAGAAATAATAATAATAATGGATGGTAAATGTTTCTTCCAAAAGATAGGTCATGTTAAATAAGTACCAACATTATAAAATTAAAAATTAAACTTGAAAAAATACAAAGATTGTAAAACATTGAATTACATAATACTTACTCTATTTGCATTGATTTATTTTCATCACTAAGATTGCAGTATGTGTTATCAATAATTTCTTCTTTTATTGATCTAAAAATACAGGAAATTAAGGAATACATATTTTAGAATAGTTTCAAATTAACAAATTAATTATAAATTTTAACTATAAAGATTAATAAATGATTTATCAAATAAATTAGAATAATATTTTTAAACAAAATTTTTTTTTATGAACACTCATAGTTCAATTTTAGAATAAATTTGTACCAATTATAATATTGCTGAACGACAAGAAGAATGATAATAATTTCAAGGAGAAAGAATTTAATAAATAATAATTTATAGTTGTTTTCCAAAAGATAGATAATGTTATTCATGTGACACATTACTGTTTATATTAATGGTAATTGACAGGTCAATATTATCCCATAAATTCAAAATTAGATCAATGTTAACATTATAATAAGACATCCTATGATAATGGAGTTGGGTACAATTCTTGTTATGGATAATTTAATGTATACTTGTAAGCAATGATAAATCATTATTATAAAAAAGAAAACTCTGAGTAGAGTTCAGTTTATAATGATGTTTTGCCAACAAATATATGTAATTTTACAGTCAAATAATTAATTGGACTTCATATATTTTCTTTAATAACATTTGTTTAATGTTGTACCGATTTTCCTTATTTATTGTATTCTAGGCTAACTTTACAATTGATTTTCAAATCAATTTATAAATAATGTAACTCAACAAAATTGTACATTATATTATATTTGTATGGTAAAAGATTTGCTTCTGAATATGGATAATATGGATATTATGTGGTACAACTTCTCTCATACCGATGGTTAATTCCCAGATTTTATTTTGTTTGTTATGATTTATATAATTAAATATAATACGTAATGATTGCATGACATATCATACCAAACAATAAGAATAATAACAATAATACCGATGGTATTTGTTAAGTCAATATTATTCCGTAAACTCAATATTAGATCAGTCCTAACATTACAAAACTAAAATTATACTTAAAAAATACACTAAGTAATGAAATACTCACTTAAATTGCATAAACACATTTGAATCAGTAATTTTGTCAGATGTGGTTTCTTCTTTAATAGATCTACAAATATAAGAAATAAAACAAAAAAATATTATTTTAGAAAATGTTTCAAATTAATTCTAACTTTTTTAAGTGAATGAATTGAATTAATAAATAAATAACAAATACATTGTGAAATAATAAAATATTTTAAAATTGGTATTAATCACAGGACAAAAATTTCCGATATTTTGATGATACTTGAAGAAATTTGAGCATTAGCATATCTACGTATACATTGATAAACAATTTGTTTTTGTTTTTTATTTTTATATAAGTAACTACTAATTTTGATTACCTTGAATCAAGTAGAGAATTTCTTAAGCTTTCATTGACTTCCATGATAGATGTGTTTTTCAATTGTATTGTTATGGAATACTGTAAACATTTTTAATCAACATCAATAGCAAAACAGTTTTTCAATACGCACCTAAAATTTTCTTTTTTTTTTCCCAATTTACTTCCAAGTTTACTACAATAGCCAGTCTTCGCCGGTTATACCTAAAGTAATATTAAGTAAATAAGTAAATAAGTAAATAAGTAAATAGTATCTAAATACTAACTTTAATCGGTACCTAGAATATCGGCTTTCAGTGACGATAAAAGAATGTTGTATATTATTTGAACAATTAAACTAAAAATCGAGCGTACCGAAATTGATCGACAACGTAAGGCTACGGAACACATGCAATTAACCGAGTCCAACAGAAAACAACGGCTCCCGGTGCGCGCGTAACTGTGGCGTCTGCCGTCCAGAGACGGCAACGATAAATCGATTATCATGGGCCGATCTATCGATATGAGATTTCGATAATTTTGTCCGATATATCGTTAAAATATCGATATTTGAATTAATATTTAAAAAATATTAAATGTTGATCAGTAACAAAAGACACATAGAAAGGTATACGGATTTCACATCATTGTAATTCGGAGGCAATATATATTTATATTTTTCAAATTCGAAGGGTCTAAATGGCAAACATAATATGATGATTTTAATCGTAATGCTGTATGAAAATCCCAAATCTATAAAAATATTATTTTATATTTCGTCGCGCATAAAATATAAATGTATAACGTACCTACAATATGCACAATGTACCTATCAAAACGATACGTATTTAATAAAATAAAAAATTTGTTTTCTTTATTCTAATAGTACACTGCACGCGATCGCATTATTGAGCTACATTATATTATGTATTATCGAGCCCTTTGACCGCATTGACTACGAGAAATTCGGAATATACTAACGGTGAATTTAGTTCAGTCAACAGTCCACTGGCACAGTAACAGTGATGAATCATGTCTGGATGACTGGAACAAGAAATTCAGATTTTGTTACCGGTTGTCCCCCCACCATGGTCCTTGACCCTTACTTTGTTTTTGTTCTTATTAAATTAAAAATGTCTTGTCGTAGGTATACACCATTGATTATAAATACTATTATTTATAATCAATGTTTATATCTATGTTTTATACTCACTATCTTAAGAATCGACAACATTTAAGTTGACGTTTGGGTTTGTTGCTCAACTACGATCAATTAATCATTAATCGGAGTGTTAAGGTTTAAAGCCGATTAATTCAGAAATTCCATCGTTCAGATTGGTTATTTATTTCGTATACCTTTTTTTTTTCACACAAAACAACTCAACTAACAATACAAACATTCTATAAAATACATATATATACATAATATACATAATTGCTTCATAGACGTACATCGAAGTTACTAATCCAGTCTATTGCCTCTGGCATCACTTTGTGTAGGCATTCATAACCCTGGCCAAATTTTCTTCTCCGGTATTCCGTTACAATGTGGTCCATTGTTTCTTCCGCGCTGCCATAATCACAAACTGGATTGTCTTGAAAACCCTATTTATGTAAGAGAGCGCCGCACCTACCATAGCCTGTTAGTAATCTGTTTAGTGTAGATCAGGTGCTACAAGGAAGATTCATCCCTAGGACTCTGATATTAGTGTCGAGGACAAGTTTCCTTTTTGAAACAGTAGAGCTAGCCCATTTTTTTCGCCATTCCTTAGCATTATCAAATCCTGAACTGGACAGTTTCCTAGCGGTATCGACTGGTGGGCTAATGGATTTTAATCGCTGTTGACAGGGGTGGATAGGTAGTATTTTTGTTACAGGGAAATATTTTGAGGGGCCCCAAACTGAAAAACATTTTTTTTTACCACTCGCATTACATATTCAATATAACAGCTTTACTTAGAAATATAATTTTTTTATAAAAATTTTTCTATAAAGTATTATCTTCGACTCCACTCCAATATGGAACATCATTCAAATACCCTCATTGCTCAACTTCATACCCATGCTCTTCGGGACATCCAAGACAGACACCTCAAACGTGAATGGCCCAGAGATCTTCTCAACGCACATATAGCATAACATGTTTAATACACACCCCCCCTAAATTAACTTCCACGTAGAAANTACTTATTGTACCATTATGTATAGATTGTAAATTACACAAATAAACGATTAAAAAAAAAAAAAAAAAAATTTTTTCGCATATCAATCAACTTTGGTTAATAATTAAAAAATGTATTAAAATATTTTTAATACAATAGTAATTTTTGTAATAATTTACTTTTAGAAGCTACTTGATCAATTATTTGGTCAGAGTTAATTCTGTTCAACAATTCTTTTTCAATAGACATAAGCATAAAACTTTCCAAAAGGTCTTATGATAAAGTGCTCCTTAAATATGATTTTATATATGTTAATTTTGAAAATCCGCGTTCACAGCTTACTTGATTGACTGACAGAGTAAGTAGTAATTTGTAGCAGTTGTAGAGACCAGGATAAGTATTGGTATATAAATTAAACTTCACTAAGAAATTAAAAACACAAACCACACAGTATTTATCACCAGCTGTAGTATGAGAACATTTTTTTTCATCATCACCATCAGATTTGTTATCCAAATTATATTCAGTGTAGTCATAATTTTCACAAAAAATGGTCTTTTTGAATTCACTCTACTTAGACATCAAGTCTGTAAATTCATCTCTTAATGTGTCATAAGTCATTTCCGGGATAAAATAAACTATTTTATCATACATGGTTGACAAAGCTGTTGTAGATAAAGACATGTTTACTTGAAAATTATTTGGGTTAAGGCATACAAATTCTTCAAAAAGTTGACTGTGCGATGAATATCTAAATGAAATACTTTGTATTATTTTATCAAAAATTAAATTATTGACATTGACTTCAAATGCATGCAGAGGGTCATCTAGTAGATCATCAGTTGATTCATAGGCAAATTTCCGTGTTCTTTTTTTTTTCTTATTTCTGGAAAACTATGGCTAACTTCTACTTCAGTGTCTTCAATTTCTAATTTATTATTTGCCCATGCAACAAAATTGTCTGCTGCTTCCTTGATACTTGAGAAGTCACGTGCATTAAGTTTAAGCTCTTCAAGTGTTGCCAGAACCATTTGATAATATGTCATCATATTTACTCCATGACCTTGTGAATACTTAGAAAGCGGAGTAGTTTTTTGAAAAATCCGCAAATAAATTTGAGCTGTTAAAACAGTTTCAAACTTGCATAATCGAACCTATTGCTTTAAACCAAGCATCAGCTGTAATAGAAAGGTTATTTTTAATCTCAATTAATATAGTTATAAGTTCCACAAATAAACTAGGTTCTGGATTCTTAAAATGACCAAACACTTTAGATAACGCACTATGTTTAGACCACCATCTAGTCTCATCTATATAACATATTCGTTTATTCTTTTTTTTATTAGTCCACACATCCATACACTTTTGGGATTCTTTAATAAAAACAGCACATCCATTGAGTATTCCAAATAAATTAATAGACTGAAGAATTTTATTAGTTACATCTCCAATAACTAAGTTTAAAACATGAGTGTAACACTATATATGTATTTGATTTTTTGCCACATTGCTCAGTTGAGCAAAAAATCATATTTACTGCTCCGTCAATAGAATTACCAACACTCTTTTTGGGATCCAAGTTCAAGCTATTGAAAACTTTCAAAATTAATTCAACCATATTAATTCTTTTACTAGAGGTACATTTGACAATACCGACTAATCTTTCATGAATAGTAGTACCACTGACATAGCAAATAATAACCGAACATTGATCAACTACGGATTTGTAATTATAATTGTAATTATAAAAATAAAATGAATAACTATTACAAAAAATAACAATATATAAATATATACAATTAGTATATATTATAAAAAGTAAAAACAAACTATGATCGTACACCAGCGTTTAGAGAGATTAATTAATTCTACTATTTTTTATACTGTTGAAAAAGTTAAAATAAAATCTGATTATCAAAATTGTGTATATTGTAAATTACAATTCTAAATAAAATTTAAAATGTTGGTGTACGATCATAGCTTAATAAATTCATTAAAATACATTATTATAAATCATAACATTCATAACTAATATAAACAGGCAATTCTAAAATATAGAACTTACTTGAAAGCTTTTACAAAATTTGCTGTGTTATCTGTGACAATTATAGTGGTTTTAGACTGTATATCAAATTCTGTAAGGACTTTTTCAATTATTTCTGCTATATTATCATATGTATGCCTTTCTAATATACGTCTACAAGCAAGTGCACAGGAATTACGTTCCAATGTATTTGGGTTCAGCCAATGAATTGTAAAACCCATATATGATCTACAATAAATATATTTTGTAAATATAGGTTTAATATTATTATTAAATGACAATTAAAAATTTAGTTTTTTGATAATTAAAAATAATATTTTACCTGTGGAATATACTCCAACAATCTGCAGTAATGCAAACATATTCAATTTTTTCTAGTTCAGTCTTCAGTTGTTGAATTATATCATTGAACAATGAGCTTACATTTCTCATCAAACTTCTTCTGGAACTTTATTCGATGTTAAATGACAATATTTTATAAACGCAGGTTGTTCAAACAAAGAAAAAGGTGACACAATGGGTTCTAGGTTAGCCTTATCAAATTCTGTTTGACTAAGATTTTTCACAGTTTTTCCTACTTCCGATAATTTCAACTGTTTTTTGGGTTGAGTACAATTATTATTATTTTACAGCTTCCTTTTGCCAAGCTCGTTAAATTTAATTAATTCAATTGGATGAACACGCTGAAAAATAGTTATTACTTTCAAAATAGAAAATACATACAAATCTCACATTTTTAAATTTGTCCACTTAGTTTTCAATACTCGATTCGAAATTACGTACTTTATACCTACAAATTTTAGGTTAACTTTAGATAACATTGTAAAATTACAAAATGTATAACAATTAATGTTGTTAATTGTTAATTTTTTTTTTAAAACAGGTAGTTAGATAGCTAGCACTTCCAACGTTTTAAAAACACAATTGATCAAAAAATAATTTTAATCATTAATTTTCGAGTTGTTTACAAAAGCTGAAATACTTGTACTTTTACTATAATATAGTGATTTATTTTGATACTATTGAAAAAAAATTAAATAATAACAGACAGTTGAACCTTTAACATTAACCGGATATTTTTTCCTAAATTCACGAATAATTACAATTATAATGGTCCGATATGCATGTGAAACGATACATACATACATATATATATATATATATATATATATATATATATATTATAAATAAACTTACCTTGATGTGAGTTTTTAAATTTGAATTTGAACTTCTAGAAGTTGATATTAATTTTATTTTCGGCATACACAGGATGCATTTGAAATGTAAAATTTGATTTTTTTTTTTCTGTTGTGATTAGTCACCTATCGACACTCGCTCTCGTGGCATTCACTATTTTCACAGAATATTCTGCGGATTTCCATGGGTCTATACAATAACAATATTACAGAAATTAAACGAACAGAGCCATGAATCACAATAATATACAATTCTTGTAATCTTATTTACGTTAAGTACGTACAAATAATAATAATATAATATTGTCTTCACTCTTTATTTTAATATTATATAGCGTATCTGTATATACAAAGCTGTTCACCCATATTTTGTAAAAGTTTAAGGGGAATATACATTGTGTATAAATTTAATTTAATTCCAAGCAAAAAAAAAAAAAACGGGTAATAAATTTATATTACGAAGGTGGACACATGATGGTATACTTATACTTATCGTTTTATTACTTATTAGTTGTCTATGTTATAGGCTTCACCAATAACATGTTAAAAAAATTATTTATTAAATTCGGCATTTTATCTGTATTGTGACTGGTTATAATGCCGGTAATTATTGTGGAACCAAATTCGGATTAGTCGATTATTGTATTTATTTAGCAATGGAAAAACGTTCACAAAATTCGACATCCACTCCAGGGAACCCATCAGAGCGATAATCTTTATTACCTACCTTTGAAAATGTTTGTGATACATTTGATAATGATAAACGTGTAGGTAGATATTAGTGATGGGAATAATCGAATGGTTTCGATAACGTGTTAATTAACATAATTTTAACTTTTAACTCGTTAATGCCCAGCCTTGGTTATTGGTAAAGTAAGGAATACAATAATGAATAAAATAATAGTCAAATGGTTTATTGATATTATACTGTAAGACAACATTTGTCAACATTACAATTTACAACAACGACAATATAATATTATAAATACTCAACAGTATTTAGGGTTATATTTGATAACATAACATTATTATCAAACAATAATTACGTTTAATTGCTAGTAAGACTCATGTCTATAAAGCACGATAAACACTTAAATAATTATTGGAGGTAGGTTAAAATAGATAAAATAGATAAAACTACTGCCACCGCAGTTCAACAAAATACTGAACTGATTTTAACGAGTGCAATTTTTAATTTGACCCGTGAAACTTATAGGTTAATTTTTCAAAGTTTTTTTCTCGGTTCAGCAGTTCAGCAAATTAGACTCTCTCTCTAGAAATCGTGTTTTTTGAACTTGACTTCATCACTGATTAAAGACCGTTAACATATTGTAATCCGAAAAAAAATACCAATAATATTACAAATAGTTTACAGACATACTTCAACTTTATTTATATGTATTAATTATCGTCTAATAATTGTCATTCGTATGGTTTTTTAGTTGTTAGATTACAAACAAAACAACATTCCAGACAAATAATTTGTTAAGTATAACTTTGTTATCTACTTTCTCAACTAGGGGCGGATAGGTCCACCGGGATACAGGGATTTTCCCAGTTGGCTGCTACTTATATTGATGAAAATAAGCCGATAAAAAATACTGTTATTGGCTACTGTACATAAACATAAATATTCAAAGTTAATAAAAACAGACGTCCTAGGATAATGGAGACGGGTGCAGCCACTGTTTAATGTATACATGTAAAAAACGATTCTAATTGAAGTTCAATGGATGATAGTGATGCTTCGTCAAAAATATATATGCCATTCAATAGTAAAATAATTAAATAGGTTTTATATTTTTTTTTATAATATTTGTTTAATGTTTTACCGATTTTCTCAGTTTTCCTACGTTTTCCCATTTTCTGGGAAAATTGAAAAATTACTTCTATAAAGTACCTCCATAGTGATATTTTCTTTTAAAAATATTGCTGTCATTATAAGTTGGAGTGAAATTGCTGGTAGAAAAGTTGTGCACAGAAAAAAAGGTCGTTATTTGTTTTAACTAATAGATACTTACATTTCTTATATTTTCCTCGTTTTTTTTTTTTTGGCGGGTTTTCAAATTTGATGGGAAAACTCTTGTGAAAATCGAAAAATAACCTGTTTAAAGTATCTCTCTAATGAAATTTCATTTAAAAACATTGCTATCATTATAAGTTTGATCAAAATTGCTGGTAGAAAAGTTGTGCACAGAAAATGAAAATTGTAATATATTTCACGCATTTTCTAGTTTTTTTTTTTTAATTTGACGACAAAATGGAAAAACGACGTCGAATAAATTACCGATTCCTTTTTGAAAAAGGTGCTACACATAAAAATCTGAGTAAGTCTTCTGGTAGAAAAGTTGCGCACAGATTGAAAAAAAAAAAATAAAGATCTTTGTAAAAACCATGATCTTTTACGCTCCACTCAGAATCCAAAATACAATAATAAATACCGTACTATTCATTTAAATCCAGTTTAAATCGTGATAAATCATCATTGTCTTCCTAGTCCAACGTATGCATTTGTAGAACCACGTTGAGGCGTTATCGGCTGACCACCATCATTAGTCTTTGTCTTGGAATTTTAATATTACACTCAGTTTACGGCAGCTGCCATCGACTAAGTTGCCCAAATAAAAGTATTTACACGTTTATTATAGTACTCAGTTCTCGAATACAGACGTTGCGGTGAGATTTTGTTTAATTACTATAGTCGCTATATTTTGTTTTCGACTTACCGTTGTCACTTTGCATATACTATAGTATTGCGTATCAATTTATTTGAATTTAAATTCTGGAGTTTAAGCGAGTACGTTTTTCATATAATAGTTTACACTTATTTAAATAACTACAGCTTTTATTGTTATATTTATAAATTTATAGTTATTATTGAATACCTAGTCGAAATGTACAAATACTTTACAGTCATGTACATTTTCCACGGATCTCCTAATTTAAAAATATGACATTTTTCTTGGCCCAATCGCCAGTATTGGATAGTAGAACAAAAATTATCGTTAGTATATAACAGGTTTTTTTATTTTTGCACCGAGGGGGCTGGAGAACTGATCAAAATTGCCAATTTTAACAATTTCTTAATTTTTTTTTTTTTTTTTATCCAATCGTTAGTACCTATGCCATTAGTATTAGATAGCAGAAATAACCTATAACCATCGATTATAAATACTATAGATTGTCCACTGACACGTTTAACGTATGCGTAATCAGTTCTTGTTCAAATAATTGTCGCAAATTTCTCATGGTCTCGAATACGTCTTCATACTTGGGCTTGTGACGATGCAGATCTTTCGTAATTAAGTACAACAATCTTTGTTTCTCGCGATTGATTTGTTTTGTAGTTTTACGCTTTCATCCAGTCTGAAACGCTGTTTAAATTTTCGAGCTATGCTCCGAGACATTTCTAAATCTTTCGATGCACAGTGTGCGCAGTAGTGCGTAATGCTGCGGTGCGTCGAACAAGTCGCCTTCTACTTCTTCTATCACGCGATTGTTCATTATCGGTTTGTCATAGTTCTCCCGTTCCCGGTAAGTAGACACTTAGTATTCGAAGTAGTTGACGTGCACAATGCGACTAAGAGCATCGGCATTAGCGTCTAAGATTCCCGGTTTACACACTCCCATAGTCGTGCTTTTCAAGTTTCAGTCGCCAGCAGACTAGTCTGGCTCCGGGATCGGAGACCGAGAGTAACCGAGTTAAAGGTCGGCGATCTGTCGGTGTTCAATACGTTTGCGCAATGTATATCTTCGAAGAGCTGTAAGGGGCTAAGTAAAGCTGCGAAGGGCATGTATCAACGCATCATGGTCGGTTCCAACAATGTTCGGGGTACACACCGGTATGACCATCTCGTTCCGCGCTGGTTCGATGAATGCGCTGTCCGATACGTTCGAGCTGAGTATACCCTCTGCAAGATTTATTACGGAAAAAATTTTCTCTAGAGAAGGACGACCGATAACCCCGTATCGTGGTAACGGTCGAAAGGTCGTAGGTACTACTTGAAATATAGTTTTCTGAACATGAAGTTGTGCATGTGTATGTCTAGTCAAATGGAACCCAGCGTTTCCGTTTATTCCTTGAATGTATCGTTGACGTTTGCTTTTACGTCGTCCGATATGGAATCCGGTCTGATCAAGTTAAACTCCGCTCCGATGTCGATCAGTAGATTAGCATTATTTTGCGGGCACTGCGGAAAACTGAACTTGGCGTGGTTGTCTACTAAATTAGCAGTTATTGCTCGGATCGGCTAGTAGTTGCCGCGGGCTTTATAACGCGCACCGTCCGTTCGCTTCTCGTTTCCCGCACTTTGTCCGTCCCGCTTTTTCGTAGTTCTGCAGCCACTGATGTCGCGAGCCGGCTTTTTGCAAAGCGGCAGAATAACCGGTGTCTTCGGTCACTTCCTCCCGTGTCTGGCGCCTCCGTCTTTACGGACGAGGTAGGTCCTATTGGTTATTTTATTATGGGATCGTCTCCGTGCGCGTTGGCAACCTTGCTCCCTCCCCCCCCCTCTTTGTATTATTTGGGTTATTTCGATGCAAGGCCACAGCGTAAACACGCGTAATAATTTGAAAAATCCTGAACCCTAGCCTTCGTATTTGAAGTTTTAGTTTTTATTAACTACGCAAGGTTGTGTCGGTGCGAGTAATTCGTACTGTATATTTGGGTTTATATCAAACAATATTTGAATATGGACTGTTAATTTGGGAAGGGGGCTTTGAGCTAATGCGCTGAAACTATTATTAATGCATCAAAGAAAAATAAATGTTTACAAATATCTACCTTTGAAGTTTCAACTATAATAAACTTTAAATCCTTTAATGTAATCCAGTGGATTTATTGTTCGAAAAAATTACCATTTTATAGGTGATAAAATTTTTTAAAAACGACTAATTTGAATGAAATCTCAGATAAAAGAGAAAACATAGCTTATGATACCAAAGTTATATATTTCAAAAAAATTATTTGGTCAAAAATGTGTGGACTCCCTTGGTTTTACTTATTTTTTATGCCTGTTACTATATTAAAAAATATTATCGGTACATTTTCAAATGCTATATTATTGGTTATAAATTGGTCATTCACATCTGTAATTGAAGTGTGTATCTATCTATTAATGTTTATATCTATATCTAATCTTATTAATTGTACATACATATTATAAGACATTGAATTCTCTACCTTTAACACAAGTGTTGCTTTCCAAAGACATATAATTTTATTTCAAATCAATTTATGTATATTATTTTGTATACAAATAAAAAAAATATAATAAAAATGAAATCTAATATAATGTTGTGTTTATTTAACCATTTTCTTATATGATCAGATTTTGTTTTAAAAAAACCAACCTATACATAGGTGTATGATAAAAATAATAGAACATTACTAGTAAAAATATAAATACCTAACCAGGTACTCACTACTTGCCTTGTTGAAAAACTAATAAATAACAGAAAAAAAATAATTCAAAATTTTTTTTTATTTTTATAATCCTTACCTATTAGTAATACAAATATTTAAATATAGTATTTCCTCATCAAGCAATGTATTGGAAATACACCTTTAAGTATCATTAAATCAAGGGCATTCGACACATATGGTTTCATGACAGATTCTCTAAGTGATCAATCATTTTAAATTTATAGTATTTGAATAAAATATTACTGTATTTAATTATAATAATTCTATGTCTGAAGCCAATGAGGGAAATTAAAAATAAAATAAATAGATTTGTTATACAAAACTACGTCAGGTAGTATTTTATTTTGTGTGCACTGTATGCAGTAGGAAACGATTGTGCAATTTCTATAATTTTTACTCATAACATATTATGGGAGAATGTTCAATGGACAGGTTTAGCTTCTACCTATTAGCTCATCAGTAAATTTTTCTGGTACTAGGTGCGATTTTACTACGATTGATATCAACTAAACTAATTTACGTATAAAACATGAACGCATGTTAAAAACATAAACACAGTTAATATTGATTTTTATTGATTACATTTTAATAAATTGTCAGCACTTGACGGATTATTTAAAAATTGCTATGAATCAGTTTTAGTTAAATCTATTGAGTAAATGACAATTATTAAATTATAAAAATATTTACATAACATAATATAATTAAGTCTGAATCACCTAACTAGTAGTTACATGAAAAATGTATATTGTATTAAATAATAAAGTAAATATAAATTTTTATACACCTAAAAAAATAATATAATTTTATTTAATTAAAATTCTAAAAATCATGTTTTTGTTTCATTTTAAAATCATACCCCATCACCATAAAAAAAAAAAAAAAATTGAATTAGATACTACCATGGTACACAAATACCTATATATTAGTGTAATAGTGTTTATTTTATAATATTTATTATTATATCTATGAATCTATCAATAAAGAACCACAAATACACTGTATTATACAGATTTTAGATTGGCTTGTGTACAATTTTAAAATGATAATTATTGTATGATCGGTAGTCAAAGTTTTTTAAAATTTGTATTTACGCTTACAATTATATAAATATAAAAAAAATCAGTAAAAATATTTTTTGATTAAAAAAAAAAAAAACTTCAGCGTAGTTTACAATTAGGAAAAATAAAATTGATAATTAATAATTTAGGAATAGTTTTTAATAGTTTTAATAAAGTTAATGAATAAACTAATTACTATTATATAGTGAATACTAAATATTATAAATTAAAATTCTTTATTTATTAATTTTATTTAAGACATTTTTATGAAATGTAAAATAGGTATTTTGTATAATAATATAAATGGTATTTTTAATTCTTTATGCAGTATGGATGTAATAAAAGTAATGTTATTATAATAAAGAAAAAAAAAAACCATCAAAATTGTTCAGTCAGGAAAATTGAAAAAAAAAAAACAAAGAAATTTATGAAAAGAAACGCTCTTTGAAATTCTCACAACAATAAGTATCCTCAAAATAATACGATTGTTCCATGCTAAAGTAATTTACACTTCTGGTATATGTTTCTCCTTCAGAATAATGATCAGTCATGAGATTCTTCATCTTGGCAATTTCTTCGTTAATTTCTATACATTGACCTGAGATTTCCCTTCTAATCCTTTCTGCTTCCTTTAATAAGTCACCTATTGAAACTACATAAAAGTTTTGTGGTTTACCATCATTTTTACAACAATCCTTCAAAAAATCAGAAAGATCTTTAAAAACTGGTTGAGTAGTAGTTGTAGATGGTTTTTCTCCAGAATCATCATTTATGGGATTCTTTGTCTCGGCAGTCGTATCAAATTGAACTGAGCTTCCAGGTTCGTTTTCCATATTTAAAAACTAAAGTAACAAACAAAAACCAAAATATAATGTTGCAAATTTTTTTACTTATTAAATGTTGTCCATTATGACAAATATAAATAAATTAAATTCTATAGTATAATACAATTAATAATTTGTTTTATGAATTTCTATTTTTATTCTCAAAACTCAGTTATGACATTTTCATACAATTTGGTATTTGATCATTAAATATAAGGAATTGATACTTTTTATTATCATTATTTCTAGATTACTGATCTAGATTTCTAAATTCTAAATGAAAAAAATAACTATGGGGGCAGGTAATCTGGACGAAAATCATGTAGACGAAGTAAGTTTAAATTAAATAATTGTAACATTTCTATGTAATCTGATAAAATAATTTTTTTGTCAAACATATATATATCCATTGAATTCAGTAATCAAAATGGCTGTTATCGAAAATGAGAATTTCTCGTCAATAATAAATAATTAAAAATTCAATATAGATAGATTTGTTAAATAAAATTAAAAAAAGACGTCCTTGGATAATAGGAACGGGTGCAGCAACCACTCACAGATAATTTAATGTACGTGTAAGCAACAATAAACCATTGCTTACGAAACACGATTCTGAGCGAAGTTTAGTTAATAGTGACATTTGTCAACAATGTATGTCATTTTATAATGAAAACAAAAAAATAAAATCAACGACAAAACTTAGTTAAGTAAACAACAAAATATAATGAATAAATTAAAAATAAATAATTCAGAAATAGTTCCAGTAGATAAATCTAATGCTATTGTTATCATTTATACTAATGAAATTCTTTAAAAAAAACTATAGATTTTATAAATAATAATATTCACAAATTAATAAAATGATAACAAATTCAAAAGAAATCATACCTAAAGTCCAAAAGAAAATATTATTAAAATCTGATTACAAAATAGAGGCACCACACTTACATGCATTCATTAAATTACATAAACAAGATAATCATATTTGTTCATTAATTAACTTTAAAACTGCTCCAGCGTATAACCTTACTAATTATTTAGACTTTCTCATAAAAGAAATATTCAACACGAATACTGATACTTCTATAAAAAAAACACATGGTTTTATTAATAAAATTAATATTGTGCCAGGTTACAAAATGATTTCTCATGACATTAAAAAAAGCATATACATCCATTTCTAAACAAGAGACAGTAACTTTTTTAAAAAATAAACTTGTACATTGCAATAAATTTAATACAAACGTACTACAAGAGATTATTCAATGAATAAATGTAATTATTAATCAGAACTATTTCCAATATAATAATAATAATAAATTATAATCGCAAAAAGATGGATTAGTTATGGGTGGTAGTTAACCCTTCATTGCATGCAAGGGCACTGATGCATCGCATAGTTATAACAGATTGGGTATTATTAGCCGGGTTTATGCTGATAATAGTTTAATATTATGTTTTCTACAAAGTGAATACGTGTTGTCGTGTTATCCGCAAAGTCGGTCATCTGTGTATGTATGACATGTAACCGAACGTTATCTATTCCGAAAATAATAACGAAAAAATTATCAACACACGGGAAAACATGTCTGTTTTTAGCCTATGACAATTAGCAATTATATGTTTATAGTGGGGAATTTAAAAACACGTTTTATCTAACAATGCATAGATGCATTTCCATGCAGTAAACGCACTACGTAATAGTCACATTATATGATATTGTGTAATTACTCCCATTGTCACTACGTAGTTACGATAGTTAAATGTTGTATTATTTTCGTTTATTTTTTGATTTTCATTATTTCTCGTAATTTGGGGAATAATCTGGACAAAATTATTCTTATTTTAAACATTCCAAGTGACAGCGAAGAGGAGTACGGTGATATCGGTCTAAGTGACGACGAAAATTTTTAATTACCGGTAGGTACCTACCTAGTTATTTTTACTAGTATAGATTGAATGTTCTTTAGGTTGTATATTTTGGTTATAATACATTTTTATTTTAAACCTCAGGACATAATTCTAAACGATAGCCGCTTTCTTGAAAATATAGTAGAAGATAATATTTTAAATTATCCCGTTCATTTGGTTGAAAGTGATGATCAACGAACTGTACAATCTACTAGTCAAATTCCTATTGTTATCGAAGTCCCTGCAGCTTTTGAAACTTTACCGTCTTTTCCACCCCCCTCACAACAAGTCCAATTGCATAATAGGAGAAATAGTAGAAGACGTAGGAGTACTGGTAATTCTAATATACCAGTACGAACTGTAAACCGGTCTAGTATTCGAAAAAAATAAAAAAATTGAATCTAACTTGGAGGAAAGGTAATTTTATTCAAAATCCCGGGTTTATTAAGTTTACTGGGGAAGAACCAATGCCGTTCTGTTTCACAGAAATTACTACGTCTAGAGAATTTTATTCTTAATTTTTAGACGATGATTTGTTACATCACATTGCGGAACAATTTACGTTGTACAGCATTCGAGTAAATGCTGAAAAGGCGTATAAAATATCAAAAAGTGATGTAAAACATTTCGTAGGTATTCTTTCTATGATGTCAATCGATCATGGTCCTAATACAAAATCATATTGGTCTGAAAATACTGGGAATAGCGTCATTAGGAACTGCATGGGTGTAAATGTATTTGAAAATACAAGACGATATTTACTTACATTTCAATGATAATACTCATGATTTGCCTAGAGATAATGTAGACCGTGATAGACTTTTCAAAGTTCGACCTCTTATTACTAAACGAAAAATTAGGTTCTGTCCCAATGGAAGAAAATATTTCATTGGATGAGCAACAATTATGTCCCGCAAAAGCGATTTCGTACCTAAAACAGTATCTTCCTTTGAAACCTCTGGGGTTATAAACTGTTTGAGGTCTGTGGTATGCATACAATTTCGAAATTTATACTGGTAACGAAAATAAAGAGACTAACCGTTTACCAAATGAACCGGATTTTGGAGCCACAGGAAATGTAGTAATAAGGATGACTAAAAAAATACCTGTAAATGCCCATCATAAATCACTTTTCGATAATTATTACACATCATTACCGGTTATGGTATATCTCAGAAAAAAAAAAAATCTCAAAGTTGTTGTGAGTAGACCTAAAATAATTCTATAATAAGCACATGGGTGGAGTTGATCTTATGGATTCGATGATTGGGCGGTACAGGATAAACAGGAGATCAAAAAAATGGTATATGAAATTTTTTTATCATCTTGTGGACATGTTTATAGTTAATGCTTGGATGTTATTTAAGAAAGTAACTGGGAAAAAAAATTCAATTGCCGCAGTTTCATGAACAATTATCTGTCGTACTTTGCAAAGATTCTTTGAATATAAAAAAGAAAGATAGAAGATCACAGGAATCGGTTGAACAAATGCAAGATAAAATTCAAAGAAGAAAAAAGAGGACACCAAAAGCAGCAATTCCGCCAGAAGAATTTTGTACGGATAATATACAACATTGGCCATAATTTGAAAAAAAAAATAGAAGAGTATGTAGGCATACTGGATGCATAACCAGTCATTTGTCAAATGTTCTAAATGTAATTTATTTTTGTGTTGTAACACAGAAAGAAATTGTTTCACCAAACATAAAATTTAATTTTGTCAATTTATTATTAATTATAAAAATATTCAATAAATGTTTATAATAAATATAATTAAAATGTATGTCCGAGTATTGTTATCTAACATCAGAAATAGGCCATGTCAGTAGACGCATGGAAGTGCACTCATGCATTACATCAAAAATTACTGAAATCTATAATTAGAAATCAAAATTAATTTATTTTTTTATGAATTCTACATATACATTTATATACAAAAACATTAAAACATTTTTAAAAAAAAAATCATGCAATGAAGGGTTAAGTGCTCTTTTATCTGAAATTTACATGCAAAATTATGAAACCAATAAATATTATCAACAACAAAAGATGGTCAATCTATTAAAGCATATTATAGATATGTGGATGACACGTTCATTTTATTTAAAGGTTCAAATATACAGGCGGAAATTTTAGTTGACTACTTAAACAAAATAAATAAAAACATTAAATTTACACTCAAAATACAAATGAATAATAAATTAAATTTCTTAGATCATACAGTTTCAACAATAAATTTAATTTTAGTATTAACAGGAAACCTACGCAAATTGATGAAACTATAATACCACATAATTCTATGTAATTTTTTAATTTAATATTCTATAGACTTAAACATATTCCATTAAATAAATATAATTATTAACATGAGCTCAAAATTATCTATAACATAGCCCATAGGAATAATTTCAATATAAATATTATTAAAAAAATAATAATACACAACTCTCCAAATAATCTTATAAACTATTGTAGTATAAAAAATCAAAATAATATGTCTAACAAATTCGCTAAAATTCTGAACAATAATACAAATAATATGAATATCACTTTTAAAATTAATAATTTAATTGAACATACAAACAATTGAACTAAAAAAACCTTCACAAAAAATTCCATTTCTTTTGAAAATGCTGGTATATATAAACTTAAATGTAACTGTAATAAATTTTATATAGGTAAGACAAATAGACATTATGAAATAATATATAAAGAACTCATTTCTAAAATAAAATTAAAAAAGACTGCCTCTAATTCAAATTTCACTAAATGCGTTTTAGAAATTAACCATAATATAAGTTTTGATATTAATACCGACTTAGAAATATTAAATACCCAAAATCACATTTACATTAATTCAATTTTAGAAGAATTACACATACACAATGAAATAAAGAAAATAATTTGATTAATATTTTCAATGTTCAAACTGATTTTAAAAATAATATCTTATATCAATACATTTTAGATAATAGCAAATAACCAAATATTTTATATTTCTTAACATATCTATATTTAATAATAACTAATTTTAAATAATTTCTCCTATTAAAATAAATCATTTTTTATTCTATGTAAAATAATTTGTATAATTTTTTTTATAAGTATACCTTCATTTAATTTTTTATATTTAGTCACGTTTTACGTTTTGATTGTGATATACCTGATGATGAATTATTAATTTGAACCGGTCGTATAATACACCACCAGTCGATGCATTCATTCATTTATGTATTTTATTTTTATATATTTATTTTATTTATTTATTTACAAATATTAACCATTTCAATAATTTTGTTTTTACTTTATTATTTTATTATGTATTTTAACTAACATTTACATTTCTTATATTTTCCAATTTTTTTTTTTTTGGTTTTTCAAATTTGATAAGAAAACTTCTGAAAAAATCAAAAAGTGACCTCTCTTAAGTATCTCCTCAAGCCCATTTTCTTTCAGAAAAGAAACACAGATAGATAAAAATAAATAAACATCTTTGTAAGTTTCTTTGCTCTACTCAGAGTTTAAAATCGTTTATTAACATAATATAAATGTTTTTATTTTACAAAACCAAATTAGTGAAATCTAAATAGGATTTTAAAAAGCAACCGATCCATATAACTAGTAATTTTATCTATATCTTACCGCATTTACTAAATTTCAAAATCTAAGTATCAATAGATTGATTGATTTGGAGAATTTAAAATACTTATATAAGTTGTTGAGAAATTATGGAATAATTAAATATTTAAAGCCAAACTAAAATAAAATAAATAAGAAAACGACTAGTTTTAGCCTAAGCCATTTTCAGGTTGCATAAATTAAAATAAAATTTTCCAAATACAATAAAATGAAAAAAAAAAATAATAGTCAAATATAAAATGTACTATTATTATTATAATATAGGTATTGTGTTTCAATTTTACAGACAAATAAAAAATATGAAGACTTCTCATGTGTGCACAAGTTCTTAACAGGGAATCTGTAATTTATGATATTATACAAATCATTATGTACACCACTAATATAACTCCATTCGCTGTAGATCTAGGAAGTACATAATAATCTGTGTGTTCCTCATTTGATTTTTGATTTATCAGAATAGCAATCGTCAAACAATTTTAAACATCCAATTGCCTCTCAATGGACAACCAACAAATATGGCTGATACACAGGATGATGAAAAGTGTGATGGATTGATAAGTTTTATTATTATAAAATCAATTTATCTACCTAGTTCAACATACAACTTTCTACTTCACGTATTGTCGTGTTCTTAAACTTGATTCTAATTGTTAAACTAATTTAACTAAGAATAAATATTATGTCAGATTAATTACTAATTAATGTTTGTTTTTTAATAATTAAACTTACTAAAACAGAAGATCTTGAAAGTCAAAATTCAATGTCAGCGTAATTCAATATAATGAATGTTTAATCTGTATAGACTTTTGCTTTAATAACGCCAAGTACTTCTTAATAAATTTGTATTGTTATTATTTTTATGTAGTTTAAATAAAGAACAATGTTATAGTATTGTCCATATTTACTTTTTACTTATGTGGTTTGTGAATAAAATGGATGAAAACGCGGAATGATAATCGTCGGCTAATATCAACAAATTTAACAAAAACAGTGTTCCTTGGCTATCCTACGGGTGCATTGGTGTAACTCGTTTAAACGCTTATCAGCGCTACCGCACGTTCTGATTGGCGTTTGATAGCGCTCAGATTACAACCATAACCGTGTTCACGAACGTTTATTCCATCGAGGTAATGCAACAAACGCTCGCAAGCTAATCAAATGATAATAAACTCATTGAAAAAAGTGATAATTCTTTGATTATATTTTCACCGAATAATAAATTATTATTCTTTGAAGAATACGACCACGCTGATTAGACTACGACTAATATAAATGTATAGAAATAAAAAAGTTTAAAGTACATGACATTTTAACAATTTGTTAAAATAATATTATTAGTGGTTACAATTATAGTACCTAGTGATAACAATTAACATCCGATAATTGCGATGATCGTGCAATCAATATATGCTTATATTTGCGTTGGTCTTGAGATCCATCTAGCAGTGCTATTTAGATACGAGTTTAAACGAACCGTTTATAAGCGTGAGCGTCGGCACCGTAAGCGTCTAAGCATGCTACACGAATGCACTCTATGTCCGATTAGAATATCACACGAGTAAAAAGTTTTAATGCGGAATACACGGAATATTTCCATCTTCAGTAAAAAAAAAAACAATGATTTACAATAATTGCAAGCTTAACATAATAACCAATTTGTGTATTAATCCTACCAATGTGATGCACAATTGGAAATTCGTCAAATTATGTATTTCGAGGACCACAGAGCCTAGCGTTTAAAACGTGACTGTTTTGCATTAAAAATATACGACGCGTTAACAACCATGTTTCTAGTCACTGTAGATTATCTATGTTAACCTCAGCCAGAGTTCCTAACACCGAGACAGACTACTGACTACTACTTTTATTGTAGTAAGATTGTTGACATCCATACACGTTATTAATTTCCAGTTAGTGACGTGTATATTTGGCTGATAACCAGGCAACGCACGTCGCGTTCGTCGACTGCACGGAGACTATAGTATTATGTGGGGAAACATGAAATTTAATAGTCGTCAACTATGAAGCACGTTACATATATTGATACATACAGCGTGCGCATTACGAAAATTTAGTTAAATAAATACGTAAAACCGTCAACGGTCAAACTTACTTCAGGTTAGCGAATGTTTAATGGTAGTGTTAATGATGGACGTTTTCTACGGGCTCAGCGAACACTGTGAACGCGTGTAGTGTGTTGAACGCGAAAACAATAAATGGCCAAGACGGATTCAACCCGTAACTCAAAATGAATAACGCGCTTGAACGGAACAAACTACAACAATCAAAATTCAGAGTAACAAACAACGTTTCCAGTAGATAACAGGAATACAGAAGCTTAGACAAGTATGGCGTATTGGCTCTTCTGACCGTCAACAATGGCGGTGCACGATGGCACAGCTGTCACTGCAGTGATACCAATCTTCATAACCAAAAACATTGACATATTATAAATTTAGTTTCCCGGGTAATATTTTCCAGAATTTTAATTTCCCATTATTACGTTTGCCGACTGATGTTTTCCCGATTTGTACGCATCCCAGTCATATCGTAAATCACCACAAATTACTTAAAAAACTTCAATAACTCATGGGTGGCTTTGCCCTCCATACCCGTCCTTGATTTTCTTCTATTTACAAAAACACCTATTTTTATATACTACCTTGAATCATATCCTATGGATAGAGATATTGATTAAATATTTAAAGCAAACATAAATTAGGGGAGTTAAGACAAATGCGCATGCACAAAATTTATATCGCACGCAATTGAACGAATTAACGTAATCAATCACGTGTGATGTACCAACCATCACTGCCTGTTGGTATTATAATGATAATACGATAAATATGAGACGAGTTCTAATACGCATTTGCAATAGACATCAGCCCCCTTAGCACTCGTTAATAATGATGTTTTCAACTCGTAGCACGGCTTAAATCGTGTAGTTGTACGCGTTATCATGCAGTAATTTTATCCATAGTATATGATCACTGGTAGGTTTACACAAGACGTGAGCCACGAGCGTATTTCACGATCGCGTGATTGGTGACTCACGAGCGTGGTTTCAAAAAGCGTCTCACGTATCGTGAAGGTGTTTACACGTTAACATGATTTTAGTTCAGTAAGATGGAGTCGTTAGTGGCGAAGCATGTTCTATTTTGTCTGGTGTGTTGGCTCAACAATTGAAACAACGATTAACAAAAAGTGATAGATCTAAATTAAACAGTAGAAAGAAAATGAGATGGTGGGTAAGGCAATGGATTCAAAAACGTAAAAGTAATGGCGGTTCTATGTTTATTTCACGCGAGTTACGAAATGAAAATCCGGAAGATTTCAAAAACATTTTAAGAATGTCAGATACACACTTTGACTATTTGTTGAATAAAATAAAATTCAAGATTCAAAAAATGGACACAACAATGAGGGAAGCTATTCCGACAGATATTAAACTCAAATTAACACTTCGCTACTTAACAACGGGTGATTTATTTAAAAGCCTGGAATATGTTTTTAGAGTTGCTAAATGTACCATCAGTTTATTTCTACCTGAAGTTTGTTCTGAAATATAAACAGCTCTTGCAGAATTTATTGAAGTAAGTCAAAACAATTTAAAATATACATCTATATTTTTAAATTTAGTATTTTAAACATTTAACATAAATAGGTACTTAAATTGACAAATTAACAAATTAACAAAAATAAAATAAATTTTAACTCATATTGAAAAAAAAAAAAAAAATAACGAATCCTTTCTTTTAGTTACTAATTAATATAAATAGGAATATTTAAAACAATTTATAGTTGTGTATTTGATAAGTTTGTAAGCATATAATCTTCGGTTTCTGATAACAGTTCATCAAATATATCTGGAGATCCAAAATCACTTGTATCTGTACTAGTTTGAAGGCTAGAAGATCTTTGTAGTTCAAATTTTGAGCTTTTTCAGTTATACCATCTAATTGTTAACTGCAGCTAATACACTGTCAGTCTCACTAGAACTCGACTTAAAAGTCTCAAATTTTCTTTTCTTCAAATTCCAATCTCTTTTTTGTGGACTTTTAAACAATTTTCTTTTAATAGTTGTATTATTAGTATTATTTACATTAGTACTTATATCAGGTTCTGTTAAATTTGATTCTAGTTCATTGATACTGGCTTCTACTTGAAAACTATAATTTAAGTTAAACATAGCTTGATTTTCTATGTCAGTTTTTTCTATATCTTTACTTTTGTTTTCATTTGATATCACCTGAAAATTGAATATTTTAAAATTTTAGTTTTTTAGGTGCCAAAAACAAAAAATGAATGAAATGAAATAGAAAAAGGTTTTCAAGAGATGGAATTTTCCGAGATGCATCGGAGCAATGGACGGGAAACACATCCTCATTAAAGCACCACCTAAAAGTGGATCAAAGTTTTACAACTATAAACACCAGTAGAGTATTATATTATTAGCATTAATTGACTAAAATTACTATTTCACGTACATTGACGTTGGTGCAAATGGTAAGGCATCAGATGGTGGTGTATTTCAAGAAAGCTCTTTTTTTGAAGTATTAGAAAACAATACTCTAAATACCTCAGACGATGTTGTTTTTATAGCTGATGATGCTTTTCCGCTCAAGACGTATTTGATGAAGCCGTACAACAGAAGAAATTTAACAAGAGAACAAGCAATTTTGAACTATAGATTATACAGGGCTAGAAGAATATTAGAAAATGTTTTTGGTATACTTGTGAGTAAATTTAGAATTTTTGAAAGACCAATCCCATTGATACCTCATAAAGTCGATAAAATTGTTTTCGCTTGTTGTGCAATACATAATTGGTTACGAAAAACAAGTCAAGCCTATTTATCACGGGGTCTTATTGATCACGAAGATTATAACTATGAAATCACAAATGGATCGTGGAGACAAAATCAAAGTTTTAGTCAAAATGTTATAAAAAGATATACATAATCAGACAAACAGTACACCACAATTGAGCTTTCACGACTGAAATATCCAGTCGTGACAGGTTCGTGGACGATAATATCAAGATCGTGAAGTACGAATTGTCTGTTTACACAAACCGTGAGCCACGCTTCTAAAGACTAGACTCTAAAGCCCCTTTTACACGAGGCCAACATGATGGTGCGACCATGGTGGCGCCACCAGACGCATTATTTTATTTTACAAAACTAATTAAACCAATATTTAGTTCCAAAATGGAAGTTGAAGAGTTGACATGTGTTGCTTATTTGTACAGCCGTAGTAGACGTACAAAGAAAAAAAAAAGGAAGTTTTGGGTACATCCATTAATTGCTGATCGCTCAGCAAAAGGTTTATTTAATTTATTTTACTATGATTTAAGAAAATATGAAGACAATTTTTTTAATTATTTAAGAATGTCGATCAGTTCATTTGATGAACTTTTCGATAATTTAACCGGCTAGTATAGTATACCAATATGAGAGACTGTATTTCACCTGTAGAAAAATTGGTTCTAACTTTAAGGTAAGATATATATTGATTAATAAATACTTTAAAAAATACTACTAAAAAGACTTTTTTGTACTACCCAAAAATATAAGATAATGTAGGTAATTTAACTTATTGTAATAGTATTAGATACTTATATACATATACTATAAAAAAATTAACAATAGACGTCTTGATTATGATTATTAAATTAGGAATATGATTGAACACTTGTTTTTAGTTAAATATATACATGAGTCTGAGGAGTTTTCTGTAGAATTACTGTTGATTGAGATTGAAGGTGTTTGTGTAGGAGTTGATATGTATGGAAGTTGTAGGTCTAATTTGAACATCTGTTTGATTTTGTGGCACTTTTACATAGTTTGTATTTGTGACTTGATCATTGGGTTGTTGTGTGGAAATTGTTGATCTTATATGAGTATTTGTCTGATTTTGAAAATTTTTAGGATAATTTCTGTTTGGGGCTGAATTATAGGTATGTTGTATCTGTTGATGTGGTTGATACATAGTCCAAGGTAAACGTTGTAAATTAGTTTCGACATTAGTTTGTAGCATTATTTGATGTTGTAGAGGTTGATGCTGTGGTTGAAATATTAAAGAAGCTGACTGTGAATTAACTTGGGCTGATTAATTACATTCATTAAATCCATTCTAACAGAAAAACGTAAAGGCTCTTTGGTATTTGTTTTAATGGTTTTAATAAAGACAACAAAAACATTCTATCATCATCTTCTTCCATTTGTTGGTTTTGTTCTTGACGAAGTTGAATAATTCTATGTAATGCTTCTACAATTTCTTTTTCAACCGGATGCATTGAAATTTGTTTTCTTTTTTTTCTTTGTTGGACCACTAATTGCATTGTTCTGCAATTCATCATTAGTTTCATTTGTAAAAGGGCCTTCAACTACGGTTTCTTCATTTTCATCAGTATCCAGTTATAAATTTGTTTCTGTAGGTTTATTTTGAACTACTAGTACTAGAAATAATAACTGGTTACAATAAACGTATGGTTTCTTACGTGAACTTTTAGACCCCGACTTTAGTCTTTTTACTCTGCTCAATTCCCTTGAAAAACAGTCACGCAAACTTTTCCATTTTCGTTGTAAACTTAATCCTAAAAAATTGCAGATGTTACCAAATTATAAACATTTTAAATATTTTAAAAATTAGATTTTAATACAAATAATTTTTAATTAAATAAGTATTTATTTATTTTTCGTTTTTCATTTTTCTTATACCAGACCAGATACCTGGCCAGTGGATGCTCTTTTACTGAATTACATCACGAATATCGTCTTGGAATCTCTACTATCAGTGGTTTTGTTGAGCAAGTTTGTGAACTTATATGGAACAAATTAAGAGATATATGTATGAAACAACCATCGAAAGAAAATTGGCTTAATAAAGCAATTGGATTTGAAACACATGCAAATTTTCCAAATTTGTTAGGGGCACATACATGATGGTAAGCACATACGATTAATAAAACCTACAGAAAGTGGATCGTTATATTAAAATTACAAACATTATTTTACTGTTGTATTGCTTGCCATCTGTGACTCTAATTATTTATTTATATCTGTAGATATCGGTGCTTTTGAAAAAAGTAGTGATTCATCTATTTTTAAAGATTCGTTATTTTATAAAAAGCTTATGAATAATTCTTTAAATGTTCCTGATCCAAAACCAATATCATCTATAGACCCAGAACCAATGCCATATGTTATTTAAGGAGATGAAGCATTTGGTTTATTAGAAAATATTATGCGTCCATATGGGGGAAATAATTTGACAGTGAACAAGAGAATTTTTAATTATCGATTGTCAAGAGCTTTATTGATTGTACATTTGGAATAATGACAAACAAATGGAGAATATTGCACCGACCACTTAACGTCAAACTTGCTGCTTTAACTGTCAGAGACAAATATGCTAATTATTTTATGACTAAAGGTCAAGTTGAATGGCAATACAATAAAATTTAATATTTCAAAAATGTTTTTAATATTAGTTTTAAGTTTTATAAATAATAATTTAATGTCACTTTTACATTGCTAAATTAAATATATCACTTAAATACTTATTTTAATCATTTTTAAATTAAATGCTAGATATTACAAATTATATAATTAAAATTATCAGATATCATTAAATTATATGCAATATAATTATATTACCTATATTATATTATATTATATTAATTGCTCACCTATTTCCTTTTTTTCGTTTATATTACCTTCATTATGGGTACTGAATATGCCCACAAACTCCTCCCAACTATTCTTTTTTAAGTACGATTTGCATACTCTTCACTTGCAGAATTCCAAATGGCAAGACGATTTTCTACTTCAAATATTAATTTTTCTGTATCGAAATTTCGGCTGTCCATTTTGTTGAACACAATGCAGATACATCTGGTCGCACGACTGGTGGCCGATCAATTGAAAAGAACGCGCGTTTTTCATAAGAAACCATATAAATGTTTTGGTGGCATCACTTTATGTGATCGTGCGTCCAGCTGTTTTGGTCGCGACTGTCACGACTGGTGGCGCCACCAATTTGACCGCGCCACCATAGTGGCGTCGTGTGAAAGGGGCTTAAAGACTGGCTCACGTCTCGTGTAAACCTACCTTAAAGCCGACACGTATTTTACCTCGACCGTATTTCAGCAGACATATCCCCCTCCACTACTGAGTCCAACACTCTGCTATACCTCAGGAGCAGTCCATACGCGCAATTACCGACGCTACTGTACTGGTTAAGTTGCAGCGTTGGTTGTAATGTTAGGGGATTTATCCGGTGAAATACGGTTCGGATAAAATATATATTGCTTAAATTAATATTTAATAATCATATCTTATGAATAGATTATAAACCTATTCCATTGACTCATTTTGCAGTTTAACAACGAAAACATTTAACATGTAACTAGATATTTATTGTTGAAGAATATAAAATAATAATATTGATACCTATATAGAGATAATTAATGATGGAAATGGTTTATATACATATAAAAAAAGATTATATATACATTTATTGTTTTTAATTAAATTACAATTAATAACATTAGCATCTCTTCAATCTTAATGAATCTTTAATTATTTATTGTAATGTCGGTATGGTAAGAAACTACTGGTTATCAAGAAAAATAAATGCACATTATAAACAAAATTCACCATATACATGTATATATATATATATATATATATACACACAAAAAAAACCAGATTTTGAGTTAAAATGTTTAATTCTAATAGTAAAATAATAAATAAATATAATTATACATGAAATATGATAGTATTATAAATATTATGTCTTTGGAACTTCAGGACCTGGATTCTTTTTTGATTTTTCAAACTTATTATTCAAGTTTGGAATGTTTTGTTCCAATTTTTTTATCAGAAGTCTCATGTTATCTAGTATTCATATAGTTAAGAAATTTTAATAATTTTGTTACAATAATCATTAAAGTTAGGGACTTCAAACATTTGTATATTATTTTTAAAAATTAAAATTAGAAATCAAATATAGACACCGTTTATGATGTTAAAAATTTGAATTCTACATTTTATTTTTTCAATAAAAAGTTTAGACCCTATTATGTTTTTTAGAGCTGAAAGTCTTCAAGTCTAATATATATGTTATTATAAAACTTTAGGGTTGCTACAAATCTTAGATCTCAAAATTCCCTGATTTCCCAGGATACTTTCTAGAGATACTACATATACTTATATTATATATATAAAAAAAACAGTCTTCTATTTATTTTTTGACAGGATATATACAGTTGTATTTATGTTGGAGTTGGCTAATTCCATTTTTAAGGCCATTAAAATTTTAATTTTAATAAAAAACTTATCCATTGCTAATTTTATTATAGTAAAAATGCTTGAGAGCATTTTAAAAGCTTTTATTATATTAATTGCAGTTGTATGTTTTAAAAAACATGTCACTTTACAAGAAAACTTGCACCAAAATCTCACTCTTGTATACATCCATTTGCTTATTTGAGATACTTTGTAAAATGATTCATCAAATGGAATGGAAAAAATATTAGAATCAAGAACTATGGAGAATAAAATTTCAGAAAAATACTTTCTAATTTATAATGTGATAAATATGTGATCAATATGTTATCACAGTAAAATATCAAAAACATTAAATTAGAATTTTCTATAAACAACTACACAAACATTGTAACGGAAAGATTTAAACAGAATGCTGTGATCTAGTTTCTAATTAGAATATCTAATAAAATATAAATTATCTGGCATTGACATGGCGGTGTAAAATGATAAACTAAAGCTAATAAACTAATATGTATTTAATTTTAAATAAAGTTTGATACGATTATATTATATATCTACAACTGTAATTTAATACATAAAATATTTTTTCCAACAATATTCTCTTATTCCCTGAATTTTCATAACAAGTTTAAAATTTCATATTTCTAGGTTTATCTGGTAGCAACCCTGTAATTATAATGTTAAAATGTATTTAAAATAAAATTGATATTGTGAAAAAAGGATATTTTTTGAGACGATTTGGTCAGACATTGCTTGGAATTCGTCATCCATATCCTCATCCATATCTTGTAAAACATCCTTATTCTGAAAAAAATTTCATATTTTCATTAATATGTATGTAAATAGTTGGATAACTCAAACAAAGAGGATAGTAAGTAACTCAAAAGATATTGAATTTGAGTTGCTGCTTCATTTTAAAGCAGAATCAATTTATGTAAAAACAGTCAACAGATTTTTTGAAGGATTCAATTTATTAGGATTGGATCTATTCAAAAGATCAGTTCATTATTATTCATTTCTTTCACGTGAACAAATTAAACCTAATGACTACTTAGTACCATAGATATACATAGATAGCCCATGCAATGATAAAAATTGGAAGCAATAAATTGTACCATTGAGAGCCCAGAAATAATAGTATGAGAGCCTGATATCAGAATGCGCTAATAATCACAATTGACAATGTTATCAATTACTGCATTATAAGTTTTTGTTGCTGTGTATATTATCATTTGTTATTGAACATTTTGAATTTTGTACTTGTTTTGTACTATGTGTATTTTCAACGAAAAAAAGTTCTAATAGTAATATATTATGTAATAATAATTCAAATGAAAGTAAAAAAATAGTTTAATTATTTTAATGTTGTATTAATATTTTTATTTAAAAATCTTCAAGTTCACTCCCAGATTCATCTGTTTCACTGAATTCTTTATCCTCTTCCAAGTTGTCATTATGCATATCTTTTGATGTATCACATTAATTTAAAATGAGTAATGATTTTACTTCTTCCAATAATTGAGTAAAAACTTTTTTGGTAATTTTCTCATTGTTGACAATAATAGTTTTTCTCAAGTTATAAAATTATCAGCACCTCAAAGGCAGATAAATTATACATGGTTAAAAAACTGAAAACTTGTACTGTAACATACAATAGATTGTTTTAGGGGAAAAAATTGGGCAATATTCATTCATAACTTTTAAAAGTCATGAGATTAACAATTACTCAATAATTATACTACTGAAATACAAATAAATAAAGAAAGGAGTATCAATTTTAAGACTTGAACAACTTATCTTCAATTTCCATTTCCAAATTAATATTAAAAATTATATATATATATATATATGTATATATTTTATAACAACTTATGAAAAATTAAGTAAATACTTTATCTTTGTCATTTACTCGATAAATGAACAAAGTATACTTGTTTGCTTGCAGAAATATATTTCTTATCTGCAATAATTTCAATATGGGAATTACAAAAGACCATATTTGTAATTAAAACATTATAAAAACATTATAGTTTATTGTCAAAATAATATTTTAAGACAATTTTTTTTTTTTACTCTAAACTTTCATTTTGGATTACTATGTACTGTTATGGTGTCAGTTAATGGAATACTATCTAGTTCCTTAATGACTTTCATATACTTAAATTGTCTTTTCAGGGTTAATATGTAGTCCAATCTTTTTTGATGAAGAATTAGCAAACAATTTGAGCAATAGGTAATAAGTGTTAATAGAGAATTAATTTATATGAAATGTACTATGAATCATTTGTCACTTAAAATATTTTTGTTTAGCAAATGTTAATTTAGTTCAACTGACATCGGATGAGTTATCACATTGGTATATCTGTGACAATCATTTTCTTGTTAAAGATTATACTAATAATGAAAAAGTTAGGTTGAATAGGAATGCAGTTCCTATAAAATATAAAAATATTGAACATTTACATGTAACAACATCTACCAAAGTTTACCAAAAAATAGGTGTTCAAAGTCCAATAGCAATAGAAATAATTTAAAAAACGGATTTCTTAGTATTTATGTTCAAACACCAAATAAAAAGCCAACTGACTAATAATTTGTTCATTACTTTAAAACCTAAAACTCTAATTTTTGACTCCAAAAACCAAAACATTTATTGAAGAATCTCATGAACCAACAAGCCTAAAACTAAAATTTTGTTCAACAAGTGATAGTAAAATATTAAAACCCAAGCTTGTTCTTCAACTTAAAAATACTTAGAGAAGGTTAAAAAATAAAAGTACTTTATTAGTTCTTTATACTATCCATCTAATGAATCTAAAACATTAGTAGAAATGCAATTATTAAGACCTAAATTTTTAGGAAAAAATGAACAAATTTTGCTAAGTTTATTCTACAAATCACCATCTGCTTACAAATTTTTAAAAAATAAGAAGCAGTTAACTCAACCTGGTTTACCTGGATTCGAAGTTCAAAATTTAAACCAGGATTTAATGCAGGAATATTTAAGCATTTAAAAAAGAAAAAAGCGAATCAATGAATCAAAAGACGAACTTTATTGTACATTGATATTTGATGAAATTAAAATTAAGAATTATCTTGAATATTCTAAATTTTTGGATATTGTAGAGATTTGAAAATCTAGTACCTAAAGGTCGATCAAATAAATTAGCTGGTCAAGCCATTGTATTTATGATTCAGGAATTGTATTCTTCATAGAAAATTCCAATATGCTATTTTTTACCAACAATATCGATGAAAAGTGATATACTAAGTATATACTGAGTGATATACTGATTTGATAGTAGAAACAGTTCAACAAATATGAAGTTGTGGATTTTTCATCAAAACTGTAATATGTGATCAAGGCGCCAACAATGTATCAGCACTTAAATTATTAAAAGTAACAAAAAATAAACCATTTTTTGAAGTTGATGGAAGAAAAATTTTAGAAAACATTTTATAATAAACAATTTTAAATTTCAAGAAATAAAGAAGTATTTTTTCAAGATATTAGAAATGTCTATAATATAGTTAAGAACAGTAGTACAAGTAGATCATTATTAAAAATAATAGAAAACCACATAAAAAACCCGGGACCATTTCAAATGGTGTCTTGCAAATTAGCAATGCAACTCTTTAGTAATACAATGGCTGCTATGATAAAAACGTGTATGTACAGGGGAGCAGAAATTCAAAACTACTCTTCAGACAGCAAATATGATAAAATATTTGAATGACCTTGATTTTTTAAATAGTTTAAGTTTATACTCAAATCCATTTAAGTGTGCAATATTTAATGAAAGACAACAGTAACTACAATAACTTGAAAAAGCGAGATGAACATTTGACACTTTAGAGAAAATGAATGTTAAAAATAAGAGTAATAAGACCTCTATGTTTTGAGTGCTGGACAATAAATGCGATTATAATGCTATATAATGAACAAAAAGAAATTGGCTTTAGACAAAGAGGATATAATCAAAATCCTACTGCTAAAATCTTCCATACAATATTTAGGAATATTTAGTTTTTTTTTTTTTTTAAAAAATTATGACTCGAGCATTTCAAAATTACATTTGAAAATACCAACAAAATGTAGAATTTGGTCTTTCATATAAAAAAATACTTGCTACAATATTAGAAAAAAAAACCTCATAAAATAAAAATTGTTCAGTTTGTTGGCAAACAAATTAAAAGAAATGCAATGCTTTCATTAAATACCAAAGAAAATTTTATTCCACATTTAGAATTTTTAATTATACATTTGATAATATGTACAATTTTTAGAAATGTTAATTGTTCAAAAAATTTGTTAGAAGTGGAAAATCCAAAAAAAAAAAAAAATTCTTTATAATATTTAAAATTTTAAATAAACATTATGTAAATAATATTAAGTATGATGATGTAAATATTAAGATTTTTGTTCTATTATTATTTTTAAGTATACATAAATACACTTTTAAACCTACATATATTCATCACTGAGGAGTAACTGTATAAAAAAATGTATCATATTCATTGTTATTAAATATACCTATACCAACAAATTATTAATACAAAATTGTATAAAAGTAAGTATTGGTTTTTTTTTTTTTCTAATAACAAATGAATAGCAAAAAAGACAGACATACTTTATATGCGACCATTCTTGTAGATGAGATGTTGGTAAGGGAGTAGAGGGGAAATTTAATTATATCTGTAAGTCATGATAAACCATTGCTAGCAAAAAAACGATTCTGAGCGGAGTTCAGTTGATAGTGTTGCTTTGTAAACAATATAATACATGCCATATAATGATTATATAATTACGTAGTCATTATACATTTTCTTTAATAATATTGTACTTATTTTCCCGTTTTTCCTGTTTCTTCGAGTTTCGGATGGTTTTTAGCAATTTGTTGGGAAAAAAAAAAAAAATGATCTTTCTAGGGCACCTCTCCAGATAGATTTCATTTCAGAAAAGTGCTATCATTGTAAATCGGTGCAAAATTGTTGACAGAAAAGTTGTTCATAAGAAAAAAAAAGCCGAAATATTTTTTAATTAATACCTAATTTCGTAATTTTTTTTTTTTAGTTTTTCTTATTTGATGAGGAAGCTTTTGAGAAAGTCAAAAAATTACCTACTTAAAGTACCACCCCAAGAAAATTTCTTTTTAGAAAAGGGTCTACATTGTACACATCAGAGTAGGCTTTCTGGTAGAAAAAGTGTTTTTTTTTGGTTTTAACAAAAAATTTTGGTTTCGTGTACATATTTTATGTTGTAACTTAAGAGGACTACACTTACCTTTGTTGTCTGTCTTACAAATTACGTCACAGCAAATTTATGTTCACATGGGACAACTTTGTGCTGTTAGTTTTAATAAAAGTTTATTGACTTATTATCAAATTTGAAGGTAAGACGAAATATAAATAACATATGGAATATCACAATTAACATGATTTAACTTGCTTGGAGATTTAAATATCAGCAAAACCAAGGTAGTTACACAGAGAACTTTCTTAAACTTTCTGATAGTTTGATAATATGTCAATGCACTATCATATTAAAACTAACAACACAAAGTTGTTCCGCGTGAATGCAAATTTGCTGTCGTACGTTTGTAAGAGACAAATACATGTGTATCATCCAGTTAATGACGCAATCTATCCTTATTAAAAATATAATTATCGGCTTAAAATTATATGATATAATAAAATAAAAACACGATGATTAATTATTTCAGCAATACATTTATTTAAAAAAAAAATAGTTATTCAAACTACAAAATGTAGAATGTCTATCTAAATCTCGAAGAACGAGGAGCCATAACAAACTAATTGTATGAAATAATAAAATGATATATCACAATATTATTTGTTGATATTATTTTGTTATACAAATGTATGATTTTGGATTATTTCTTATCTTAAATTTCTAAGAAGGTATTGTGGACTCAGGACTGACGTAGATTATCGACATTACTTTTTTTTTATTTTGACCAAAATAATTTAATTATTTAATCGTTATACTATACACTCTCTATTGGCACATTTTGTTAATAATTAGAGGTGGGTAGTTCATGAGTGAGTTGACTCTTTTAGGTGAACTGAATGAATTAATTCAGTGTGGTATAGTTCAGTGACTCAGTGACTCACTGGTTCAAAACAATGATTCACGAATCACGGATGTATGTTATCAGTCCGACAATTCGCCTGTGCAGGCTGCTATGCCATAATATACATAATATGAAATTCTATTATTGTGTAATGACAAGTGATATTATGATAAATTAAATAGGTATGTCAGCAACTTGTGATGGCAGTGATATTAAAACGTAAAATGCATAGATATTAGATAATAGATAATATATTGATATTAAATGATATAAATGTATAATAGTTTTATGTAGTACAAGCAGGTTGCAATTGTTGCAAGTCATTTAGTGATTAAATACATTTTGCGTTAATATTTATTTAGAATAAGTTTCTTTTTTCATGTTTGACAAAACAATATTATCGGAAGCATGAGAAATGGAAGATATTTAATACATTATACAATAGGTATTAAGATATCTATAAGTATTTAGTATATATTATTATGATATACCTACTTAATTAAATTATAAAAGTATACGATAAAATGTATTGTATTTATATTTTACAACCAAAAATTCAAATATAAACATATTGTACTAATATATCATACATTGTAATGAACAATGGCATCGGAGAGGATTAGAGCGATAATTATTTTGTTTATTGAAGTATGCATTATCAAATAGAAATATTTTGGAAAACAATCTTAAAATAAAAATAATTACTGGCAATAAATTGCATAAGACTTCAATTCAAGTACTATAGGCTGTGTAAGTACCAAGAGGAGGACTCATTGAGTCAACTCGTTAAAATGAACCGAGTCAAGTGAACTGATTCATGGTATTGAGTTGAAAATCCCATCACTATTAATAATTAACTAGTTTCCATTATGCCCATTGATGTGAGTTATATATGTATATTTAATCTATGCTGGTACACTTACTGAGTCAAAAGATCTTATCAGACTATAAAAGTTACAATATTTTGGTTTATTCAGTAAAAATCAGTATACTTAAATTATTTATACAGATTTAATATTTTTTGATATAGAATGTACTTCCAGGCAATTGGTCAGGGTGGTCGATAGAGTCTGTAATCAGATGGTACTTTGATTTTCTACCTATAATGTTTTAATTCTTTTTTTGCCCAAAAAGTTATTGGTTGATACAGTTAGTGACACATTTTATATTTGATCAAGCCCTCCCCCAAAAAAAGGAAAATTTTGGCTACATACCTATGTACTTTGTGATTAAGTCAGTTATTTATAATAATCACCATGGTACCTACTATCTAGTTACAATGTTTTTTTTTATTGATTGATTTATTAAAATTATTTTATATGTGTAGTATATCATGTGCTAGATATCTAGCACATCTAGTGATGTATCTATATAACTGATGGTTTTCTTATTTTAGTCTTCACAAATTCTATTATATTAAATTTATTGTTGAACTTGTAATCATAGTTACGAGAATAAATTATCAATTGTGGTTGCTTAATTCGCTATACAATAATATTCATTCAATGAATGGTATGAAGATATTCGTTCATAAACCACACAACCTAAACGAGAACAAAATTGAATGAACGACTTTCTGTGTGTTATATTATCTCGATCGATTCATTTAGAAGTGCGACCAGTGGCGGCTCGTACTATGGGGCACACGGGCACGTGCCCTACCTACAAAATTGAAAGAAAGAAGGAAAATTATATTAAACTAAAATTGAGTTGGTGTTTCCATCATAATAATATAGTTGGCATATTATTTAAAANGATGAACGGTATTAGATTTCCCCCACTTTTCGACAAGAATTAATACGGCGTTGCCGGGCACAGTCGGACCGTGCCCGGATTCTATTTTTATTACCATTCACGGGATTTTGTCGGTCTTATCGACTTCGTATTGCTATCGTCTTTCGTGGCACAGACTTTATATTTTGATAATATGATAATAAACTTTCATTTTTTGTTCATTCTCTGTTCGTGTTTAATGTCGTTTTGTATGTATAATTTTATATTTACAAATTTACTATACATAATTTATTAAATATTTTTATTATTATTCTTTCTGTTCGTTGTTTACTGTCGTTTTGTGTTTGTAATTTAATATTTACAAATTTACAATACCTAATTTATTAAATTTGTTTTCTATTATTCATCATGGATAGATATTATGTTACGGTCGAGTATTTACTGAGTATCAACTTTTCAAGTTTACCTCTTGAGAAAAAGGTTGAAATAAAAAACGAAGGTAGGCCAATGCCAAATTTAAATATAATACAAATTAAAAAAACAAAGNTAAAGACGTTTATTCAAAACATGATTGGTTATGTGGTTGTTCTAAAACGAACCGTTTGTTTTATTTTCCTTGTATACTTTTTTGTCGTACTTCTGGTGATAAAAATTGGTCACAAAACGGAATAAATGATTTGGCTCATTTGAACGATAAAATCAGTACACATATAAAATCAAGGTCACACATAAATGCGCATTTAGATCTTAAACTTTTAGGTAAACAAGATATAAGGCAATAACTTTCAAATTTTTGTGCCCCACCTGCAATAAACCCCACAAGCCGCCACTGAGTGCAACCCATTAGTTCGCTAATGATACATCTCTAATTTTTAGGTAAAATGGGCTCAAACATAGGGAAGAAATTTAAAGGGGGGCAACATATTCATTTTAAATGATTTGTTCTTTAAATATTTTGATGACAAAACAACAAATGTTGAATAATGTATAACTGTGGCGGGAGGAGAAACTACTAAGTACTGTTATAAAGGGAACAGTAAAAATATAATTACACTAATAACACGACATTAACTACTTTTCATATGACACAAAAGTTGTAGTAATTAGTGTATTAGCACACTAATAACATATAATAGACATGGTCTCCAAAAGAGACAAATCTGCCAGTTTACTTAGATCTATTTTCCACATAAAATACTGTATGGATGAGATAATTACTTCTTAAACTGATAAATGTAGTTAAGTATCAACCATTGTTTAGGAATTATAAAGCAGGTGGTCTCAACCAATACAAGGGTACCAGTCCATATTGTATTGCCAAAAATTATATTTTTAGTATAGTATTTAAATTATATAAGAACATTCATAAATATTTTATTTAATTAAATATGTCAATACAAAATTCTACACATGAAAACTCACAATAACACTATCACTAAATTAGATGATACAAACTGGGGATAAAGTACACGTGTTTTAAGAACATAAATCTTTACCCTTGTATACAGCATCAGTGAATACTATACCCGTGCAAAAACATAGATATTCAGTTTTACTAACATCTGAATCTCTCGTTGAATTATGCAGATATTAGCATAGAGTTATTAAGTTATTAAAAAGTTTTAATTGGTAATTATTTCGTTACAGATAATGGTCATAAACATAAAAACAAACTATTTTTCATTGTTAACCTATCTAAAAATGACTAAGAAAAAATTATGGAATTTTTAAAATTCTCAAAAAAAAAAAATTAACTAGATAAATTTAATTTTTCATACAAACAATGACAACATGCACACATGTCTATGTTTGTTTTTAATAGTCATTTGGTTATAATCACAGATATTAAACATATGAATAAACATTAAACACCAATTTGTCCTTAAATAATTACTAGATAAGATACAATAAATAAATAAGTTAAAATTATGTAGAATGTTAAAACAAAATATGATTTGCTTCTATTGAAAAATTTCGAATAAATTGAGAATTTTCTTTGCAGGTATCCAATAAAAAACTAAAAATAGATAAAAGGTTCCTTTAAGTACTTTTTAGAACACTAAATACTTGCAATATTTTTGATCTGTATACAGCTTTGTAACAAAATGCAATTAAATGTTGTAATCAGACATATGTAAGACAATATAAGGCATATGTCAGACAATGTAAGTATAATGTATGTACTTATAGGAAGGGCAGTCCAGGACAAAACAAAATTTATAGTGGAGATGTCATCAATTATTTCTATATATCGTAAATATTAATAATACATATAGCGAGTGATTCATTTAAGTAGGTACACTCATTATCACAGAAAATATTAATTTTTTCAAAATTTGTTTTCTAGAACATTCAAGAAACAAGCAGCTCTTTAATTTTATAGTTATGATAATTTTTGTCACCCTTATTTTGGGGGTAAAACAATTACCTACTTTTGATTTTCAAATGGTAATTTGTATGTAAGTCCATAAATAGGAGTATTATTTAAAATAAATTTTAGTGTTGAAATGTTTGATTTCTGTTAAGTTATTTATGAGATATTCTACTTTTAATTTTAGATTGGTGTGGAAAGTAGTGGTGCATTATTAACACGCAGCGCGCAGTACTGCCACACAAATTATACTTCTCAATTCTCCTCCAACCCAAACTTAAAAGTAGAATATCTAGTACCTACGGATTAATGGAAATCAAAAATGTCAAAATTAAAATTTATTTTAACTAATAGTCTATCTATTTATAGACTTTTAAAATATAGGTTACCATTTGAAAAATTATAAGTAGGTAGTGGTTTTACCCCCAAAAATAATGTGACAAAACATAATATAAATATAAAATTGTAAAGCAGCTTGTTTCTTAATGTTCTAGAAAACAGATTCTGGGAAAAAATAATACTTTCCGAGATAATGAGTGTACCCACTTAAATGGATCACCTGGTATTTTGGTACACAGGAAATATAAAAATAGGTGATTATTACACAATTTGATCTAGTAGCCTGATATCCAATTTATTTGAACTCCACTAAAAATATTTCTGTCTGCGAAACACTTTTGCAATCACCATATTGTATATCTAATGCTATAGTAAAAGCTTTTGTCCAATATAAAAAGAAAATTAAAATGAAGTTCCAGTCAGTTCGTGGTTGATAATGTTTTTGAGGAACCACGACTTCCATTTAAATTTAGGTAAATAAGTGAGGAAGACATTTATATTTTTTAATAGTGTAACAATAATTGAAAAATAATCAAATTTAATAAAAATTAATGAAAAAGAAAATCACGCCAGAATGTACAAGCTTTAGTAGGTGTATTCAAACGTGACATATTTAGCTTTTTGACACCCTTAGCTATTTTTTATTACTACTTCAACCAGAACAATATTGTGTTTCCAAAAAAAAAAAAAAACTATTGAATAGGTAGATAATTTTTACAGTTATACATATGGTAATCAAACGTACTCTTTTTCGTAGGACAGTACTCTTTTTTTATGCATTGTTCTGTGTCCTTAACAATAGTGTTAAGCAAAGGTAATAAATATATATGTTTATGATTTTGTATAATTTGACTATTCATTTTTATTCTAATATTTTATGGTTCGATCTAATGTATTCCAAATGTCTGTAAGTGCCTAATCCCCCCACTGCTGTCGGTTAATTGAAAAAAAAAGCGACTATCAGTAACGACAACTGAAAAACCAATGTTAAACGGAAAAAAAAAAAAAATTGAAAATATCATAACTTATACAGTTATAATAATAGTTTTACCAATATAGTTTTTATAATTGATTATAGAAAAAAAATAATTAGATTAAAATAAAATGTATATAGATGGAGATGAGCTATAGGCAAAATGGGAAGAATAGTTTACACATTGCCCTATTCTTTCAAAGGAGGGATTTTTTTATTATGCAGGACCTAAATTTTAAAATGTACCTAGCTACTTTTTTTTGGATTTTTATATTTGGACACCATAGTTATACATTATTTAATACCATTTTTATCAGCAACAAATTAAAAAAAGAAATCATCGGAAAAAATATGCTGACCAAAGCTTTAGCTTGCTTAAATTTGTTACTTAGTACCAAGTTATCATATACCTACCTGGACAACACTTAGAGGGTGGGTCATTACTTTTTCTTGTAGTAAAATAGTTTGCAAATAGTAATGATATATAATGTAATTTACCTATTCAATAATTTATGTGGACAACACTCATTAAAATTGATGAAACAGTTACACAAAAATTACTCAAATTAACATTACTTACGTCGTCATTCAAGTCGTCCAAAGAATTGTTGTCAGTGTTAGAAGTCCCGGATGTGCTGGGGCCGACTTCTTCGTTAAACTTGCTCATTCTGAGTTTTATCTGGTTATTAAATGTTTTTCTTACCAACTGGTGAGATCAAAGTAATAATATAAAAAAAGCGTCACCGACGGTTAAATAATTAAGTTTTCGAAAGAAACCACAACTATTTGATGAATTACAATCGGTTAAACACTATTTGCCATTACAATAAGAACAGATGGCCTATGACTCAGAGAATTTATCACAGGAAAACAAACATTTTTATAATTTGAGGTTACAAGGGATTTTTATCAATAAAGTTGTAAACTTGATCAAAAATTATCATAATAGTTCATAACTCATTTTACTTTAATCATAATAGGTAGTTCATAACTAATTTTACTTTTATTTAGTATAATAAATTAAGCTGGTTTTCGTCATTGACTTAATACCAAGGAGGATTTATATATACACCTTGCTTTATACTAATAGACTAGAATTGCATACAGTTGGCGCTCGTTTTTTATTTGTTTACCATTTTATAGTACCGTGCGTATTGTATAATTTTGTGACCGTTTGAAACCACTAACCAGTGTGACCGGTGAAAACGGATTTCATATATGGGTCACAATTACCGATGGCTGCAGTGCGCGTTGTTCAGCATGACTCATGTATATGTTTCATGACGTGTAATGCAGTTATAAAAGTATCCGCTACGCGTGCCTGTGTTCTCTATCGTCTTTGTCCAATGTTTCCTTTATAACCACAAATACCAATCTTGTATATTATTTTTGTTCTTTAGTTTCGTATCTACAATCATAGAATAATAATTAACAATCTATAGTTGTGACTTATCTATATTTTATATTTTTCAAAATTCAAACTGTGTTACATTATATTGATTAGTGGTAGCTGTATAATATTTATCACAAATTCGCAAACCGCAATAATAGTTAGAGTACCGCATATTAAGTACAAAAGTAGTATCCATTAATTTACTAAATTGCTGATTTTCATGATTTTTAAACCGGAAGTACAAAGATATATTATTTGGCTGTTGTGCCTTTGAAAGGTGATTTTTCGGAAGAATACAATCATGGCGATGTCCGAACACAATCTTCGGGAAAAGGTAGGTACAGAACAACCAATATTGTTTATGAATTATTTGGTTATGTATTGACTTATATCTTTAACATCGAACTTACCAAACTATTTCGTTTTATTTTTATATAAATTTGGGTACATAAAAACTGTTAAGCTTTTTCATGATTACTAAATATAATAAATATAATTATTTTAAAATTAATAAAATACGTATAGGTAGGTTGTAGGTAACAATAATACTCTTAATAATTTGACTAGATTAATGCATTAGTTAATCCCTTGTTACTCATACGGAGTAAATAATGACCTCAGTTTATTTTTATTTATAATTGTATGAGTATTATCGTTAAAATATATGTTCATACATTTCGATAGTCTCTTAATAATATATTTTTATAAATATAATGTTGCTGATTTTGTGTTATCTTGGTGTTTTGTTCACTTGCTGGAATATTATAAAGTAATCAGTGTCAGTGTTTAGATATAATCAATAATTTATCCCTTGTGAGTAATTTTTTAAAAAATTTTTTTTACTCTTAAAATTTAAAATGAAGAAACCCAAAAGAAGAAACATAAGTAGGTAGAACATCTTCTCGATATGGTCAACAATGAAGATAATAATAATAATAATAAAAATGCCGAATTTTCACATACTTAAAATATGATTGATCATAATACAGATACCGATCAATCAGATTTAGATAAAGATTTTTCAGATAGCATTATTGAATATTCTGATTCAGATTTGTCTTATTATGAATCTGATGATGAAATGTCTTTGGACTTATTTTTAATGTCAATCTCCTAGCAGTAGTCAGCCTGGTTACATTTTTTTTCCTTTCAATATCTTGTGACCAATAGTACAGAGGTTCTATACTTTTTTCCTAATGTTAATGCACTATTATCAGAGGCATAACCACATGCCCTTACTACAAAATTAGTAATTGTGTTCTCATTGTTCACTAATTGGCACTTGGATGCATAAAGAGAATTGAATTATCTACCTAATATCGTTTTACATGTACGAACAGCCATTAAATGTTGTGTGAATACAAATCATGTATACAAGGTGGAGGCTGAAATTTTCAAAAGTAAGAAGAATAGTTTTCGTTCGCCACGGGGTATGTTCTTGTTTGAAAAAGAGTATAGTATTTGATCCAAACTGAATCATTGTTTAATCACTATCATGCATTAAGATCAGTATGTATAAAATATGCTTTTGTTTTTTTCGTATCAATTTATATGTCTGACATCCTTTTTGTGATACATCTTATAGTGCTAATTTCTCGAATTTCACCTATAACCAATATTGTTTTTTCTGATGTATATCTTAGTATCACCATGACACTTAAGGCATGAATTAAATTCCTTAATTTATTAATTTTTTTTGTTAAAATTCTACAACTGATTTTTGGATTAAATAATTCTATACAATTCAGTTGTATTTTGTTACACCATAAATTAATGGAAAAACATATACTGATATTAGAATAAGGTAGGATGATATTTGGGCCAAAACTAAAAACCAATATTATATAATATTATATTTAAATATTTTTAATATAATTTTAAAGATAAGCAACCACTTGGTTTTTTCACTTTGTACGTCAAATATTAAATTAATACCAATTATATATAGGAGAATTATTAATAGTGAGATATCAGTGTTTTTAACCAAACCAAACCTTACCAGTTAGATATGGATGATAGAACTGGTGTTTGATGTGTGACAGATATTAGAAAAGTATAGAGAGAAGAGAAAAAGTCTATGTATGGATTTTATAGATTTAGAAAAGACTTATGATAGAGAGTGAGAGAAACTCCGATGTCAGTGTTAATGAGAAAAAGAATTACTAAAATTGTTTAATAGTTTGACGGAGGATATGTATGAATGTTCAAATTTGAGTATAAAAGATGTGTGTGAAAGATGGATTTTGGGGTTAAAGTAGATATGCATTAGGGTTCAGTTCTGAGCCCTTACATTTTTTTCTGTTGTAATAGATGAAATTACAAAGGAAAGACAAGGGGAAGTACCATTAGTGCATGATGTTTGTAGATGATATAATTTTGACAAAAGAAAATCTGGAAGATAATAATGTAGGGGATTAAGTTAGGTGGAAATTTAGTATTAGGGTGGTTGATCCCAAATAGTTGTGATGAAGGTGAAAGAGATAAATGTAGATCTGACCAAAGAATCATTCATTTGCAGATTTATTTTTCCAAAACAATAATCAACAACAATCAATTTTAAAATTTAGAAATACATATTAAATATAAAATGATTTCTATTGGTATATATTTCTTTTTATATATATATTCATAAATAAAAATTTGCATAAAACTACTTTGGTTTATAAGATATGGTATCATCTGGCAGAGAAGATACAAACAAAATGCTATATAATAGGTATAATGCTTTGATCTACATAACAAATTGCTGTTTTTGTTTTAATACAGGAACAAATTTCAAGGAACCTCCAAGTTCATTTGAAGGAGTGGAGGGAAATCATTGTACTTTTAAATGAAATAATAGTGTGGAAAGCATTTTGGTACTTTGTTGTTATAGTTACATGTCTAACAATCTCATATATGTAAGTATACAAATTAATAAATATTATTGCACGAACACAATATTTATTAATGTAATGTATGTAAGTAGAAAATAAGAATGTATTATTATTTGGTTTAGTTTTTGAAATAGTATCTGAATAGGTATATTTTACGGAGTTCCTTATATATACCACAAAATGGGTTATAAAATAATTTATTTTAAAATGTAATATTATTTATGTGAATCTGTGGATTCTAGATACATTTGGCTTGTTAATTGTTCAACATTCAACATAATTTGGACAGTGTGTCTGTGTGCCAGTTTATTGGATTATTTTGTATGTGGTCCATTGAAAATATTTCTTCCCCCAAATACCTGGACCAAAGATAAGCAGTACATATATACTGAAATTTCTGATTCATTAGCTCATTATTATGTAATTATAAAGCTGTATGCTGTAAGGTTTTTCAGTTTCAGACAATCAAATAGAATACTAGTATGTATTTTTTTATATTATAAATACTTTCTTTAGTTAGCACTGCTTTTTTGTAACTTAAGTTAAAAATCTATTATATTTATAATATTGTAATTCATACTTGTTCCAGTTTCATTTGGTTTTGGTCACTTTATTTTGTGCTCTTTTGTACCTCTGTAAAACATTCAACAACTTACTGGTATCATATATTATAGGTATGTATAATATTATGCTATAGTGAAAGTTATAAGAGTTATATAAATTACATAATTGTAATATCCTAAAGTTATCAATAGTATGCATGTGGTTAAGCATTTGAAAATAATATATACACAAATTATTATTATTATTATTTAATACATATTGTAATGTTATAAATTATTTTCTAATTATTTTGTATTATTAGTTTTAGTAATTTCTTTACTGCCTATATGTAATGTAAGAAAATACCTGATGTAACAACGAAAAAGTGCCACCATCCTGAAGATTTTTTTTCATTTAAATAGATTCACAGCCATAAAATATGTTACAATACCTAAATTGTTATGTAAAATACTTAAAATTAATTGAACAATTTATAATTAAAATAAATCATTGATATTTTATCAATTTCACTGAACAGATAATATTATATTGTATAATTTTAATAACATGTAGATTTTGATGTGTATTTTTTTCACTGCAAACATAAGTTTATAAAATAGCTATTAAATAAATACTAATATAATGTTATAACTACATGTTTTTATTTTTTAATACTTTTAACTACTAATTGTATTTTTCTATAAACTATAATTTTTAACACAGAAGCAGTTATTTTTTGACAGTTTAATTGCTCATGTATGTATAATTTGATAATATTGGATATCATACACCAAACAAATTGTTAATAACAATTAATTTTTAAAGGAAACTTATAGTATAATGAGGTACAAATATTGAAATGTTTAGTTATTTAGGTTAAAAATGTAATTATAATAATAATAAAATTAATACACTCAATGTAGCTGTAGACATGTTATAATTTTTGAACAAAGCCTAAAGTAATAACATAATTTATTTTATGGTTTATGGTCAATTTGTGAAAAAAATAAATAATCTGTGTCAACTAAATGTACTAAATTTTGTATAGTACCAAAAACTACTAAACTCTCAGTGCAACAAGCAGTACTTCAACATTTCACCATGACATTATTGACTTTTTTTGCATTAATTATTAGTCATAAGTATCTTTAATTTTTTTGAAATTTTTTTATACTCAACTATAAGTTTTGTTTTTTTTTAAATTTTTTAAGGAGATATTGAATTTTTCTCTATTATGATAGCCTATTTCAATAAAAATAAACTTTACAAAATGCAATATCTCCATGAAAATTTTTTTTACAGTTTTTTTTTTTAATTGACAAAGAATATTTACAATCTGTGTTATATCACAATAAGCAAATATGATAATTTTAAATACAATAATTTATATACATTTTAACTGTGAGTGATATAAGGAGGGAGGCCAACCAGTGCTGGAACCCAACGTGATATGTTACTTTAGGTTAATAAATCTCTGCAGTATTTTCTTTTGAGTCGATGGGTTGAGTATTGGATGTGATTTGCGTTATTAATGAGTTAGTTTGGGAATGAAGTTTGGAATAAAAAGATCTGTAATCTTTTGTGGCTAATTGAACAACTGTTTCGATTTTTTGGTCCGAGTGTAGTGCAGAGTTATATTTAAATCAAGGTGCAGACGATAGCATACGGAGAATTATCGACTAGAAAACTTGTATGGTCCAAATTTGGGGTGGTTTAGCGCAGCCCCAAATTTGGATTCCATATGCCCACATTGGTTGTAAAAAAAATTTGTACATAATAACTAGTTATAGCAATTTAGTGAAATTAAGTGAATTTCAATTTAATATGAATTGTGTTACAAAATATTGTATTATGTATATTAACTGAAAATTAAATTTAAACCTTTTAGGTACCTGGTTCAAACTACATGTACAATGCACCTATTGAAATATATAAAAAAAATGTATACTTTTTTTATTAATTAATAACAAAATATTAGTAGAATATTATATTATGTGATTAACACATAATAGTTAGTACCAAGGAATCTCATAAATGTTGTGGCTGACAAGTATAACTATTCATAAATAAAAGTCTACTAGTTAATAATACTAGTGTGTAGATAAACAGCAAAAAATTCAAGTCCTAGGTTTTGTTGATGATCTTAACATCATAAGAAATACCAGAGATGACAGAAAAAGCAACGAAAATTTTAGAAAAATCAGTAGATAAAATAGGACTTAAAATAAACATCGAAAAGATGAAGATCATGGAGCTTTTAGACACGGATGCAGATGTAACGGACCCTGACCCGNAAAATTCAAGTTCTAGGTTTTGCTGATGATCTTAACATCATAGGCAATACCAGAGATGACATAGAAAAAGCAACGAAAGTTTTAGAAAAATCAGCAGATAAAATAAGACTTAAAATAAACATCGAAAAGATGAAGATCATGGAGCTTTTAGACACGGATGCAGATGTAACGGACCCTGACCCGGATGACTGGATATATGAAAAAGTTAACGAGTTTAAATACCTTGGCGTATGTATAAATACAAAGAATGACTGGTCACAGGAGATTGGGTTAAGGATAATAAAAGCAGGGAAGGCGTCCTTTGTATTATCCAAATTTTTCAAATCTAAAACGCTGTCAAAGAAAACAAAATTTAGGCTCTACACAGTGATAGTGAGAGCTATACTAACATATGGATGCGAAGCATGGANTGAAAAAGTTAACGAGTTTAAATACCTTGGCGTATGTATAAATACAAAGAATGACTGGTCACAGGAGATTGGGTTAAGGATAATAAAGTCAAGGAAGGCGTCCTTTGCATTATCTAAATTTTTCAAATCTAAAATGCTGTCAAAGAAAACAAAAGTTAGGCTCTACACAGTGATAGTGAGAGCTATACTAACATATGGATGCAAAGCATGGACTACAAGCGTAACAGAACGAAGACTTACTACCTTCGAAAACAAGTATATGTTAAGATATGTGGACCCAAATTAGATGCGAACACTGGTATATAGAGGAGAAAGTTTAACAAGGAACTGATTGAAGAAACAGGAATGACTCCAATTAAGTATTACATAAGAGGCCAGAGAATCCAGTGGTTTGGGCACATTATGCATGAAAGTGATGATAAGATAATAAAAACAGTAATGTCTTGGAAACCAACAGGTAAGAGACCACGAGAACGCCCAAGGAAAAGATGGATGGATGTGGTTGAGGAAGATCTAAAAAGGATAGGAATAGATGATTGGAGAAACATAATCCATGATGGAGAGAAGTGGCGTGGAGTTGTGATGGCGACAAAAACTCTTGTAGAGTAGATAAAGCCAGAAGAAGAAGTTAATAATAAGTGTACTAAGGAAATAAGCAGTATCTCTATTGTAAATACTGAATTTTTTCTCTAGAACAACATACTGTGTTTTTCTTTAGTATTGGCAATATTTTGGTAATATTTTATAATAGATTTTAAAGACATTTCTAGTAGAGATACTGCCTTTTGCTTGATGAAAACCATGAAATTATCCAATCATCCTGAAAAATGAAAATGAAATAATTTCAATTTTGGAAATTTGACATTTATTGCTTGTTGCACTAGGAGGGTAATATCTTATACAAATGAAAATAATAATTATTCAAATCAGTTTTTGGAGTTTGATTTAACCTTGGAGTTTAATCTGCAGCTAACTTGATTTTTTTTATATTATAATGACAGTAATATTAATTACAATTACAATAATATTATACTATTATTATAGATAATAACTATTTTATTTGAAAATATCACAATATGTTTACATTAATAGGTAAGAGTTTAATACATATTTAAATATAAAAAAAAAAATATTTATAAATAAATTGAATAAATAAATAACAAATTTCCAATAGTTTTATTATAATATTATGATTTAAAACATTTTAATATTGTTGAGTATATATTTCACTTGGAAGACTTATTTTTACCCTGCAAAAGAAAAGAGTGTAATACAAAATAATCTCTAATCATACTAATATTATATAAAATTAATTTTAACTTACTCCTTTTGTTTTTAATTGAACGTTTAGATCATCTATATGCCTTCGTTCTAACACCACAGTTTCATTTAAACTAGCTAAATGTTCAGTCATTGATCTGAGCTGAGTATCATAATTGGTTGATGTCAATTGAAATTCTTCCTTTAGATCTTCAATATGTTCCATAGCATTCTGTAGTTTCATCTCTAACTCATTGCGCACTAATATACTATGATCCAGTCTTGTTTTCAATGCAGTGATCTAAAGATAAAATGTATAAAAAAGAAAAATAAGATAATGGTGCAGCCACTGGTATAGGTGGGAAGTTGAGAAGGTGGACACAGATGGAAATTCAATGTATACAACTGTAAGCAATGATAAACAATTGGTAACAAAAAATGATTCTGAGCAGTTTATTTAATAGCGATGCTTTGTCAACAATATATATGTGGTATTATAGTAAAATAATTAAATAAGCTTTATATATTTTCTTTAATAATATTTTTTTAATGTTGTTCTAATTTTTCCAGTTTTTCACATTTGCTGAAAAAACTGGGGAAAATGGAAAAATGACATCTTTAAAATACCTCCCCAGTGAAATTTCCTTTTAGAAAAAGTGCTATTATTGTAAATTTGAATGAAATTGCCAAAAGAAAAGTTATTCACAGGAAAAAAAATATTGATATTATACGAATATATTTTGTAATCTTCCAGATTTTTTTTTTTCGGTTTTTCTTATTTGATAAGAAAACTCTGAATTTCCTTTTTAAAAGAAGTGCTACACTTAGAAATTCAAGCAAGGTTTTTGGTAGAAATGTTGCCCACAGAAAAAAAAAATAAACATCTTTGTAAAACCATAATATAAGCTTCTTCGCTCCACTCAGAATCTAAAAAAAAAGTCAATAATACTATTACAATAACAATGAACTCTCTATAGCTACCTCTAGCACATTGGCATTACTTTGGCTTGATAAATCTTTATTCATTGACATCAAATTGTTAATTTTTTTTTCAAAATAGCATTTAAGTCCTTTTTCTCTAGTCATTATTTTATCATTAAAATGTTTACTGGATTCACATTTTCCCATCTAAAAATAATAAATGTTATTATAATTAGTACATTTACAAATTTTGTTTTAAAAAGTGTATAATTTACAAATAAACTGAATAAAATTAATATTTAAACAACTAATTAATTTAATTTTAATCATTTAAGCTGCATAATAAAAAAATTTCAATTAAATTGAATCAATTTCCTAATATATATATAATTGTAGAAGTGATCATTTTAGGAATATAAAAATACAAGATTTTAAATTATATTTTACTAGCTATGTTTTAATGATGAATGAAATAAAAATAAGAATGGTCAGTGTCAGTACATTCAGAACTGTGTTCAACACATTAAAAACAAACTAAATAGTGTACTCCAAGATTAATTGTGAGTTACAGTATGTTCTGACAATAGCAATAAAACTGACTCAGTTAATAGAAAGTTTGTACTGTGTATTTAATCTAAGTAAAACCATTAAGTAACAATACAATTTGGAATTAATATTTACATGTATATTAATTCATAAATAGTTTTAATAATACTAACTTGATTTTCCAAAAGAAATGGCCCCAAAGATCCTGAATTATCTTTATTGGTTATCTGTCACAATAACATACAATTAATTTTATACAATATTTCATATTATATATAATAATATACATACATCATCATATTTCTTACATAAAAGTTTATATTCATTTTCCCAATGTAGTTTTTCTTGCTCTAATGATAATGACCTGTTCATCTCCTGATTCAATTTTTCATTATAAGATTGTATTATGTCATCATATTTATTTTGAGATATTGACATTGAAAATAATTTTTCAGTAGCCTAAAATATTTACAAAATATTTATCAAAAATTTAAAAATAACAATTGAAAATGTTACTTGTTTTGAATGTTTAACATGCAACAAAGTATTTTTTTTATGCCAGTGTATGCCAAGTTGACTTTTTTTATAAAAATATTCAAATTCAAATATATTTATAACACGTAGAAGCTGTAAAATTTACAAGGGTGGAAATATTAATAATTTTATTATTTTAACAGATATTGGTATATATATATATATTTATTTGCAATTTATATTAAATATAATTCTAATACAAAGTTTTTATTATTATATTTATTATTTGCTTACTCTATGAATTGTATCAAACACAGTAAGCAATTTATTATTTGTATGACCCGAATCCCAATATTCACTCTCTATATTCACTAATTCTGAAAAAAAATGATCAAAATTATTTTATAGTATGTCAGTTATAAAATGAAAACAATTTATTAAATAGTAAAATACCTTTAATAGGAAATTTTATTGCCATTAATGATATTATAGATTGGCGGAACAAAGTACAATCAATTTGTATTTTATCACCTACAAAATTCAAATTTAAATATCAATTTTATTAATCAAATATTAAATACTGAAATAGTGAATTACCTGATTTTATAAAATATTGAATACATTCAACAGATTCAATATATTTATTTGATATAAATAGCAAAATATTTTCCATAATAATGTACCGAGTTTCAAACCTATAAAGAAAAAAAAAAGTAGATAGGTACATTTTAAACGCTACCTATTGTATATTATATATTTTTTACCTAAGTTCAATACAAGTTTATACATAATTTATGCATTTTTATTATACATTTAGCTAGAATAATAATTATGGTCATCTATAATATCAACAAATAAAACTATATTTTTGAATATTACAAAGAAATTTAAAAGTCAGTACTCAGTACTCAATGTCTCAATATAATATAATGTAATTAAACATACATTTTAACCGTTAGAGCAGTTCTAATAAATTCCACCAGGTAGCGACTTTTTCGCTGTCATGAATAAATAATATATATAATCTCAATAATGTACATGTTAGCGATGACGATGAGTCACCAGGTGAGTAGCTTTTAATGCGCAGGCGCCGGTGACTAGTCGCATATTTATCTCAAATTATTGATGTATATATTTTGTTCTTATATATAATGTATTATAGGTATCAAGATGGATCAATTTACCTTATTAGGTACATACAGATTTTAGTTTATTACCAATTCAATAAATTCAAGTTTTAATTCATTAAAATATATATTATTATTATCACATATCTTATTAGTTATTTATCAGATCATGTTAAGGTATTGGGATAAATATGCGACTAGTTTCTAGTACGCATGCGCACTTAAATCTACACATTTGACGAATTATCGTTAACATATACATTAAAATATTGAGGTGTGGCTCCATCTAGAGTGCCTTAATAGAGAATGTTAACACAGAGCGTGTCGTTTCTAATTGGTTATCGTGACTGTTCGCCATCAATAGGTTAATTTTTTTTTGATAATAATTATTATATGAGCAAAATACATAAATTGTAGACTGTAGCTCAATTTTTTCATCTTTTAAGTGCTGAATATAGTAAACAAAGTTTTTATGTAGCAATACGTCTACACCTATTAAAGTAACTATGTAAGTACCTATACATTTTGGCCCTAATTATGTTTATTCATTGTTTTAATTCAATATGTTATATCAAGTATGTACTTTAACTAGTATGTTTGAAAGTACATAAGTTTTTCTCTTATTTATTTATTATTATAGTATTTTAACAATGCCAGGGTGTACTGCCATTGGGTGCTCAAACTCTTATAGAAAAGGATTTCCTATGAAATATTTCCCAAAAATTACTCATGTCTTTATGAAGTATGTATTAGATAAAATATTTATCCTATATTGTATTTAATTTTCATTTGATTCAGTTTAAAAAATTCATGATGCATTATTTTCAGTTAACATTAAGTTTTAAATTATATTACTTGACATTAGATACAATAAATGTATCATTAGAGCCTTAAAGTAAGAATTCCATAATTTTGTTTGAATGTAATTTATTATTATTAACAGATAAAGAAAAATTATTTTATTTCTGCTACATTTCATTTCAAATTATACCTAAAAGTTGAAATCTGTCTAATTTGTTATCAGACAAGTAAAAATTGTTTTATTGAAGTATATTTTCATAATCTATAGATATTTGTAGAAATTAAGAATGTTAATAAATTTGAATAGAATTGTTAACATAGACAAATACTTTGTTGATTAGAGAATATATTTACATAAAAAAAAAGATGCATGCGATAATATTAGTTATAATAATAATAATTTACAACAAATATTGCTTGAAGTGGTATTTAAACAATTTATTTTGTTTTATTCATTTTTAGCTGATCAACTCCATTGTGAAATAGATTAAAAAACTATATCCATTGTTATAATTTATAAAAATACAGTTTCCATCCAATGTAACTACTGAAACAATTGTTGATTAGGTTTAATCATATCCATGCCAATGAGCAATAATAAATATGAATGACAAATAATATCATAAAATCATGTATGACTATTAACAAGAATTGAAAATATTATTGTTATTACAAATTATATTTTCAGTTATATGATATAATGGTAACTAGTAAATATTATTTGTTGTATAAGTACTTTATTAAAAGAAAAAAGATTTAAAACTAATAATAATTGTTTTAAATCTGTTCCTTTATTTTTAGTCTCAATTGTTTTTTATTATTAATTAAAATAGAAAAATCTAGCTTTAAAAAAAAATATTAAACTTTTTATTTCTTCAACCTCAACTCCTATAACAGCTTTTTATAAAAAAATGTACATAAAAAATAGGAAGTCGAAATTTGATTTTATTGATTATTTTGAACTTCTTATATGAAATGAGAATTATAATTTAAATGCTGAATTTTTCAGCAAAGTTATTTTCTTGAATTTGTTCTGAATATTGAAAATCCAAGTAGATAAAAATGTTTGCTGCATTATTCTACTAGCAGTAATAATAGTAGTTTTAGTTATTATCTAATAGTTTATGAGTAAGTATTAATTCTTATTAATGTACAGAAATATATAAAATTGTACATACATATTGGGTTAAATTATAATATAGTCTTTATTTTGAAAAGTAATTAATCAAAAGAAAATATTGAAAATAAATGTTTAAGTACAGATCAAAATTAAATATCAATTAGAAAGTATTGCATAATATTATTATATATTATCAATAATAGAATATTAATATTTTGGCCTAATAATGGCGGATTATTTTCTTATCAGTTCATATAGTCACACTTTCTCTATCAAGGCACTTTAGTTCCATCCATTGTATATAGTCTAAGTTTCTTATACAAATAATGATTTTTATGACTTTTAAAAAAACAAACTTGAAAAAAATCTATTAAACAAGTTCCAATTTGGTTTTTAAATAATAAATAATAATTTTTACTCACTTTAATGTTCTTAAATCTTCACAGTAAAGTAAAATGTTTTCTAACAATAAAGATTGACTTGATTGTGGATTTTTCAATAATTTTAAACTACTTTTTAAAATGTGAGAAGCCTGAAAGATGTTATAAATAAAATTACAATAACAACCATTCAAATTCATGAAGGTACAAAAGTGAGTAAATACAAAATGTTTCTAATTTTGTTCAATACAAGCTAATTTGATTTTCAATATAGTCAGCTATATTAATTAACTTATAATTATGTGTGTTGTTAATATTTTTATTTAAATTTTGTAAAAACTTTAAATATTGACCTTGTTTATTAGTGTAAGGAATATATTAATTTATTAATCATTATGATATCTTTACTATAAAATGTTACCATTTGGAAATATTAAGAAATTTTACATTGTAATTAGATTAAGAGGATGTCATACATACATCAATATTAAATGTCTCCATCTTAGATACACATGTTTAGGGCCCAAATATTGTTGCATTGCAACTTTTCTTCTATAGCAACAATTTATTGCTCAGTTAGTTTTAAATACAATGCGTACAAGTAGCAATTAAAATCTAAAATTTTTAAGTGCAATTTTTGTAATTTTGAGTTTACTCATTTAAAAAACTATTTTAACTATTTTTTACATAATATTACATACAATAATATATACATACATAATATACATCAATACTGTTAAAATGATTTATTGAATTATTGAATATATAGTTGAAACTATATTTTTATTTTTAGAATCCTATAGGTGGTGTCTTACTAGGATTATTAGATTCCTTTTATTTACAATGCATATAGATAAAATTATATTTAACACAAAGAAAATGTATGAACCAGATTACTTAAAAATCAGGTTTTCACCAAGTATGTGAATTTTGTGTAGTAATGTTCTTTTATTGTTTTATAAATAAAGGTTTATAAATTATAAGAAACCATTGGTACAATTTTCAATTTTTCGAAGTGTAATTATCTATATTTTTTAGGGCAATACTGCAATCAATTTTAATACTTTTAGACTACCACAATATCCTTATCCTACACCTGATATATCAAATTTAAGTTTATATTAGTTATTCACTGTTAATTTTTATTATTAGAGTGAATTGATCTAATATAAAACTTTAATTTTAATATTTCACATATTCATAACTCACTTAAAAATTAAAATATCAAAACAAACACATTATAAACACAGACAATATTCTTACTTTTAAGTTTGATAATAAGTTAATTCACTTCGGCTGAATGCAAACTTGCTATATTTGTAAAATGATGTCAGTACATTAAGGTATGCGATTCACTTAGAAAGAAACCTTCAGTTTACAAGTGTATAGTTTATAAGGTGTAATAGGGTATAGTTTATAAGGTGTAATAGGATATAGTTATATTTAGGTTATAAATGTTCTTTAAACAAATTTGATAATGAATATGATAAAATAAAACTTTTTTTACTTAAATTATATGTCTATAGAAACATCTTGTACAATAAAATAGTAAATGAAAGTACTTACATCAGGATTAATTTCTTTAAGTAAATATTCTAAAACTTCATGAAGATTTAGAATAAAAGATAAAAAATAATGAAAAACTAATGTAATGAATACTTTTTGAAATATTTCATCCTCAGTTTTATAATTTGTGTCCAAAAAATCTAAATGTACAAAATAAATGAAAATTAGTCCCTGAAGTACCTAAATAGTTTAAATTAAAAAGCATTATATTTTCTTAAGAATTGTATAATATAAAACAGGGAGCTATAGAACTCCAGTATTTTTTTTTTTTTTCAAAATCATAAATAAATAAATAATTCAATTTAAGACTACATTTAAAAAAATTTTAATTTCATTATACTTACAAAAGTCTGGATAAATGAGCCGAGAATCATCAGTGTTTATTTTAGTTCTAGACTCTAACTTATGATATAGTATATTGTATAAACAATCAAGAACAGATGATTTCAAAGTTGTAAACTCATTGTCAATTATCTCACAAAAACCACCAGAACAATTATTCTGTACATCTTTACAGTATTCAATTTCTGACATAATAAGCTAAACACATAAATCAAGTTAATATTATAATTATAGTACAATTAAAACCTTAAAATATATAATTATTATACTCACACTATAATCTATCTGATTTGACTGAGTCAATTCTAATACACGACATATAAAATGGTTCATTGTAGCAATGTCTTGTTTTAAAACTTGGAGATCTTTAGAACTGAACTCTTCTGTTCTTTTTAACTGCACATTAACCAAACAAATTATAATTCAATAACAATAAATATAAATTAGAAAACATTTTTTGCGAGAAGATGGCAATTTGACATAGATCTGATTGTGGTTATATAACTATTTAACATCTATGATTCTCACAGTTATACACAGACATTTCTGAATAATAATATTTTCAAAATAAAAATTTTTGAAGTGATATATAATTAGGTACATAAATGTAATCATTTTCAAAATATAAAGTTAAAAATAGAGCTTACTTGATTTGGTCTATTAACATTTTCTTGAAAATCAAAACTAATAGTTGACATTGTATCATATTTGCAACTTTCAAGCTAACAAAATTAGAAAAATAATAATTAATATTAAACTAAATTTATTAATTTACAAATTACTAACTTGGTCTATAGATTCAACACTTCTATGATCCAACTTAGACATTTTATTAGTATAAGCTTTTTTCAACACATTCAATTGCATTCTTGCCTACAGATTTGTAAACAAATTAGGTATTTATTTTAATGAAAAATTAATGCTAAAAAAATGATAATAGGTATGATCATATAAACAATCTATATCTAAATATATATTATAAAGAAACTCCTTTTTTGTTTGTCTGTGTGGGTGTATCTTAAAATTATTTAATAGATTTTGTTAAGATTTTCTTCAATAAACTATCATTCTTGTCCAATTTTTAGATGTACTATATACTCATACAAAATTAATAGAATTGCAAACATAATTAACAACGTGTAATAAAGGCTATACAGCTAATTAAATAAGCCAAAAAATATCACTGTATAATATAAATAGCTGTGGCATTTATATTACACTCCATACTCATCTAGGGTTCAAAATTTATTTTTCTATTGTTTTAATTTCTATGCACTATGGTGGTAACTGGAAGATTTAAAAAATGTAATAACTTTTTTATATTAAATATTTTAAGTTTTTTTTTTTTTGTTATAATTACCAGAGTTCTACGCTTTAATTTGTATATGCTATTTTATTATAATTTAATACTAGAGATTAATTATATTTGACTAACAATAAATAATAGAATAGGCGTTTATTATCAAATTTTATAATATTTCATGGAAAAATCAAATTAACCATTTGAACATTTAGTCACACAAAAAATGTTACATTTCACAAAACTTTCAAAAATTGTTAAAACATACCTCAAATGATGGGGGGGGGCTACTGTTTTGGAAGAGAAATTGAGATGGTAGGATATAGAAGAGAATTTAATTTTTATTAGTATGCTCTGATAAACCAATATTAACAAAAACTAATCAGAGTGAAGTTTCTTCTTTACATGAACATACATTTTCCTAATTATTAAGAAAACTGCTTGGAAAATCAACAAATGACATGTTTAAAATATCAACTAGATAACATTTTCTTTTAGAAAAGATGCTACACTTAATACATCGAAGCAAGATTTCTGACAGAAAAATTGATTACACAGTAAAAAAAAGTAAACATCATTGTAGAACTGATGAATTCTTCACTACTATCTAAATCTAAAATTAATTCAAACTTAGTATAAAGTTTGGATATCAAAATTTTTATAAAAATCAGTTTAAAAAATGGCTATATAAATCTCTTTAAAAAAAATTTAAATATAATTTTACATTTTAGATTCTGAGTAAAGTGAGGAATTTAATGGTTTCAGAATTATATTTTATTATATTTTCTAAGTCGTCTTTATAATAATTGAGAAAACCGTAAAAAAAAGATAGAGAAAATGAGAAAATTTAAGAAATGTATCATTTTCAATTTAGTTTTCTGTTGTGATTCATATAAAAAAATATTCTGGCCATTTTAATTTTGCAAATTTATTACTTTATTCTGTTGGTATTCTGTGAATAAAATTATTAGATCAAATAGAAATGCTTGAAAATTTAATATGAGGTTTATTATAAGTCATAATTAATCATCGAAAAAAAAATAAGAATATAATGTAGAATTTTAATATCAAATTTTCATGAAAATCATAAATATTATGGTATTTTAAAACATGTATAACAGAATTCTGCTCAGAATTATTTTTTATTATCAAAGAAAAAATATTAAATTCTCTATTATATTTTATCTTCCCAACAGTAAAGTGTACAAAGGGGTAAGGGGTTAATCGTTAACCTTGACCCTCCCCCAAAATGTCATGAAAATTATTATGAATATAGATTTCTAACAAAGTCCCAATAGTGATTTATGTTAATGAAGAAAATAAATACAATTGGTTTTATTTCTATTACAAGATAGTACCTAGGTATACATTATTATCATTGTCATTTCTAATATTTTGTGGTTTTCCTGCTTTTAAAAAATTATAATAGATATAGAGATATTACATAGTCTACATTATCATCACAGTAATAAAAATTACATTATCATTTAAGCTGTATTCACTTAAAAAATATTAAATTAAAAATTTAATAATAGGTACCTAAATGACAAAAAATGAATGTTATAAATATTGACATTTTTAATGAAAAATAAATAATCCTACATTTGAAAGTATATTCACTTCTTTGTTTTAAAAGTATAAAAGTACACAACCTTTAAAGCTCCCCAGAATAATTTTTTTGTAAACGCACCTGCTTCCTAATTTATTATCTACAACAGTTGATAAAACAAAACTTAGTTGAAAAAAACTAAAGAAAATAATAGGTAAAAATAAAGCCAAATTGGTGGCCAAAATGTCGTTCTTTGTAATTTTTTTAATAATTTAACAAAACCGAATAATAATGTAGAAAGAATTGGAAAATTTACGAAAATAATTATTTTATTAATTCAAAATTTGTTTTTAATGTAATTCAGTTTAAAATATTTGTAGAGATTGTTGATAGTAAACGTATATTTACTTTTTCTAGACGTGGAAAAACTTTCAAAAAATTAATTGCTCAAACAATTTATAGACATTTTAATTTTTTCGAGTTTTGAACGTACTTTTTATTGGTAGGTGCCGTAGAATGGGGTGAATAGATGAATAGAAACAAAAAGTGATAAAATTATATTTGGTCTAATAGTTTTTAGAAGAATTGGCTTAGGACACTATTTTTTTTACCATTATCAAGTTAATATAAACGACATCACAACTAATTTGTAATCTAGTTAGTATTATTTACTAATATACTGATAATACAGTGATTGTGTGACTAAGGTTTTACCAGTTTTAATACATGATTATACAAACAATGTTTTCTGAATGACAAGATTGATTTATTATTTTTTTTTTTTTTTCTAATATCTGTTGTGATCCTCAATGCTTTAATTTGTAATTATGAATTTATAATTCATTTCTAATTTTATTTATTAATTTTTAATTAAAAACTGTCTTCTAGGGGTGAATAGAAACAACGTGAAAATGCCACGAATTTATCAAATAGACGAACCAAAAAATATAAAAACTAAATCAAATTGATATTGAAAATGCCATTATGGCTGTTAAAAGAAAGCACAAGAAATATATGGCATTCATTATTTTGTAATCTACCATCATATTAAAAATTCTTGTAATATTTACCTAAACAAAACGGATCTGTGATACCAAATTAAATTATAAATATTTTTAAAAATTTAATTATTTATTTTTATTCACCTTCTACAAGTATAAATGTCAATAAATGATAAAATAGTGAACATGTTTCTTTTCATCCCACTTGACAGGTGAATAGAAACAAGGCATTTAAAAAAATATATAAAATCAAACATAAATTATAATATATTGTCTATTGTATTACATCAAAGTACTAACAGAGACTCATATTTTAGTGTATCACTCATTATTGTATATTAAATATTTAAGATGCTACAAGCTTTAAAAGTTTAAAACTGTTTCTGTTCACCCCATTTCAGGGTATTCTGTAGATATATCCTAAGAAATGCTTATAAATTGATAGAGAGTTCAATTTAAGTCATACTTGGTGGGTAAAAAAAAAATTTCGTTTAATGTAGGATTTTTTTTATATTAATTTAAAAATCAAATTTTTACACAAATCGTAATTAATATGACCTTTTAAAACATGTATGTAACTTCAGTTGAACTTCACTCCGAATCATTTTTTGTTTTAAATGGTTTATGGTTAATTAAGGATAAACAGCCTTATATAGGTTCTCTAGTTACAGGTATAAATTAAATAATTTTATGTACCTCACTTTCCCCATTACCTATAATAACAGTGCCCACACCCAACTCCATTATCAGTACTTTTTTTTATTTTAAATTCCTATTAAAAAAAAAAATACATTAAAATTAAATTAAATAATATTTAAATCAAAGTGCCAAGATGTAATACGTATTGAGACAGACACGTTACAATAGTGTTAAGGAGAGCCACTGTTGTTGGTGAGATGTTAGGAAGCCAGTAAAGGGGAAATTTAATGTACCTATATATGTAAGTAACAATTAACCGTTGCTAATAATATAATGATTCTGAGCGGTTATTAGTGTTGCTTTGTCAACAATATATAATATATATTATGTCAAATTATGGTAAACTAATAACATATGTATTATTATATATTTTCTTTGATAATATACCTATTTCCTGTTTTTTCAATTTATTATGAGATCAGCTGGAAAAATCTAAAATTTATCTCTTTAAAGTATTATTCCAAACAGATTTCCTTTCAGAAAAAGTGTTAACATGGTAAATTGTATCAAAATTGTAGGTAGTTGTACATACATAGAAAAAAAAAAATAAGGTGATACTGTTGTAGGTGGGATAAAGTTACTTAATTTGTACCGGGAGTCTATTGCTAACAAAAAATGTTTCGGAGTGAAGTTCAGTTATATATGTTTTTTAAAGGCCATATCATTTACAATTGTCATCAAAATTTGGTTTTAAAATTATTATAAAAAATATTAAAAATACTAAATTAAACTCAACTTTTTTATGTTGACCACCAAGTACAACTTATAATGAATTTACTGTTATATTTTCAAGTATTTCTGTTAATTCTTACAATTTTATCCACAGAGTACCTACTTAATAAAAAATAACTAATTAATAAAATTTGGTACAATATTTATAGTAGAAAACAAGCTGTACAAATTTAAAATAGTGAAATCGTTGTGCTGTAATCTGGAAAAATGTTTATATTTCATCTCTTTTGGTTTTTCCCAATTACATATTATGATATAAAAAACTGACTTTTTCTGTCAGTGGCTATGTGTTGAATAGAATAAAATCAATCTCTTGTCATTTTTCGATTGAAGTAATATTTCTGGTAGAAAACTATGAAAATGTTAATACTTTAAATACTTGCCTTTTTATGTATAATTTTCTTTCAGTTTTTCTCAATTACCATCCAGAAAAGATGTTTTAGTCTACACAGTCTGGTAGGAAAAATGTTTAGACAAAAAAAACAAATTACACACCGTAAAACTAATATATTCCCCGCTCTGCACAGATTCTAAGTCATTACATTTGTTAAATAATCCAGTTACATCTAATGTACTTCAAATACAAATACTTTAGTATTTATTAATTTATTAGTTTTATTAGTCTTTTTATCTAAAAAAATGGCTATCTAACTGTTAATTTTAGATAAAAGATAAAATTAAAAAAAAAAAACATTCATAATATTTAATTTAGTTGCCAGAGACAAGGAAGTATACTAAGGAAGGACAGCTAGATATGCAAGAACTGATATTATATAAGTGGTAAAAATGGAACTGAAGAGAGAGGAGGGTTCCGAGAGTTAGATATCTTGGGGCGAAAATAATAGATATAGAAATGACAAGTACATTAAATTGAATTATAATTGAAGATAGCTTTGTGTCAATGAATAATGACGTATCTTGACTTTTTAAATGGAATTATTAATTTACCAATATAATGAAGCGAATCTTATTATATGATATGGTAGGAAATGTTTAATACATTTTTAAATAGGTATATTGAAAGTTTACTTTTGCAAATTCCATGGCGAGTCTGTCATACTTTTGTTGCAGATCCGATTGTGATCGATCAGTTTTGATGGAATCTGTATCTGACATCTTTTTTATTCTAAAATACAATAATTATAAAAATTTAAAACTTATTAATTCATTAACATGGCTTTTGACAATACATCTACTTACATTTTTCGTTTAATATTCTTATTATAGCACAATAAGAAAGACGGGTAATTCCTATTAGACCAAATGAAAAATCCGGTAGGTGGTTTAAAAATTAATTTAAAATATTAAACATTCATGATTTACTAGCAAACATGAAATACACTACAACAATACAATAATTCCACCCACAAAGATACTTATAATAATTGTTGTTGAATTACAGGAGAGCTTACATAGAACATCATACTGGGCTAAATTAATATATATAAATAATTAATGACCACTTGAAACAGTTATAGAATTTTAGAAACACTTATATTTATGGCACAAACTAGTTAACAAGCAAACAGAAGGAAAAAAATCAAAATTACCAGAGACCCAGCTGGAAAAATACAAACGTAAACAAAATTATCCATCAACTTATCAGTTATTATCGGTTATCCTTATCAACACTACCAAAATATTACGTAGTTCCGATAGCAATACATGATAAGGGAGCCCAGTGAGTCTCAAAATGCGTTATAATTCATTGAAGGTGTTAGAAAGACAATAAGTATGCAACAATGCACAATGTGATGTCGACAAAAAGAGCAAAAAAATTATTGTATATGTGCAACATAACGTCACAATAACTAGACGAAACAGTCTATTTGTAGCCCGATTAATTGATAAATCAAATCGATTAGAAAAATAAAGATATCCTAATATATTGGGGACTAGTGCAGCCACTGTTATTTATAATTTAATGTATACCTCTAAGCAACAATAAACCATTGTTTACGAATAAACGATTCTGAACGGAGTTCGGTTGATAGTGACGCTTGTCAACAATATATGCCATATTATTAAATATGCTTTATATATTTTCTTTAATAATATTTGTTAATGTTGTACCGATTTTTTCAGTTTCCCTACGTTTGTCCCGGTTTTTCCATGTTATATCCTGGTTTTTTTTATATGCTGGGAAAACTTTTCGGAAATTGAAAAATGACCTCTCTGAAATACCTAGCTAGTGAAATTTCCTTTTAGAAACATAACTAAAATTTGGAACAAAATTACTGATAGAAAAATAGTACACAATAAAAAAGAAGGCCGTTATATATTTTTACTAATACCTACATTTCTTATATTTCCCCTTTTAAGATTCTGAATGTGTTGGTTTTACTAAGATGTTTTTTATTATTTATTTTTTTTATTCGACTAAAAATCTTGCTTAGATATATACGAGCCACACATGATTTATATATTGTGTGCGTACATCGGTGAATATGTGGTCAATGAGATCATTTTGCAAATCAACTATTGTGTAGAAATCGGTGGGCAATTTTATGTAGCCAATATTTTCATGGACAGCAACTTCTCTATCGCCGATATCTAACAATTGTTTTGAGAATGTGTCAGCGAATAGATCTTGTAGCATTTATATACGCATGTTTATTTTCAGCTGAACTTTTTCAACATTATTCCACAGTGACGATGATTTCAAGCAAGTGATGATCTCATAGGTATACTTTAACGTGGAATGACGGGAAGTGTTTATCTGAAATCATATGGAAGGAGTAACAGAATGCTACTGAATAGTTTGTCGTTGTTTTTATATCTTTGAGTGTTCTGTTCAACGCCTCAAGAGAATCTTTGTGTGCCATAGTGCGTTTATCCCAGATGATAATGTTGTTTCTGCGCAGTGGCCATTGACGATTGTTTTTTTTATGTTGCACACTGCGCACTGTTATTTTAAATATTTAGCTATATATTATTATTATATTAAAATTCAGAATATTTGAGCTTTTAAGAAATTTTAGTTTGTGGGAGTTTTTTTGCTGTAATTCGGTTATAATTACAAGTAGAAACTTGAAGAGACACCCTAGAGAACTTGAGAAAAAGTATTATTATTAAATTTCCGAGATTATCAATTAAATCATTAATAATATTAACAAATAAAATTTAGATAATATATAACATAATTATAATTTTAATGACAATTCTTGCGTTACCTATTATAAGTTATCCTAATCTTTTTTGTTCTTGATTCGATAAACTCTGGATTGTTTATTCTTGTGTACAAGGATATCCGAATTATTTGTCTCCACAAATTTAAATTTTTTGTCATTTGCTATTTTTTCGATTTACCAAATAGAACTCTTTTATATTTTGTAAGTGGTATTATATGTGTGTATAATTTGTGTAAAACATTAATAATAATTGTTGAAAAAAAATATGTATAGTTTTGTTATAGGTGGAGTAAAAATTAAGTTTATAGAAGAAACAGACAAATATTTAGAAAGTGTTATCAAAAAAAGTATAAAATCTATAAGTACTACTTGTAATTTATAATTATTACATGTAATGTTAATATTACAAATAATTACATTAATTGTAAACATTATTTTATTTTAATATTAATGTTGAATAATTTTCAATAAAAAGGACAGACATTTTTTTGATATAAAATATATTTTGTATTATATTCATAATTTTGATTATATTATAGGTAAGTAACTATATATTATATATTTTTATAATATTTTTCAGATAAATAATTATTCAATAATAAAGGACAGAATTTTCTTTTTATTATAAAATATGTTTTATATTATATTTATAATTTTTATCAATACTAATGAAGATAATTTTTTTCTCAATAAACAAATGACTTTTTTAATCTTGACTCATTTTATTTAAAAGAATGCACGTTGATACCAAATTGTATATTCCTTTAATATCTTTCATATGTTCCTCTATAATATACTAAAAATATGTTTGAGGATTTTAATGGAATAAACTGGGAATACTTTTTGGATATTGTCTGCAGATAATAAATGAATATGTTTGTAGATATATATGGTATTATCTAAGTAATTTGAGGTGAGACATAAAAAGTTGCTAGTAATAATCCTTGAGTATCTGAGGTTTATTAACGAATAACTATCACATATATGACAATTCTAAAAAATATAATCAAATCTTAATATAAAAATACAAAATGCTATGTGGGCACGCATTCAATATAAAAAGATATCAGTACAATTTCGTAAATTAATTGAATTGTATATTCCTGAATATTCATGGTTTTGTGTTGATACCAAATTATAGTAAAATAATTAAATAGGCTTTAGGTATTTTCTTTAATAATATTTATTTAATATTGTACTGATTTTTCTCGGTTTTCCCATGTTTTTCTTGGTTTTACATATTTGCTAAGAAAACTCTTGGGAAAATCGAAAAATGACCTCCTTAAAGTACTTCCCCAAACCGATCTCTTTTCAGAAATTTCCTTCAGTGCCACACTTGAAAATCGGAGCAAGAATTCTGGTAGAAAAGTTCTGCACAGATAAAAAATAAAAAATAATAAACATCTTTATAAAACCATAAGCTTCTTCGCTCCACTCAGAATCTGAAATTATTAATCCCAAAAATTGTGTACCTATTAGGAAAAACAGATTTTAAAATATATTATTTTTAATGTAATGTGATTTAAAATATCATCTAATACTAATAATAAATAATAATTTGAATATAATATTATTATTTTTAAAATTTTAACTTGTAATGTTGTATGTTCAAATCTGTATGCAAGTAAACAAAACAAGTGTTTGCTTTATTTTCGGTTTACCAACTATTGACACTATTAATTAATTGAATTAACTAAAAAATTGTTTATTATCGGTAATATTTTAATGGATAATAATAGATTTAATGATTACCATCTATTTTTATTACTACTAAAGTAGGTATTCTAGAGAATTGGTCATAACCAAAACTATGAAATTAAAATTACTATTACCTACTTACTAAGTAGTTTGTATAAACTGAATAAAATTAATCATTTGATATATAGTGATGACTATAACAATATAGACAGTTTGTCCATCCTCGGAAATAGGGAACACTTTATAACTCTGTACCTTATGCATATTTTTATAATTGGTTTTTGGAAAACGAAACTATACCTACTGGACCATTATTTTTTTGGACATACAATTTTTTAACGCGTGTGTTTTGAAATTATATTAGGATTGGTCAAATTTTTTCGAGCCAAATTAATATATCAACTTGTATTCTAAATTTAAAACTGGCCATATGAGAGCTATTTGAAATCATAGTAGAAAAATATTTATTTTTTTTTTGTAGTTTTCGTAGTTTGTAGTTAGTTGTAATAATATAAGATATTAATAATAATAAAATTATTATATATATAATATAATTATGATATAATTATAAACTAATATAAGAATAAAGAACCTTATATTATCTATGGTTATTAATATGTATATGGTTGTATTTGTGGTTAGTGATCTTAATTTGTGATCGCGTTTAAGAATTAGCTGATTAGCAGGCCATCTCAAATAAGTAATAAGACGTGAGTTCAGCAATATATATTATCAATAACTTTAAAAATTATTGTTTGTAAACTAAGTACAACCATAGATAATATATACATAATGCATCATTGATGTACCCAAATTAACAAAACCATAGACATTATGATTATTATCCAATATATTTATTTTAAATACAGTGAGTCTTTTAACATACAAAACTAAATAGTTAGGTTAATAAATGAAAAACATAATTTTAAGCAGCGACGATTTGAGATTAAGGTTAATTTTCATATTGGGTTTTCACGTTCCTAACTAATAATTTTGTATTTTCATCAACCAAAATCATAACACCATACACCCTGTAAACAAAAAAAAAATAAATTTAAATATAAATACTTTTGAATTAGTTGTAGTTTTAGTTTGTAATAATTTGACATGTTAGTCCTTAATAATATTATTCAATAAATTAATTATTTGTTCAAGTTAATGATTTTTTTCGCACTAGACATCTATTTTTTTCACGGAGATCCAAAACAATTTTTTTATTAAGTTAAAATTATTTTTGGCTCTTTTAGGGGTACTAAAATCATTTTCCTCTAAACCTCCAAATCTAGAAGAAGAGCCCAATACTTTATTTGGAGATCCTAAGCTGTTGCAAAATAATTTCTTATTTGAAAATAAAAAATATCTTTTAAATAACATGTTATTATAATATATTATTCTAATGTAATATTTATTATAGTTACTTTTTAGACTGATATTGTAGGTATTTTATAACAATTCAAGTCATTTGTATCTTCGCTGAAACAATATATTTTTAATGTATAACACTACCAAATAGCCCATAGCAAATCAGAAATTTAAGGAAATATATACTAAAATATATATAATGTATATATTATAAAACATTATTACTTGGTTTATTCAACTGGGGTACCTGTCTAAACTAAATTTTTATCCATTTTTTTGAGTAATGGAAATGATGGTACATTCTTAACACTGTAATTAATAACATAATTGTTTTTAATTTATTAGTAAAAAATAATAATAAAATATACTTCAAATATTATAATTAGACATTTACTTTTTTAAATTATTTTACATAGATACTGCGTCGCCTAATAGTGTACTTTTGAAACACACACCATAAAATGTTGAGGATTAAAATGCCTAGAACATATTTTATCCCATTTTCCTGTATTACTTAAGCCTAAGGAATCTAGCCATAAATATCGTCTTTGATCGTTTGGGAAGCTTAAATTTAAAAATAAAAAATAATAAAATAAATAACAATGTACGTTAAATATTAATTCAATAAAATCTATACTTAAGAATGAAAAGGCAAGGCATGGTTGTCATTATTTTTTGAAGTGGAACCGCAATATAAACATTTATACACCATTTTAGTTCGTATTTTGTAATTTAACATAGTGGGTAAGTGTGTAACTAGTAATTACAATAGTGAAAAAAAAACAAGTAATAATAATGAAATTAATTATTTTGATCAAAAATTGGCAGAAATCAGATTGATAAAAATGGTGTTTATCATAAATCAGTATCTGTAACCGCTTATAACTATTATGGTAACTAGTAGACTGATTACAGTAAACCGTGTACAATAGGTATAAGGATGTCCTATCCATGTATATATTATCTGTGGGTACAACCACGGAATTGGTTAATTTTGAACAATACAACCGTATTTTTAAGTATTATACTATTATCTCTCGACTCTCAATAACACTGTATTGAAGAAGTTAAAACTATGGAATCTAATGGTGAAAAACGATAAAGTGAGTATCGCATAGATTACACCATTTTAAACATGCCAGCACGGTAAACGTTTTCTATTTCAACGGATTTTCAGTCATACAAAAAAAGAATGAGAAAATTTTTACAGAATCTACAACCATCCAATGGGGGCAAAGAAAACTTGATAGGTGCTGGTAGAAATCTGCAGGACAATATGGAGTAGGTGTACTGTAAGTTTAATTATTTTTATGTTCCTGTGTTTACATATTCTTCTTTTGTTATGCTGCACATCATAATATCGAAACCAGCAATGTAAAACCAGTGCAAATTAATGAAGTAGAAGTAAAACCCAAAGAAAAGACACACAATTCGTCTCCAGCTAAAGGCAAATCATCATTGTACAGAAAATTAATACTTGAAGATCTCACCTCTACAGGCAAGTGCATATGGTTGTTTTAAAATATAAAATAATAGTCGAATCCTATTTTTACCATATATTTTTATTTTTCATTAAAGCTGGTCCAAGTGAAAAAACTTGGGAAGTGATTGCTGAACATCGTAGAAAAGCTTTAGCAAAAGCAATTGAAGAAAATCAACAATTATTTGCTCTTGTTATTGATTTAAAAGAAGAGAATACATGTTGCAATACATTGCTTGAAAATTCTACTGATCTTGTAAAGACACTAACGGTAAGGTTTAATTATAATTAACTTTATTTATTTATAATTATTAAGGTAGAAACCTAGTAGATGATCAAAATATTTGGCCCATGTATATAAATGGATAAAAATAGCAGAGTGATCTATAAATTTGTTTTATACATAAACATGACATTTTTATACTGCTATTTTTTCTATATTCCTAGTATTTTAAATTTTTAGTGCTTTTTTCAAATTTTATTATTATATAAAGTGAGTGTAAAAAATATTTGAACACCTTACATTTTTCTCCATGATATTATATTTTTCTCGATAAATTAATACATGCATATTATTCTTTTACAATTTTTAGTTATATTTTTAAAAAAAAACCATACCAACAGTTCTATTAATAATAATAATATTAAATAACAAAAAAAAAAAAAAAAAAATGAATATAAAATAGTAATAATAGATAAATATTCGTACACTTCTATTTTAGTTATGGAATAGTCTGTTTACTCAAAATAATGTTATTAGAAAATGATAAGATAAATAAAATGACACTAAAAGATTATTCGAATTCAGTTTACTTCAAAATATCGTTGGATACCATCTATCACAAGATGAGTCTAAAAAAAGAGTGAGATGAATAAAACTGAATGTTAACTTATATTGTGATTGCATAATCAGTGTAAATTATTATGTCAAATATAAAAAATTGTCAACAGAGTATATAGCACTGAAATAACTAGATCCATACAGTGAGCGGAAAAGCCAAGAAAATAAGTAACCTAGTAGCCCAAAAAAACTTTCTGACCATGATAAACATATAGTTATACAAAAAGTTAAGCTAAATCCAAAAATCCTAAAATAGCACAAGGTATTCCAAATTTTTCTGGAGTATGTGTCTGTGTAAATACAATGAGAAACTATTTAAAAAATAATGATTACCATGGACAAATATAAATTGATTATCATGGTTGGATTGTAAAGAAAAAAAATGACAAAAAAGATTTGCTTTTACAAGTAACAACTTATATCCTTGTTAACTTTTCTAACAAAGTTATGTTTACAGATGAAAGTAAATTTAATATTTTTAGTTCAGATGGAAGAAAAGTGAGTATAGAAATGAAACCAACAAATTTACAGCTTACAGTAATATACGAAAGAGGTTCTGTAATGGTTTGGGAATGTAAGAGTTCTCAGAGTGTTGAAAACTTGCATTTTATTGATGGAATTATGAACCAAGATATTTATTTAAATATTTTAAAGATAAATCTTAAAGCCAGTGCTGAAAAAATGGGCATCAAAGATGATTTTATATTCTCAGAGGAAAATGATCCCTAGCATACTGCAAAGAAAGTCAAGGCTTGGTTGTCTAAAAATGTAACTGAATATCTCATTACACCACCACAGTCTTCAGACATTAATCCTATTGAAAATTTGTGGAATCATTTGGATAAAAAAAAATTGAGATCACAATATTTTAAGCGAGGAAACTCTAACAAAAAGAAGAAGATTGGAATAAAATCACAGCAGAAACAACACATCACCTGGTTGATTCAATGTCTAAAAGTTTGGAGGCTATAATCCAAAGACTACCCTACAAAGTATTAAATAGGGCTATACAATGGGTTAAAGGCTTTTCTTTTGATGCTTATGGTACTATAAAATGCAAATCTTGCTATTAAATAAGGAATAGGTGTTTAATTTTAATAATTTAAAATTTAATTGAATTTATAAATATTGTACAATTAATGTTGTCTAGCTTTAAAGTTATTGAAAATGTCACAAGAAGTTTTTAATGGATTTTAAGGTGGGAATAATGTATGATTAATTTATAAACAAGTTTTAAAAAAAATCTATGTTCCTAAAATGGCCAAATGACTATGTATGTCAACTATCAAATTGAATACAATATAAATGTCTAATTTGTACCACACATTAGGTACACTTATGGTAATTTTATATACATTGATATTTAATTTGTTCTGGTTGATTGTAACACAGAATAGATAATAGTATAATATAGTTTAATATTGGTAACTATATATTTTGTACATACACCCCTTTTGTTTTCAAACATGCCATATTCTTTTATTTATTCTTAAACATTGATAAAACATTTATTGTACCACACTAAACAACAAAGACTTCCCTATTATAAATAACTCCACTTTACATACAAATAAATATATAAATGATCATAATTGCCATGGCAATTAAAAAATTATAAATTAATTTTGAATAAAGATTTCTTATTTCATAATGATACATTATTTAATAAATTTAAAGTGTTAACAATCAAAAGACTTTTCTATAAAACTGAAATAGTATTCATACTCAAAAATAACTTAACAGAAACTTTTTAACACACAATAAATACTAGATATAAAATCATCAATATTATCAGTCCTAGAACAATTAAAACTGCCACACAATTACCATTCTTATAAGTAGGGTCATATATTTTAAATTTGCTGCCCACAGATTTTCCAAATGACACATTACAAAATTTTAAAATATGCTTAAATAATTGGTTAATGGAACAAATTGTGAATTTAATGAAAATATTTTCTTAATTTGTAGTTTCAAGTATATTTAGATTTAATATTAACTCATATCTTATTGAAGAAGAACCAATATACATTATAAGTTATAATCTATGTTTTAAAATTGTCATCATTTATTTAATATAAATGTAATTCAGATAAACGCTAAGTTTTCGCACCCCCTCCCCCCCCTATACAAGCATGTTCAGTGAGGTTCATTATTCTTTTTTGAAATAAACATAAAATAAAAATAAATATTTACATTGTACTGTAGTTAATAAACCAATTAAATAATATTTTGAATTGTTTTCTTACAAAGGGAATGATAAATGAAAATGATTTTCAAAGTAATGATACCTCATCTGATGATATTGAAGACAGCAATTTGAGCACACCTGGCAGTTCTGATGAAAAACATGTACACAAAAGAATAAAACTATCAAAATCTACTAATGAATGTCCAGATAGCAATTAAAATGTATTAATTCTACTTATATTTGAGATAAAAGATATCTACCTCAGAAAAATATTTTTTTTTCACCCATGAACATGTAATCATTGAAAAATAATAATTTATAATTTATTCTTTTGTAATTATTTAATATTTAATTAGGTTTATTAATTTTGTTTATATGATACCATTATTGTGTTAATTATATACTTAAAACTTAATTTCTGAGCATGATATTTTCATATTGTACTTATATCCAAAATGTTTAAAAAAACATTTTTTTTTCTTTCATCTTCCATAAAGTTGTTATTTGATTTATAGAAGTAAATTATTGTTTCTATCGTAAAATCATTAATTTTATACTGTTTAAATAAATAATTAAATATGATCAGTTATAATTAAATTAATATTGTAGATAAATGGTCTTTATTTCCTATTGATAGTATCTTGACAGATGGTAATATGGGAAACTCTATTAAGAGACACTACTGTTTCTTATTAACTATTTTAAATTTATAATCAATATACTTAATACTTTAATAAATAGTTACTTTCTATTGGCTGTACTTCCAATGAATAGTTAGTTAGATACCTAAGTATTTTATAAAATAATTTTAATGAACAAAACTATTATAATTCCAAGTTCTTAAACCAAATTAATATTGAGAGTTATTGATTTCTAGATTTTTTTTTTCTAAATACCAAATTATTTACTTAGTTATTAATTATTATAAAATAACTCATCTAAGTATTATAATTGATTTTAAATATATAACCTCAACCACAATTCTATTTATATTTTAAATGAATTTGATTTATGTTTTTTTTTTATTATTGTAGAATCAGAGGAGCTTTATTTGAAAACTATTTTTTATTCCACCAGCCTCCAGTTTTCCAGGTTTTCTGACATCAAAAAGATCATTCAAGGTAGTATAGGAGAAATGTAATGTATATCTGCTCACAATGATTAACCGTTAACAATGAAAAACCAATTCTTAGTGAAGTTTAGTTAACAGTGTACTTTTTCAACAATATTTATGTCATATGGTAAAATATTAACATATGCATTTTCCCATTTATTGGGAAAACTTAAAAACCCTCGATAAAATGCAAAATTGAACTGCATAATTACAGTCAAACCGGTTAATGAAAAAAACCGGGCTGACCGAACAGCACTAATATGGAAAGCATGGCAGGTTTCCGCCAAAAACATACCTTTCTCTTTTCCACCAAATGAACAAATTTAATCTAATACTTGAATATTAATGGACAATTATATCATAAATTATAATTATACTAATATAAAACAAATTTCAAAATGTTCACAGAAAATATTAAAAATTGTTGTACAGGAGTGATTAAATTAAAAGTATACAAATATAACTATTAATGATTTTTAAAATTAAAACCAGTTTTATTTACTAACCACAACAGGCTTTTTTTTGTTCTTATTATTTTTTTGTTGTTTTTTTTTTTTTGTATATAGTAAGTTCCCGTTATAACGAAAGTCATAGAAGTCCCTTACCGAAAAGCCATTTTAACAATGTTAAATGAATCTCAGTATATAACGAAATGATTAGTTTTTAAAAATCCCGATACAACGAACTATTTTTACAGGTTAAAGTATATTTTTCCTTCTTAAAATTTAATCTAAAGATAACAAGCACACAATTTAATAAAATTATTAAGTCATTAAATTGCCATTATGTTATATATTTTCATAAAGCTCACACATTAGTCATTTTTCGTATTTTACGATCGTTCTTTATTGTATATATTTACGTGAGGTTAGGTTAGGTTTGGCTGAAGTAGACAAAGAATTGAAGAAAGACGAGGTGGCAAAAAAGTATGGCATATTTCCATCAACATTGTCAATCATTTCGAAGAACCGAGAAAGCATCTTGAAACAACTACAGACTTCTGTTTTTGTCCCGAGCAGAAAAAGGATGCGTAAGGCACAATTTGAAGACTACCTTGATTATCTTGCAGATGACAACGTTTCAACATGTTATGAACTAACCAAAGTAGATATCACTCAATCCATTAAAGACAGTAAAGATGAGGCTACCGATGAAAGTAGTAAAGATGAAGAAGCTGTGATGCGAGATGATGTGCGCAATATCACTTCATCAGAAGCCTTATCAAGTTTGGAAGTTATGCGAACATTCATTTCATCACAAAGTGATGTACCGGACTTCATATTTACAAACATTACCAACTTCACAATTATTTACTTTCTATTAAAACAGCAAACCTTGTTAAAAAAAAAATTATCGATTATCTGTAATAAAGTTATTTTCGCAAATTATTTACATTTGAATTATTTATTTGTATTTGAATAACATAATGTTTTTAAATTTTTTTTATTTGAATTTTCGAAATTTCGTTACAACGAAATTTCTGTTATAACGGAAAAATAAATCGGTTCCTTGGAGTTCGTTGTAACGGGAACTTACTGTATATATTATAATATGTATGTATGTAACTAATTATTGTTATATCTAATATTTAATTAAATAAAAAAAAAAATTCAAACATTTAATTTGGTAAATGTAGCCTTGTCTCTTGGTATTTACAATATTATATGAATGAATAACACTTAAGAAATTATTAACAAATAGTCAAATAATGTAACATTTTTGATTCGAAAATCATTATTTCTTCTATTAGAGTTTAAATAGTTGGTTTTAAATAATAAGTTATAATGATTTTGCTTTAAATTACATCTTTACAAAGGAAGACATGCTTTAATGGATTAATAATTTGCCTACAAAGTGTTCAACATTTATTTTATGACACAGTTAAATTAGGAAAAAAGACTTTATTTTAACTTGCATCTCAAGACGATATCGAAATGATTTTTCAGCTATCTAATTAAAGAGAGGTTTTAACAACAACTTTCTACTGCTCATTTTGAGACTACCTATACAAAATTATTAATTCACACTGGTTTATCAATATACAAACTGCAATCCCCAAGATTCTACATATATTCTTAACATCTTAATTAATAATTGGTAATAGGTCTAGTACAAAGTGGTTGGTTCCAAATCCCAATGGTGTAGGGGGCAGGCATATATGACTGATATATAATAACGGTCTGACAGCATAATTTCAATACCATTATGTAGATGTAGTTTATCTATATCGTATTCAATACTTATATTTAAATTTGTAATATTTGATTATTAAAATTACGTTGTTTTTAAGGAAACAAAAATAAGCCTGATTTTTTAGGATAAATGGTCGCTTCGATTGCTCGATAAGTGAAAATATTTGACCAGAAGGTTCTTACCACAAATATTAAAAACTTGCAGTTCTGCAATGCGATGGTACATCCATAGATTACCATTGATTAAATTTATTTAATCAATATCAATGATATTACCTATATAAATACTATTTCACCCATGGTCTTGGAAGGTAAGGTCAAACCACTTCCTATCATCTCGACTATTACAATATTTCCGCTTAATGAGGAAGAAACGTTTCCCATGTTGCCATAAAAGCGCTACGGGATAGACTTATTTTGTGGTTAGGAACAGCTTGTCAAAATTATTCAAATTACTGAGATTGGATTTTATATTATAATATTATTGTTTTATTTATGTTATAATCGATAGTTCTAATAATTATGCAAACTTTATAATGTTGTCTACTATCTAATATACTTGTCTATTCTGTCTAGTGGAAAATATAAATCTATTTTATACATAGATATTTGATTTTTGATATGTATTATTTTAACTAAAGTAGTTAGGTGCATTTTGGAAATGCAGAATAAATATTGTTACTTTCATTGTAACAACTCCGAGAAACTTACCATTTTTAATGTTCTTAAAGATAAACATTTAGAGGAGAAATGGCCACAATCTTTAGGGATAGATCATTTTAATTGGTTATTTTAAGAGGTTATTTGTGAAAAATATTTTCAGGATGATCTGATTATAAGATCAAAGGATATTGTTGATAAATTAGAAATGCTATTTGCTCAGTAAATATATTTAACATGCAGGTGTGGATAGATCAATATAGAAAAAGACTAAAGAAGTCAAATTTAGTTGAAAACTTAAATGTAAAAATTAATAAAATGGCTGAAGAGGAAAATTGAGAATTTGATGAAATTGTTGAACACAATTATAAAAAGGCTGAAATAATAGATTGTTTAATATATTATTTAACTGTAATTTGGTAGATATTAATAAGATAGATCAATAATATTATTTGATAGTAAAATGGAATCATGTAATTGTAATTAATTTTTATATTGATAGATTAACTAAGATTAAAAAGTGAGTTTAAGAAAAGATGAAAGGGATCTACTCACGCTCATCTTCCAATTAACCTGATAATGACACCTACTCTAGAGAGTTAAACTACTGATATATATTTTAGTGGTATAATAATAAAACTTAAATAAGTAACTAAAAATTACCATATTTTATTATTGTTATTATGCTTTAATCAACATTATCATACATTGTTCTCCTAACTATAGGAGAACCTTTTTAAAATTATTTGTATGGATAAGAGCGATTTCTTTTCAACAAAAAAATTGGAAAATAATATCACACATAGAAAAATGGATGTTGATAACTTTAAAGCAGAGTGGTTAAAAATTCAATGGTTGAAATTTTCTTTTGAAATACCTTTAAAAATATTTTTCAAATATTAAAACAATGAAATCGTTTCTTTTAGTGAACTTAATTTAGCAAAACGAAATACTTCATTGATTGAAAATTTAGATTTCCTTTACCCTAATAGTAACTGTATAAATCCACTGAAAAAAAAACATCTGTTATATTTACTTGATTACTTGATTTTATAATACCCTTAAAACTAATGCTCTTGATGATAATAAACTACCATTAGTAGATACCTCTAGTAGTGATGATGAATAAAGGGAGTTCTTTTTTGTTTCTATTAAAATACCTAAGTTTTTTTATGTTGATAAAGTTTAAAAACATTTTCAATATTCATGCTTTTTCTTTTATCATTAAAAAATATACAACATTTTTATGATGTGATTCAGAGATTATGAATAAATGGACTAACCCACATTTGTAAAAAAAAAATATAATTTGAAAATGGACTAACCCACATTAAGTTAGGAATGGGGGTAATTTACAAAATAATTAATCAAATAATTAAAAGTACTCTTCTGATTAAAACTAATATGCTAAAAATAAAAATATGACATTGTTAGTTTTTGAAAAAATTATTCATAAAAATGACACTTTTTATTTTTGCATGTAATTCAATATAATAAATTAGGGATTAGTCCGTTTCTGCCCTCAAGGCCTCAATTACGCCTGAATGTTTTTTATATTTATGAGTATTTTCCCTTGTAGCATTAACTTATGCTGTTTTAAAGTGAATAAATGAGTAAATGATTTCTTTCAAACATTGCATTTTTTTGATTGTGAGTTTTTATATGATGTTTTAGAGGTTTTTTTTATTTGATTTTTCTATTTCTTCTTTAATGTTCTCTATGTATCTACAAATGTTATAACCACAATGTATAATAATTAACTTAAATTTGTAACTAAAAAAATGTAATTATCAGTAGTTAATATGATTAGAGATATTTATATAGTATTAAACAATTTTATAAGGCATCTTCTATGTATAATATAATACATTTTGCTTGTATAAAAATATAGTTTAACCTAAATTTAGATATTACTCCAAGGAATATCACAAAACATACCGAAATATTTATTGAAAAATGTTTATTTAATTTTTTGATTAATTTATACATTTTATTATGTTTATCTTGAAAATGATAAAACTGAAATCATATATTATCACTACTCTACTGATGAAAATACAATTGATTAAAATGTATTTTAATAAACTATTTAGTTATTATATATTAAATAAAATAAATATTTTTTATATATTTTGATGTAAGTTATGGAATATTTTAATTATTAATTATTGAAAGGTAAGAAAACATTTAAACAAAAATTGAAATATCCAATAAAATTATAAGTCATTACTCATTACTGTATAAATACATTAATATAGAAAACATACAGTAAAACAATAACAATTTTAAAATTCTGAATTTTGTATCCTAATTGTTAAAGACTATGTGATAGTTTTTAATAATATGTACCAGTTGTACCTATATAAGAATTAAGTAGATTAATAATGTATTTTATATTAATAATATATAATAATATGATTGTATTAAAACATTATTTGTTTTTATAATGTTGTGGTGTGGGACTCCTATAGGTATTTGCTACCTTTAGTCATTTTTACAACTCCTGACATTATATCCAAATCTACTGCATGACTGTAAGAATATTTTGGGTTATAGGAAAATGCTGAAAGTTTAGTAACACATGGTATGCAAGTTTCACTTTCTAAAATAAAGTATACAAATTAACAATGTAATATTTTAAACATTAATTTGAAAAAATGGAATAATATATTGTTAACTTGTTTGCCTGCAAATGACAAAAAAAATCATGTCTTAAGATAATGGGGACAGATGTAGCCACTCTTTTAGGTAATTTAATGTACATCTGTAAGTAAAGATTAACCATTTCTAAGGGAAAAACGATTCTAAGCAGAGTAGGTTGATAGTGTTGCTTTTTCAATAATATATATGTCATTTATAGTAAAATTATTAAATGGGCTTTATATATTTTCTTTTATAATATTTGTTTAATGTTATACCCATTTTCCCCTTTTCCCTATTTGCTCATGTTTTTCCTGGTATTTCACATTTGCCCTAGTCAATTTTTTTTTTACAAAAAGTGCTAGACAAGTTGTGCACAGGAAAAAATATTTAAAAATAAATTTTCCCATTTTTCTAAAGTTTTTTTCGGCTTTTCACATATGATGGGAAAACTCTTGAGATAATCTAAAATTGACTTGCTTAAAAAACCTTTCCAAACCGATTTTGTTTCAGAAAAGGTTACACTTAAAAATCAGAGCAATATTTCTGGAAGAAAAGTTGCGCACAGATAAAAAAAAAAATAAACATATTTGTAAAACCATAAGTTTAACATTTTCATAGTTACCTAAATATTACTTTACTAAATCTTACTCTGATTATTAAGTATATCACCTTTTCTGAAAGGAAATGTTCTCTGGGTGGTACTTTAGAATGGTCATTTTTTGAAGTTTGAACATAAACTCAATAATACTCAACTAAAAAATAAACTCATTAATTATATTTTATAATCACATTTAGAATAGATAAATACAAACAAGTTTAAAGGCCTGCTTTATTACCGGTATTATAACTAAATATATACTTATTACTAATGTATTCAGAGTGATCAATGTTTATTTTTTAATATTTCATTTGATAGTAGTACATAATGCGTAGATCTGATAGCACAATAACAATTTAATACATGCATACTGTATATTTAGCCACATTATTTGAAGTTATATAAAATTAAATACACTATTATCAAAGTCAATGTATTATTATATAATTATTAATATACTCGTATATTATATTATATTAATATATCTAGGAAATATAAACATATATTGAAATTATTGGATTAAAGAGTGGCTATTGTACGTTATTTTGATACCGTGATCGGAGCTCAATATACCCCGGATCCAGTCGCTCCATCGGTTTGAAAATGATACCTACTATCATAACACGTTGCCGAAATTTGAATTTATTGAACATTTGAAACTTTCGTTTCTCTGAATGGGTATCTGGGTTCACTTAGCTATTTCGTGGGTTCAAAGGGGGGTTCCCGTATGCTATTTTGATACCAGCCACTAGTGTTCGTGTTAACGATGGTAACAACAATCTCACAGTTACAGCTATTTATTGCCCACCTCAAGGTGATATAAACGAAATTAAATTCATAACGTTTTTCCAAAAACTAGGAGACCGATTCAATGTCGGTGGAAACTATAACGCTAAGCACTTTCACTGGAGATCAAGATTTATCACTCAGAAAGAACGTGCTTAATTAAAATTAAGTTTAGGTTAATTATGTTTAGGTAGTAGAATACTGGTAAACTATTTAAATATCATGCGCTGTGCCGTCATATTAATAATGTACCACTAATCTCCCTCCCTATCGTTGAAACTTAAAAGAGAAATATTTCATCAACGGTTTGATAGTTGACAATTAAATATGTCAACAGCAAAATGTATTTAAAATATTCCATCAATTTATTAAACTTTTAAGATAAGTTGTAATTTGAAAATCAAAAGGAGATAAAGTCTAAAGTAGTTAAAAGTAGTTTTAACTTCTAAAATAAGGGTGACAAAAAAAAAGAAAAAAGAATAGTAATGTAATATTATAGAGCTACTTATTTCTTAAATGTACATACAAAATTCTAGCTGCAGGACAATCAAAATTGAATAAAAACAGTTTTTATTAATAGATACACGCAAGAAAATATTGAAAATATTTAGATATATGCATCTAATTACTAACTGGCATTTATGTTTATATTCTAAAAAAGACGTCCTAGGATAATAGGGATGGGTGCAGCCACTGTTATAGATAATTTAATGTATACCTGTAAGCAATGATAAACCATTGCTTACGAAAAAACGATTCTGAGCGGAGTTCAGTTGATGTGATACTTCGTCAACAATATATATGTCATTTTATATTAAAATAATTAAATAGACTTTATATATTTGCTCTAATAATATTTGTTTAATGGTGTACCGATTTTCCAGGTTTTCCCATGTATTATTCGGGTTTGCTGGGATTACATTTGGGAAAATCAAAAAATGATCTCTCTCAAGTACCTCCCCTAGTTAAATTTCCTTTTAGAAAAATTGCTATCATTATAAGTTGGAGAAAAACTATTGGTAGAAAAGCTGTGCACAGAAAAAAGAAGGTTGTAATATATTTTAAATAATACCTACATTTCCTATATTTTCCAGTTTCTTTTTTCGCTTTTTCAAATTTGATGAGAAAATCGAAAAATTACCTCTGTAAAATACCTCTCTACACCGATTTCCTTTCAGGAAAGTTGCTACACTTAGAAATCCGAGCAAGTCTTTTGGTAGAACAGTTGTTTACATATAAAAAATAAATAAATAAATAATCTTTGTAAAACTATAAGCTTCTTCGCTCCAATCAAAATTTAAAATTCACTTTAAATTGAAAACAAATTTTTGGTGTATTAAAAAATATATACAATTATCTTTTTGTATTGAAATTTGTATTTTCATATAGGTGCATATATTTAAGTATGTGTTTAATATTATATGTTTCGTTTAAAGATGTAGTATTTTTGGTGAAAATTTGATGAATAATTTGGATACTTACGTATTTATATTATATATATTGTCCGTATGTAACACATTTATACTTGGTGTAAACTGCATGTTCTTGGTGTAATTTTATTTTATAATAAATGTATAAAACATATATATTTGGCGTATAATCTGAGTTTAAGTATAGTTCATGTTAGTATATTTTACGTTTACCTGTTTCATATATTTACTGGTACTACCTACTTTAAAATAATATAATAATGGAAAACCATCAAATAATTAAAATGTTTAGTGAACAAATTAAATATTCATACCTATATTGTATTACCTACTTAATGGATAGGTATAGGTAGGCAGTATTACTACACATTTTATTTTCAAAAATCATTATATTATATTATTATATAATGAATATATTCAGAGGTTGCCGTGTCCAAAATGTTAAAATAAATGTTATTTTAAATAGAACGAAAATAATAAAATAATTTAGCAAGGAATATATATGTATATTATAATAATATAATATATTATCATGAGCTAGTTTAAGTGCATGGTAGAGAATTTTTTTATCATTTGTTAGTGACGTTAGTGTGATTCGTGGAGAGAAAATGCATGATAATTATTATTTATTAGCGTAATACCCGTACACAACATCGATTCGGGACTTTCGAGTTTCGACTTGAACGTCTGAATCGTTTTTTATGTTGTAATCAATTTTTTTCTCAGCTGTTGCAGTTAATTGCGCGATCAGGCGCTTCGCTATCGGTCGGCGTACGTGATAGATAAAAATCATTGATAAGGTAGGGAAAAAATTAATTAAAAACAATAAAACGGACAGAATATTGTACCTACAACTAAAAGAAATCAAATGAGAGAGAGAAAAAAAAAGATAAAAATCAATATACAAATAGAAAAGACCACGGACACTGACAATTGCGCAACACGTTATCATTGCTATCCGTATTTGACCGTCACGTCGAAACGAAATATCGCCGCTACATGTACAATCTACATTCATCGTCTTCCTGATACTACATTTCCACAAAAATTACCCATTATTATACATTTTTACCTAATAATATCAAGATTGTAGTATTTCTTTTCGCAGATTAGGTACCACGTACATGTCAATGTCTATGTCAAAAATAAACAACAGGAGCCAACGGCTGGATTACTTCTACAATGTCGTTCACAGCATCATTTTGTGTCATCAGGTACATTTGAATTAATCCTAAGTGGATTGTAATAATATATAATATTTTGCAATATATTCTTATTATTACTCCTTAGTTTCTATTTCGTCTTCTAAAATATGTTTTATATTTACAAGCACTGCTTGAAATGGTTTTAGGACTGTAAACATAGACAACACTATTAAGATAGATAGGTTATCTACTTACCATAGGTACATTTAAAACCCAATTTGCAATAAAAAAATTAAGAAAAAGTAGGTCACAGATCATGGGTAGATAGCTGTTGTAAGTGGGAAATTGGGAAAATAAGATATTATAAAGGTAATGCAAGTAATTCAGTATTTATAATATACTGTATGCAATGATAAATAACTGCAAACAAAAAATATTTTAGTAGTTTGACTTAAAACTTTTTGATAAATTAAAATTGAACATTTTATTATAATTTTTAAAAACATAATAAATGATTGTTATTTGTGTTTTTATTATAAATATGAACTTAAAACACTTAGAACAAAAATGATTACATTACGCTCAATACTTTGTTTTATCAATAAGTTTAATTTTTGATTAACTTTGTATTTATTAAATCCTCGAGAATTTTTAAAAAAAAACAATTGTATTACATAAAAAAAATAAACAGCATTTAATTTTTAATCTGTATGTATAACTAATTTAATAAATTTAACTCTTTTATATAAGTGTTTAAGTCAGTAATATTGTGTATATAATATTGTAGAATCCAGTTACTGGTTTATTTCCAGCGGGTCCTAATAATTCACATGCTTGGATTAGAGACAATGTTTATACTGTATTGGCTGTCTGGGGTTTATCAATGGCATGCAACAAAATGGCAGATATGGATGAAGATCGAGCTAAAACTTATGAACTGGAACAAGTATATTATATAAACATTAATACCTTATAATATAAGTTTAAAGTAAAGTTTAATTTCGTTTAGTATTTTAATTTTAACTAAAATTGTTTTAAATAAAAATCATATTGGGTAAATATAATTTTAAAAGTTGCATAAATTATTATTTTTTGTTATTACAGAGTTGTGTAAAATTGATGCGTGGATTATTGATGGCCATGATGCAACAAAAAGATAAAGTTGAACAGTTTAAAATTTCTCAAAATCCACTCCATTCTTTACATGCAAAATATAGTTCAGAAACTGGACAAACTGTTGTTGGAGATAATGAATGGGGACATTTACAAATAGATGCTGTTTCGCTGTATTTGCTCATATTAGCACAGATGACGGCTTCAGGTAATTTCTAAGGACTTTATTTTGGATATTATGTATGTTATATTTTCTTATTATTCAGCTTCAGCTTTTAAATACCATTGAATCCTCCGCTACTCCATGTAAACTCCAGAAAAACTCTTCCCTGCTAAATTATTATGTTTATCATTTATGTATGATATGTATATTATTTGTATTTATTATATTTAAGGTCTTCAAATTGTTTTCAACTTGGATGAAGTTTCTTTTATTCAAAATTTAGTATTTTACATAGAATCTGCTTATTGTATACCTGTAGGTTTTATTTAATTTTATCAAAAATAATTTGAATTATTAATTTGCGTTTTTAATTAGGATTATGGTATTTGGGAAAGAGGTGATAAATCAAATCATGGGCTTCCTGAATTAAATGCAAGTAGTATTGGAATAGCAAAAGCAGCATTAGAAGCAATGAATGATTTAGATTTATTTGGGGCAAGAGGTGGCCCATCATCAGTTATACATATATTATCCGATGAAGCCCAAAAATGTCATGCTGTTTTACAAGTTAGTAAATACAATTTGGGTATATTTAAGTCTATTGTTAAAGTGTTATGATGAATTTTATATTTGTAGTCAATGTTACCAAGGGAATCAAATTCAAAGGAACTGGATAGCAGTCTGTTAGCAGTAATTAGTTTTCCAGCATTTTCAGTGGATGATCCTCAATTAATTCAATTGACAAGAAATGCTATTGTTTCAAATTTGAAAGGAAAATATGGCTGTAAACGATTTTTAAGAGATGGTCACAAAACTCCTTGTGAAGTAAGTTAAATTTACCCATAATTGTTTTTTTTTCCATACATATGTAATAATTATTGAAAAACATTTTTCAGGATTCAAACAGGCTTCACTATGATTTACATGAATTAAGAATTTTTGAAAAAATTGAATGTGAATGGCCATTATTTTATTGTTATTTAATACTGGATTATTGCTTTCAAAATGATATGGAAACTGTGAATTTCTATGTTAATGCATTAGAAAAGGTTAAAAAAAAAACCTAACATAAGTTTAATGTATGTAGTCAAGTTTATTATAATACATATTTAATGATCATAGATTATGATAACTTCTGAGGACAATATTAAATTAGTCCCTGAACTTTATGCAGTTGAAAATGAAAATATTAAAGCAGAGTTTGAAAATCCTGGCAGTCAAAAACGTATAGCATTGGGTAGATGCCCATTTTTGTGGGCGCAATCACTTTATATTCTTGGAAAACTGTTACAAGAAGTGAGAAATAAATAATTAATTTAATTAATTTAAATTATAATGTTTTAATAGAATTTTCTAGCTGTTGGTGAGTTAGATCCATTGAATAGACGTCTTTGTTTGGAAAAAAAACCAGATGTTGTTGTTCAAGTAGTTATTTTAGCAGAAGACAATGAAATTCGAGATTTACTCTTGCAACATGATATACAAATACAAACAATTAGTGAAGTTTCTCCTATAGAAGTTCAACCTTCAACTGTTTTAAGTCATTTATATACATATTTAGGTAAATTGTTACATACAATTTGGTTTTCAATTAATACATTGTAATATTTACAAGGGATTTTATTTGTTATTTGAAAACTGTTAATTGTTAAAATGTTGAATTTAATGAAAAAAATATTTTTATTATAATTTTCCTATTGATTGTAGGTCGTAATGAAAAACTTGGTTTATCTGGCCGAAAATCTCGGGATGTGGGAATTCTCAGTACCAGTAAACTTTATACATTACAAGATAAAATATTTGCTTTCACACCACAGGTTAGAAAATAAAATTTAAAAATTTTAACTATTCATATTCTAAGTTCTATTTCTCAATTTCATGGCGTGCATTTTTATTATTTCAACAATTATAAACATTTAATTTTATTAAAATTTTTAAGATTAAAAATATTATCAAACTACTAAGATTTAGTATAAAGATTTAGATTTATACATTAATAATAATTATTTCAATATATAGCTTACAGATCGCCATCGATATTTTATCGCATCTGACAATAATTTAATGATTGATTTATTTAAGAATGAATTAAACTTCTTAAAATCTAGTTGGCAAAATTTGCTAGGCAGACCAACAGTTGTTCTTGTTATTAAAAAACTGCATTATGGTATATATTGTTTTATAAATATTTTATTGTGTCAATTAATTGTAGATTAGCTACATGTTTTAATTTGTGTTTAAATACTTGTTCCTTAACAAAGTGTGATTTTAAGATAACATTTTTATAATGCAAAAACCATGCAATTGTTAATTGTGTATTGTTTTCTTTATTAGTTTTCATAATATACAAGTTGATTATTATACAACTGGCAGGAATAAAAATTATTATTTTTGTGAATAAATTGTTTATTGAAATCTAAATAAATAACTAATATAATATAATATTGTAATCATTTTTATATAGGTACATATATTTATATGAGGGTGGCCTCTATTTTTGAACTTTAAATTTTTTTGATTTCTCAAGCTTCCATAGTTTTCGGGTCCATAGGAAACTAATTTGAGTTAAATTTGATAATAAATACTCTCTCCCTTCATGTGCTCTGAGAAAATTTAAAATTGCCTAATAGGGTATTTTTTTTTTTTTTTGAATTTAATTCAAAACATTTCACTTAGCATAAAAATATATCAAATCTTAATTATAGATCTAACAACAAAAAAAAGCTAAAATTAAATTAAAAACACTAGATTATATTGGTGCAATATATTTTTAAATATTGGTATAGAATAATATTTAAAGAAATAATAATAACAATAAATAATTAATTTTTAAAATATAAAAAGTAGTTATGGTAAATATTACATTTAAATAATAATACTATTACTTGTATGTAATTAATATCTCTATTTTACGAGCACAATTTGTTTTTTAATCAATTAACATTTGTAACTAAAATTATTTTTGTTTTTGTCTTGTATCAATAATCTCTTGTATTAATTTTACACATCTTTGTGCAACATCATTTATACTAGAGAACTTTGCTAAAATACAAATTCCTTCTTCTTTTCTTTCATTTCAACTATCTGAGTGAAAATTTAAGTCAGCTGAAATTATAAATCTTAAAAAACTTGAATTTTTTTTAGTGGCATGAGTTCGTTAAGTTATTTTTTAAAAATTTGTTTTAATCCTCTTGTATGCATTCCATATTTTTTATTAAGTTTTTCATCATATGTTGATTTTATTTAAATGGGATATATCAAATATAATATATCAAATAAATCATTTAATTGTTCTCTAAATTCATTGATATTTTTTGTATGAGTTTCTGAAACATTTTTAGCTGATTATTGTAATTCTTTTACATATTGATATACATTTTCCAATTTTAGAATTCAATGCTGTTCATTCTGTACTGGGGTCTTTGCTTTTTGCTAAAAATAGTAGTATTTCTTTATAAACTTGACTTGCACTTATATAAAACAGTACATTCAAAGCTTTGCCAATAGCAAGTATCTTCTTACTGCCAGATATATATTATCTTGTACAATATTTGATGACATAAAGTCATTATTTATAATAAATATTGATTAACAAAGCAGTTCATTTACTTAAAAATAGGGAAAGTAATTATTAAAATAAATAAATGTTTATGAATATAAAAATATTTTGATTTGTTATAAACTACATAAGTAAAAATACTAAAAATACTGTAATAAATGATAATATAATAATATTGTTTAATCTAATAACTATAATGGATTTAATAATATTTTTTTAAAGTAGTTAATAACATAATACAATTAAATAATTTTTATATTATAGTTAACAGTTGTAGAATACCATATAAATTCTTCTATATTAATATAAAAAAAAGTACTGTAGACCTAATATATAATCTTGACTAATTAATTTAAAAGATATAGTACAATATCTGTTTATGTAGAACATTTTATTATAGCATCAATTGGTTGACAGATGTATTTAAGTAATCATGAAACACATTATTTTTAAAAACAATTAGTACTAGTAGAGTTAGTACTATTTTAGGTATTTTTATTAGAAAATAATGAACTTAGGAAAAATATTAGATGAATGTATGAAAGTACTTAGATCTATAGTTAACACTTTTTTTAAAAAAAATAAATTGTTTAGAAAATTATATAATTTATACAAATAATGGTGTAATAATGGATTTTTTTGAAACAGATTTTACTTAAAGTACTATATGTGTTTTGAATGAAATTCAAAAGATTTTAAAACTTCTCTGTTTGGACAATTTCAACTTTTTTGCAGCATGTGAAAGGAGTGAGTAGTTATCACCAAATTTAACACAAATTAATTTATTATAGTAATGAACAAGGTTTGGGACTTCTTGCATTTGCAGGTTTTTTTTGTAGCATAGATTATTCTAGGTAAGCTATACATTTGTTTTATGAAATCCCAAAATTAAATACAAAGTTTGAATTCGCATATTCTCACCTATTTTGTCATCTTTTAGTTAAATTTGGATAACATTTAAAAATATTTCTTTTAATAAATTATTTTGGGTAGGTATGTTGTAACTTTATAACTTAGTAATCAACCTTGTTATTGACAATATTTATCTATTTTTGAGATTTTAATTTCTATAGTTATTATATGTTTAATGCATCAAAAATAAAGTAAAACAGCTGTCCTTGGATAATGGGAATGGGTGCAGCCACTGTTCTCAGTTGGAAGTTAGGTAGGTAGAATACAGAAGGGAATTTAATGTATATCTGTAAGTAACTATAAACCATTGCTAATGAAAAACTATTCTGAATGCAGTTCAGTTGATAGTGATGCTTTGTTAACATTATGTATATCATATTATAGTAAAATAATTATATTTTGTTTAATAATATATGGTCAATATTGATCCAGTTTTCACCGTTTTTCATATTGTCTTGAACAAGTTTTGGGAAAATCAAAAAAATGACCTCAATAAAGTACTATCCCAAGAAAATTATTTTTTAGAAAAGGGTCTACATTGTATATATCCGAGTAAACTATCTGGTAAAAAAAGTGTTAACATAAAAAAAAGAAAAAGAAAAAATAAACATTTTTGTAAAATTAATACATTTTTTGCTCCATTTAGAATCTAAAATTTCCCCCATATTTTAAGTATACTTTGACCATTTTAACTGCATATTCTGATCATTTTTTGTGTAACAAGTTCTGAATCCTAGTAATGAATGATTTTGGAAGTGAGAGAAATAAACAATAACTAAATAATAAAAAAAAAACTGAGAGGGATTCTGATAAAAATTGTTTAGTAAATTAAAATTCAAAATTGTATTAATTTGTGACTTTAAAATAAATTATAATTGTTCATGTTTTAATAAATATTATCATAAATTTGAACTTAAATAGTTTATAAAAAGTGAATGCCATCAACTTTTTTTACCACTTATTAGTGGTAAAACTGTACTACTATAATACTATATTAATGATTAAATATTTCTTACTATGATGAATCTTACATTAAATTTTGAGTGTTTTTACTAAGCTAATAAAATTTAATTTATGCAAATTGAAAAAAGTATGCAAAATGATATGATGTTTATGATTTTTATCTAAATCTAACTTTTCTAACACTTAAAAAAAATATTTTGAATATGGATTTGTGATATTTTTGTGCTATTATATTTCAAAGTATAAAGCATTAAAAAGCAAAAAAATATGTATTTGCATAAAACCAACAAAAAAAAAAAAAAAAAACATTAAAGCATTCAGAAACTAACACATATCTTCCTTAATTTAAAATCTAATATAATTAAAATCCCTAAATATAATTTAAATATTATTAAAAGTTCAATATGTAATTTTAATAGTCAAAATAGTGTAATACTATTTTTCTTAAACTGAAAATTTTAATTTTTAAAGAATCTAGTTATTATTTAGAATATTTTAAGTTTTAGAGTACATAAATTTATTTAATTTGTATTTATTTACTACATACTTAAAATTTAGTCAATTATGAGTGCTACCATTAGGTGTTTTTTCATGTTTGCATTAGACTCTTGACTTGGATCAATACTATATGGGAAATGATATTGAATTATTAGCAAACAATATTATGATGGACTTAGCATTTTTGACAATGAGTTGGAGGTACATGTTAGGTCGTCCTACATACACCATAATTGCATCTTCTAGTTTTGTAGGTAAGGTAATTATAATATGTATAATATATGTTATCTATATATTATTTATTTAAATGTATCTAAATTATTTTAAATTATATTTAATATAAACATCATATCAAATACATACACCTAATCAGTCATATTAATGTCATTGTCACAGGGTTTATGTATCTTTTTTATAATTAAAATTTTGTGTGGAAATTCAGTGCATGGCTTTATCACTAATTAATTAATAACTACAGAATAAATACTAATTATTTAGTGATTTAACTAACTTATATTATTATTAATTGTGTTTATTTTTTAATACATAGATGTTGTTTAAATTGTTTTCAGACCAAGGTAAAATTCCATTGGCCATGATATCAACTATAAAAAAATTAAAGAGTGGATACATTAATGGAACTAGGTAAATATTATTTCTTGAAGATAAAGATATTTTTCGTGCTAAAATTAAAATATTTATTTTTACAGAGTAACATTAGGAAATCTAAATAATTTTCTAAGTACATCTTGTGTTACAAATCTTAGTTTTTTAGGAAGTCAAGAAATTGGAATGCCTTATAGTAAGTTTACTATTAAGTATATTTTTTTCTATTTATGAATTAATTGTATTTTTTAGAACTCAACTTTGAAGTGGAACAATATTTAAATCAACATACCATAAAAAGTTTTAGTAATCAGTCTACCTTGTTGACAAATATGCCAAGCAAACCTACTAAAATGAAACGAAAAATGTCTGTCAAAGGAGCCATAAAAAAAACAAGATCATTCATGCTTGATGGTAATAATTAATTACATATTCAACTATTATAAGACTATAATAGAACTTCAAATAAACCTAAAAAAACATTTAAGATCTCAAAAGAAAACACCAAAAAAACCTAAAAATAATTTTATATTTAATTAGTTACCATTTTTTTAAACAGCTGAAGAACGCCGTATTCAATTAGGCGAAATACAAGCTGCTACACATTTATTGGAACAACAATCTTCATCTACTGAAAATAAATTAACTGTGGACATTAAAAGAGATCCTCATACCAGGTCACGCCTTCATAGTCTATTGAATAATAATAGGTAACAATAGTGATTTATTCAATATAACAGTTTGAGAAAACATATTATTTAGAACATGTTTACAAATTATAGATATCATCATTATTTATACTAAGTTTGGTATAAATATATGTTTTTCTATATTTTAAAAATCATGTCTGACTATTGGTTGTTATGTCTAGAGCATACTGAATTTGTGTGTAGAACAATCTTTTAAATTAATTTTGATTAAAAATAATTAATTTTATATATTAGTTTTACTATGATGTTTATTTTTTATACTGTGTACAAACATTCTACCAGAAATCTTGCTCCTATTTATTGAATGTGGCATTATAATTACATTGAACTTGATATTAGTACTTTTTACTCACACTTTGCAGGGTAACAATACAAATAGTATTTAGCATTAGAAAGTGCAAGTGAATAGATATATATTTTATTTACTAAGGGCAAATAACTTTTCCCTCCATGACTATTTTACTTACATTTGTAACCATCAGTGTCAGTGTTTAGTGAGAATTATCAATAAAATAGGAGCACATATTTTTGTTGATCTTAGGATTTGTCTATTTACATTTGTGCTTGCTTTTTATATTTATGAAAAGTTTAAAATGACTGAAATATGGAATTAAGAAACTAATTTGTGCAAATAGAACTCATGGATGTCTGTAGGATGTAAATGTAATTTATATACTTTCAAAATTACTTAAAAAATAAAGAAAAATTAAGGTTTTGATATTTTTCATACGGAAATCATAAATAAATGTGATAACAGAACACTTTTAGTCCACTTTTATATCTACTTTCCACCTATTTTGTTGTATTCATTACTAACCTGGTAAAAATCAAAAAATTATATGGGAAAATAAATATTAAAAATTGGCACGGGCACTGGTAATAAAGCAGCTAGTATCTTATAAAATTAATAGCTACATAACTTTATAGGGGGAGTACAGAATTATTATATGCTGAGGCTGAATTTGATGGAATTTTATCAATGTTAAGCGAATCTGATTTATTAGAAGAAAAAGGAGATATTCTGCAATATTTAGTAGATACCTTTGGCTTAGAATATGATACAGGTAAGTACAGAAAAAAACATTTTATTTACTTATAGTTATCAATAAGCTTTGCCCCTTTGCTATTCCTATACCATATATTTATAAACATATTGCAATAGTTAAACATTTTATCTCTACACCGGAGCTACCAGTTCTTTTATTTAAAAAATAAATCTTTAAATAAATAATTATTTATATTTTACTTTAATAATACATTAATAAAGTTTAAAAATACATTTTTCCAAGTCAAATTAGTATGTTTTATGCAAAATAAAGTATAACAATACTTAAAATTTATACTAAAAATAAAAAAAAAATTGTGATAACACAACTTCTAGGAGGTTAAATATAATTTAAATTAGTTAAATTGATTAATATTGATATATTATTATTTTAATCATTTGATTATAGGATTACTTGAAGACAGCAAACCAGTTTTAGTAAAAGATTTATTAAAATTATTATATGAAAAAGCATGCCAACAAAATCGTTGGGGTTTGGTCAGACATACTGCTGGAATGTTAGGAAAACGTGTGGAAGATTTAGCTAAAGCATTAACAGATTTATTAGTGCGACAAAAACAAGTAAATATTTTCAATACATTTTTATTATATAAATAAAGGATCTCTATTGCTGGGTTTAGTGATTTAAGTTATGTAATTTATAGTAGAATCTACTTTTAAATTTTTCCTTTTTCATTTTTGAACTGTTTACATTAAAGGTAACTATAGGGATGCCTCCCTATAATGAACATACAATTTCAACACCTTTACCAGAAGGTGAATTAAGACAAGTTATTCATGATGCCTATGGAGATGATGAGAGTACTGCAATGTTGACACAGGTAAGAATTGGTATAAAAAAAAGAGCTGATACTGCTGATCGGCATGCCACTTTTATTTTTATAAGTATATTTATTAATTGTCAAAAATATTCAAACACTATTTATCAATAATTATGAGACAATTTGGCATGAAGATGCTTGCAGTTGATGGCTCCTGACTGGTCTGAAAAAGTATTGTCCATGGCTGGCACTCATATTTGTTTATGTATTATATCATATTCATATTATAGTTGCATTATATAATTGCATAATTATTATCCTATTTATTATTTTTTCTTTTTGACTTTTTTCATTTTCCCATAGCCCTTCATTTTTTTTTTTGATATTGTATCTATTTCTTATTTTTTCTTCAGTTCTATGTTTTTTCCAGGTTTTCCTATTTATTTAAAAAAGTCTGACATACTTTGTACATGAGTAGTTGTAGATGTTGTAGATGAGAAGTTGGAAAGGTAGTAGAGGGAAAATTGAATGTACATATATCTGTAAAGATTGCTAACCATTGTTAATAAAAAACTATACTTAGCTTAGTTTGATTAACAGGGTTGCTTTGTCAACAATATATATACCTCACATTATGGTAAAATAATTACATATGCATTGTATATTTTCTTTAATAATATTTGTTTAATATTGTATCTATTATCCCATTTTTCCCTGTTTTTCCCATTTATTGGTAAAACTAATGGGAAAACAGAAAAAACGTGCTAAAATACCTTCCTAGTCCCATTTCCTTTCAGAAAAATTGCTATCATTGTAAATTACAGCAAAAAAATTAAGTATTACTGCATTATAAAATCAATATATTTCTCTCTCCACTCAGAATCTAAAAAACAAATAAAATTATAATATGTTTTTTACAATAGATATATAAATAAAAATAAACTAGTAAATTAAAATTATATAAGTGTATTTATAAATATGAATATATTAAATTATGTGACTTAGAAATTGGAAAACAATGTTGTACTAAAAATATAAAATTATTGTTACAACATATGGATGTATAAAGATTTTAGATTCTGAGAATGTATTGGTTTCACTAAGATGCTTAATTTTTTTAATTTTTTTTATACTGTGTACAAAAATTCCACCAGAAATCTTGCTTAGATATATAAGCTCAGCACCATTTCTGAATGGGAATGTTGTCCAAATGGTACTTTTGGAAGGTAATTTTCCAAGTGATTTTCATAATATCTGGGAAGAATCAGAATAAAATGTGGAAATCGAGAAATTTACAAAAATAATGCCTTTATTATTTTTCAATTTTGTTATTTGTTGTAACTCAGTTAAAAATATTCGTATAAACTTAAAATTTAAAAGAACTCATATATGACTTTTTTATACATGGTCAAATTTTCAAAAAATTTAAACCATTTTTGAGATATATTTAGATATTTTAATTTTGAGAGTTTTGTATGTAATATTTATTCAGTAGGTACTCTGTGGTAAAATTGTTAGACTTAAACAGACATTTTTCAAAATTTAACTGGAGGTTCATTAAGAGTTTTACTTTGTGGTAAAAAAAAAAATTGAGTTTAATGTAAAATTTTTTATAAGGGAAATTTAATATTAAATTTTGATGAAAAAATTATGTTGTGGAACAAATCTAATTTTTTATTTTTTTTTTTTTTGAACATTTGTATATTGCCTATTTAAGAATGGTGGTGAAGTCAGAATTAAGGGGAATGACTAAGTTTCGAGACTATACCTTTTTGAAGTTCTAACATTACGCAGATATTATATGTTATGTTAAATAACTCTATATTATTTATCTTAAAGCATATTTGTAGTGATCCAATGGTTATTTATGTTTATTATCACCCTAGAAGTTTAAACCAGTCTGTTGAAAAAAAATATTTTTCATATTTTTCCCTTTACCAAATAAGGAAAAAATAAATGTATTTTGGATGTACCTATAGAGATGTATCCAAGTCATCACTCCCTCGGGCTATTTTAATTACAAATTACCCCTCGATTTGTTGTGCAAACTTTTTTACCAGAGATCTTGTTCTGATGTGTCAAGTGTAGCTTATTTTCTGAAAGGACATTTTATCTCCATGGTAATTTACAGAAGTCATTTATCGATTTTTCAAGTAGTTTTCATAATATCCGGGATAAAATGTTTGAAATGTAGGTATTAGTATAAAAGTATTATGGCTATTTTTTCTGGAAACAACTTTTCTATTAGCTATTTCGCTCCCATTTAAAATGATAGCACTTTTTCTGATTGGAAATCTGACTGGCAAGATACTTTAGGAATGTAATTTTTCGATTTTACCAATAAATGGAAAATCAGGAAAAAACTTGGGAAAATCGGTACAATTTTAAACAATTATTATTAAAGAAAATATATAATGCCTGTTTAATTATTTGACCACAATATTACTATCAACTGAACTCCGCACAGAATTGTTTTTTCATCAGCAATGGTTTATTGTGGTCAAATAATTAAATAGGTATTATATATTTTCTTTAATAATAATTTAATGTATATCTGACATTAAATTACCTATAACAGTGACTGCACCTGTCTCCATTATTCTAGGATGTCTTTTTTATTTCATAAACTTTATTGTTGTTAATTAATTTTCTTTTATATTTTTTTTTAATAATTATTATTTTTTTTCCCTCTTCTATTCATTGTCAATATATTTTTATTGATCCCTATGTTATATACAATCTTTTTCATTTGTATAACTTGTGGCCCTTAGTTATAAGTTTTTATATGTAATACTGCATTTCTTGTAATTGGATCTAGTTCTATAATAAATAAATAAATATAGTAGGGATTCTCTGGGAAGGATCAAAATGCAATAAAATAAAAGTGCCCTCCAATGCATTTAATAATTTAAAAAAATATATATTAACTACATCATTGTACTTCATATAGGAACTAATAGTATATCTGGCTATGTTTGTGAGAACTGAACCACAATTGTTCTTAGAAATGTTAAGACTACGAGTAGGTTTAATTATTCAAGTCATGGCTGGCGAATTATCTAGAACATTAAATTGTACTGGAGAAGAAGGATCAGAACATTTATTCAACTTATCTCCATTTGAGATGAAAAATCTATTACATCATATTATGAGTGGAAAAGAATTTATCTTAACTAGTTGTAAGTTTAACTAAATTATATATTTAATAAGCACCATTAAAAAACTTCATTATTATTTTTATCTAGTTGGACGTGGTAATTTCTCTGTAATTAGCTACAAATCAAGTCATGTCAGTAAGGTAATACAATTTTAATTTTTTTATTGACAGTTAATCACTGAGTCATAAACTTTTATTTTCTAGAAAAGTCAAATTGAAGGACTATTATATGGTGATAATGTGGAAACAAACAATGGTGTATTAGAAAGTTACAAACAAGGACAGTGGCTACGCAGGAGACGTTTAGATGGAGCTTTAAACAGAGTTCCCAGAGAATTTTATAAATCTGTTTGGATTATTTTAGAGAAGGTAAAATTACATTAAATGGGTATAAAAATGTTTGGGTTTTAATTTAACTCAGAACGAAGTATACATTTTTTAGAGATAAAATTTTTTTTTTAGTGTGCTGGTATAGCAATTGATGGAAAACTCCTACCAAGAAATTTGACACAAGAAGTATGTATTCATAATTTTCATATTCTTTGAATAAAATAGTTCATTTTTTAAAAAAATTATAAATTATATGTGTACATTTAACATAACATACTTTATTGTTAGATGACTTCTGGAGAATTGAAATTTGCATTAGCTGTAGAAACAGTACTTAATTGGATCCCTCATCCAGAATATAGACAATTGATTGTTGAGACATTAATGATCTTTACACTCTATGCAGAACAAAAAATTTCATCAGGTCCAAACAAAATTATTACAATTGAAGATTTTGTACACAAAGCAAATGAATTATTTTTACAAGATCAAGTACTGATAAAATCAATTAAAAATATTATTTATTTTAATAATTTTGTTTTATTCACTTGATAGATATCTGTTAATGGAGATGCAACTTTATGTTGTGCAAAAACACATAAAGAAATGACTGAAGCTGGAACTCTGCTTTGTGGTGGGGCTGCATACATATGTCAACACTTTTATGATAGTGCACCAAGTGGGAGTTATGGAACCATGTCATATATAATTAGAGCAATTGCCTTTGTTTTAGAAGACTCATTGGGCCTAATTGATGTTGATTGTTCAATCTCTTAAGTCTTAATTTCATTTTATTGTTTGAAGTGTTTTATTGTTCATAGTCATAGATTATTGAACCTGTAGTAATACTTATAGTGTTTAGTTAATTATACATGTTATAATTGTTAGAGTAATTTTTTTTTTTGATATTATAACATTTTGCATTTCATTTAATTTACTATTTTATGTCAAATTTTACATTAGAACTATAAAATAATGGTGCCAAATATATAATTATATCATTGAAAACAGTGAAAGCAATTTATTTTACCAAAATATTGTTTAATGGTTTTTAGTGACAATTTTTTTTTGATAAAGTAATTTTTGTTTTATTTATTGTACTGAAATAAAATTATAAATAAATTAAATATATAAAATATAAATATATTTATTTTTTTTATGCCCTGAGGCTTTATTATTTAACTGACCCAGTGGTGTTAATAAATCTGTACTTCAGAACTAGACTGTAAGTCATTATATTTTAGCAAAGAAACTAAAAAAGAGGGGCATGTTTCATACCATATATCAGGACTTACACTTATATAACCTTGGTAAAATTATGGAAGGAGGATACTATGCACATTGATGTTGGAGTCACATTGATTCCAACAAATTGGCTCCCCTTAAATAATCTGCCTTTAATCTAGAAATTAAATTCTTAAACTAAGTAATGTGATTTCAAACATTAAAGATGTCTAATACCCTTGAAATTGTACTTTGTGGATAACATTGTTATACCAAACAGAAATACTTGAAAATTGAACAGGATCTGCATTGTAACATGTACTTTTAGTTTCTGAGTGGAATGAAAAAGCTTATGGTTTTACAAAGATGTTTATTTTTTTTATTTGTTAACAACTTTTCTATTACTTTTCTTTTTTTTCTGTTCACAAATTTTTTTGTAATTTTTTGATTGAAGTAATATTTCTGGTAGACAACTTATGTATAACACAATGAAAACAATGAAAACAGTAATGTCCTAAATATTTGCTGTTTAACCTATAATTTTCTATTGGGTTTTTTCAGTTATTTCAAAAACCTTTTGAAATATGAAAACGACCTGCTCAATATACCAACTAGAAAAAATTACCTTTCAGGAAATGTGCTATAGTCTATAATTCGAAACAAGTTTTCTGGTAAAAAAAGTTGTTCACAGACAGAAAAGAAAAATAATACAAAAACACATGTCATAGTAAAACCAATAGATCCCTCAGCCCTATCTAAAATACCTAACATCTTTTAGAAGTAAACATAATATTGCATTATAATAATATACATAGTTGTAGTATCTATAGCATTGAAATATATTACCTATATTATTTGGTTATTTATTTTTTTTTACAAAGAATATTTTCTATAATACACAATACAGTTTGGGGAAAATTTGTCTCTAGTAACAAAGCTGTTCACGGATTATTTTTTTTTAAGTTACAATTTATGTTTTAAAAATTTAAATGCTTTTTCTAATGGTTTTTTTAGTGCATTAAAATCATAACCTTAGTAATTACATTTTATTGTTTATGTATAAGTATTAGGTATTATAAAGTTTTCAATGTTATTTTATTTCAACATAGATTACACATTTTGATAATACCATTTGATGGGCTTGGGCGGGTTAATAATAGAATTGTGTTATGAAGAGTGCCATTAAAACCGAATGGATATTTTCCCTATCGTCCCTAAAAGATGAATAAAATCGGTCACCCAGCCACTGTATAACTATTAATCAGTAATTTAAAGTTTAAATAATCAAATATTTAAGTTCTCCCGTTCAAACTGCTATAATACCTATGTGTTTATTTAATTAGGTTGGTCCCTATTTAATAAATAATATTTGACATTTCAAAAATAATTTAAAGCCGAAGATAAACCGCAATTAGATATTGAAATACCGGCAAGTAATGAGATAAGTAGTAGTTTTTTCAGCGGAATCGATATCGATATAGGCACCTCTCAAATGCGATTTTATTTATCTAACTTTTATAATAGGACATCACTAATTAATAATCATTGTATAATTATATTATTATTCATAATTGCCCCGGCGGATTTTGGTATCTACGTTTTGTTTTATTGAGTTTCGTCGGACGCGTTCAATTATATTGGTATCTATTGTACAGAGTGATTTTTAAGCATGTTCACTATATGTTTATATATTATTTATAAATGATGGATTTATTAAAATTTTGTTTTTTTAGAAATGTTAAATATATATCACTCGTACGATCGAGTAGGTACCTACTACATAATATAAATTAGACTATAAACTTACATATTTTCCAATAATGCTTGAACTTTTAAATTTCACACAATTTCAGGAGTCCGTCTTGTGTCGTCTACTGGAAATTTACCTATATACTTTGTTTTTAAATGACAATAACAAGGCAATTCAATGTTATTGTTCGCCAAATTTGTCTGAAATATACTTATCAAAATGCTAACGAACAGTAATTAATTAACAATCGTACCTTTATCAGTCTTGGAATTTTATTAACTATTTCGCTTCCATTTACAACCTGTACGGGCCAAGATTAAGGGGGACTGAAGAGGGCACGTTCTCGGGGCCCACGAAATGCAGGAATCCACAAAGACCATAATATGAGTTAAATCAAGTAGTTGAGAAATCATAACTTTTTGTTTATTTGTATGGGCTCCCACAACCGTTAATTCCGGCCTGAACCTGTACATAATTTTAATTTCCTATGCTTAACCCTCTCCTCTCCCCCGTTGAAAATTCTTGGGTACGCCACTGTACATTAATTCGAATGAATGTGTTAATTAAGCATAGGTACCTATGTACAGAAATGGGATGAATACACGTGCTTAATAAATCGCCCTGTATATACGTATTTAAGCGTAAAGTTAGTCGGCCGGGGACTGCAGATTATCACAATATAGGTAGGTCAGTACGCGTACAGCAGTTTGAGTCGCGCAATCGGACAGTTTTCGGTTCTAAATATCCTCAGTCCATCCACGCCGTTAATTTAAAAAAAAAAAAAAATTTTCTATAACCAAATTTTTAATACCGTACGCACGCCATCATAATGTCCGTCAAAAATCAGATCTTAACACATAGACACAAATCCGATTCGCCATCCACGACTACAACTACTGCAGGTACCAAAATCTATTAAATATTAAAATCTTATACATGGATAATGTAAAATCAAGTATATGAGTACAATTTAGTTAGGTAACTACTTACCTATTTATTAATTATATACTTGTGCAAAGGCGATAGGCACCTGTAGGTACCTATATATGGCTGCATATAAATATATTGGCCTGTAGGCTCCAAAATGTTAACCCGAATGATGATCGCTCGGTATTTTTTTAAATTATATTTTATAATAATTTAAAGGAAAATCTGTATTTTTTTCCGTAGGTAAACGTGGTATACGTAAGTGTACTACAACATATATTTTTCTGTTTTCATTTGAACAACACACGATATGATACCCATGTTTTCGTCCCAATGTCGATCGTTGACGGTCCACATTTTTTGTTCATTTGATTTTTCATCATTGTCAAACACACGTGAAACATATAAATTTATTACACGTTTTTCCATTCTAACGTACCGATTGATCTAGTGAAGCGATATGTATAATTTCTGGAAATACATTTGAGTTTTCTGTCAAGTCTGTGACTTGAGATCGACTTTCCCACGTTTTTATTTTATTCATTGAAATTCCCCGAAAAATATCAGCGGGTAATTCAAAAATTGAATATTTAAATTTTTGGAGAAAAAAAAATCACAAAACTGGTAAAGAGTCGACCTGAAGTGGACTTGACGACGACGAATTCAAATTATCTGTTTCCAAAATTTTTACCGCATCGCCAGACCGATCGGCACGTTGATATGAAAACACGTATAATTTCCTATAGGTATGTTGCGCTTGTGTTATTGTCAAACAAATCACGCGTGTCTTTGTCAGACGGAAATTCGCCGTTTCTAATCACTTCTTTTTCCCTTTTAATTTCTTTCCATAACCGTTCTATTTTAAGTGTTAAATAAGTAGGCATATATATCGGTATTCGGTGTACGCTTAGCTGCCTGGGAAGTGTTAAATCCAGGTATATATCGGGGAGGTGGGGCAATAGCCCCTTGTAATTTTGTTTGTTCCCCCTTCTTTGTTAAATGTTGATAAATTAATAATTAAACAAATTTGACAGGTCTTAGTAAGGGAATTGATAAAAATAGTAGAAAAAAATAAAAATTGTCTGGATTCAATACTGCGCCTAGGTAGGCATTCAAATATACAATATATTATTATAGTAGCGGGGACAGTTTTATAATGTATCAAAAAAGCATCTACATAATAATCTCGTGATTTCCAATAATATTATGCAATATTTTGTTGTTTTCAATATTATTTATACAAAGTTCACTTTGTACGCGATTTTATCGTTTAAAAATAATAATTATTAAATATTATTAATATTATACCGTGTAAAAACCGTTGTGCCCCGACATTATAATAATAATTATATATTATAATATGCGGCCAAGGTTGAAAAAAAATTATATTTAGTTATTTAGATATTTATGAAGCCTATTATACACAATGAAAACGAAGAACAAACTTCTACATAATATGATTCGGTTTTCGTATAAATGTGTGAGAAAACCTTTTTTTTTTTTGGTATCTATTTACCAAAAATTACACCGAGTACCCGTACTGAAATTAAATTTGTGTTGCTATTTATAGATAGTTAATAATGTTAGTATATTTTATTAATTGTACAACTACAATTTTTCTTAATATATTTGAAATATTATTATTCAAAATGTTTTTAGATTCAATGAATCTAAATATTTTTTTAGATTTAGTGTAGCGAAGAATGTATTTGTTTTACAAAGAGGTTTATTTTTTTTTTTCTACTAGAAAGCTTATTCCGATTATCAAGTATAGCACTTTTTCTGAATGGAAATGTTCTCTGGGTGGAAAAGATCATTTTTTGAAATCCTCATTAATAATCGAGATAATGAGGAAAATATGATTCTTTAGGTTAAAAAGGATTGAAAGATTAAAAATAAGGTTTTTGTTGGCAACAGTTTTTATTTATTTTTTGTTATTATCAAGTTTTTATTATTTCAATTTTTTTAAATAATTATTGTTGCCCTGGAAACGCACATAGTTGAATAAGCAATACTATAGACCGAGCTGTATTAAAACAAATTTCGATTTCAATACATTATTTTAACTATTAATCTTTATATTATAATTCTTTATTCTATACTTAAGCATCACTATCAACTAAACTCCGTTTAAAATCGTTTTCAGTAAGCAATGGTTTATATCCTCTATAATCTATTTCCTACCTTCTCAACTTCTCACCAACAACAGTAGCTGCACCCATCGTACGAAGTATGTCCGTCTTTTTTTCTTTTGACTAGCGGGTAAGTTGACAAAATTAAATGTTATGAGGAACCTAATAGTGACAGAATTTTGGCGTACTGTCAAGGATTACAAAAATCACTCAGGAAGCAAAGACCTGAGAGAGCTTTGCCCGCACGCCGCTAACATTATAAAAAAAAAATAAATTCAATCATAATATCATATTATTATTAATATAAAATACATTATAAATCTTTAAATGAATTACAACAAAGAACAAAATTGAAAATAAAATAAGCATTATTTTCGTAAATTGTCTTGTTTTTCTTACGTTTTACCTTGGGTTTTCTTGATATTGTGAAAACTGCTTGGAAAATCAAAAAATAAATCTTAATGTACCATCTAGTCAATATGACAATATTTTCTTTAAAAAAAAAGTGCTACACTTACATATTGAAACAAGATTTCTGGTAGACATTTTTTTCATAGTATAAAAAAAATTGTAAATTCAATCGGTACATTCTTTGCTACACTCAGAATCTAAAATTAAAATTAAAATTATCGTTTTCAATTTTGATTCTAAAAGGTATATATTTTTATTATATCTTTGCAAATCGATTGTTCTCATCAATTAGTTTTTCATAATTCTATCTCACACTTGAGAGAAAATTTTAAATTTATAAATGGGAAGTGTTTCATTATTGTTTCATTCAAAGTATTTCCAAGATCCAGGATTCATCTTTATGGCATTTAGAACCAGTTACTTTTGTACTTATTTGTACTTAAGAATTATGGATATTTTGTATAACAAAAAAGAACATCACACGGCATTTAGAGGGGGGGTCGCTCCCCTCGCCCCCCTAAGGGACGTGCCTGTACACCATAGAATATAGATAAAATCACGATAGTTCTATTTCTTATCAAAGATATAACTGAAAAATATTAAATTTAACAAAATTATTATCTATTTAAAACGTTGCATTTTAAAAACTAAATACTATTTTGAACGGTAGATAAACTATTTTTATTTAACTTAAAGAATTATACGCAGCGTACCTTCGTTAGTCGCCTCCCGTGGTCAAAAAGGTCGATAATTTTAATACGAATTGCCTCCCGGATACATACCAGTCGCCTCCTTGCGTACCCTAAACTTTATCGTAAACGAAAAGAATCTACTGCTAGTCACCTCCCAATATTCAGGTAAAAAATGTATAAGCGGTTCATAAACGATACAAAAATGTTCGTACAGCATACATCAATATATAAATCTGTTTAAATAGTTTATCATGTAGTAATATTATGTTAGTTGTTATTTAAAATTAATTGATAACCTATCAGCCAGCATTGGATTTTGGGTTTATACATTCAAAATCGAAATTTATGACATTTGTGCATTGATATGATTGTACGACTAATATTCATAATTACCCTCTTGTGTAATGATAACTGTTGTTGGGTAGCTGAGTTTTAATACATGTCGTACGATTGTATTTTTACAAATAATTATTAAGTGATTTTAAATTTTCTAATAATAATATAATTGGTCAATAAAAAAACATGTACATGAACAGACAACAGTACTTGTTCAGATAATGACTATTATGGTTCAACTTATTTTTGTTCAATATGATTTGATCACTTTCAAACAAAATTAGGTGAACTATTGCGGTAGGTATGTATCATTAATGTCAATTTGTTTGTTCCTGTAGACCACAGAACCCTGCAGCTGTTAATACAACCAACAGAGTCTGAAAAAAGATTATTGGCGAAAATTTTGGATAATGAATTCACTTGCTCGATTTGTTTGGAATTACTGAAAAAGGTTTGCAATTATTATATATGAGATTATATTATTTTATAGGTACCATACCATATCAATTATTTTAATTTTTGACTGTTTAAAACGTTTTAAAAATTGTTGTATAAGACATATTAAACACTAGGAATTGTTTAAAACACTTCGCAACCCTGATGGCTGATTTTAGTATAAATATGCGTTATTTACCTACGCTTTGATCAATTATTACTTTATTTTTAAGTGGCCAAGTATAAGCAAATTGTATTATTATCATTCGTATTTGAGTCCAGAGACGTTCTTAAAAAGAAATCATAGGAGGTGTAGTCATTAAATTTGCCGACTAGAATTTAAAATGTTTAATTTTTGTTAATAATAATAGTAACTAATTGTTATAAAACCATATATAAAATTTAAAAAATATTACAATAATTGTGTTAATGTTTAGATTCAGAGCGAACGAGGAATGTATTGGTTTTACAATGATGTTTATCATTATTATTTTTTTTTTTACAGTGTATACAATTTCTATCAGAAAACTTGCTTCAATTATATAGCACCTTTTCTAACAGGAAATTTTATCTAGTTTGTATTTTATAGAGGTCATTTTTTGATTTTCCGAGCATTTTTTATAATAATTGGAAATACCTGAAAATTTACGAAAATAATGCTTTTATTATTTTAGATACTGATTGGAGCAAACAAGCTTATAGTTTCACAAAGATGTTCATTTTCTTTTTATCTTTTCTACCTGAAAACTTTCTCAGATTTTTAAGTGTAGCACCTTTTCCGTGGGGAGGTACTTTAAAGAAGTCATTTTTCGATTTTCTCAAGAGTTTTCCTAGCAAATGTGAAAAACCGGGATAAAAGATGGAAAAACCGGGAAAACCGGGAAAAACGTAAAAAACTGGGGAAACTCGGTACAACATTAAATAAATATTATTAAAGAAATATATAAGCCTATTTAATTATTTTACTATAATATGATATTTTCCGATTAGAATTATTATTGATACTATGAAACGGAACGTCGCTAAAAATGTAAAATAAGAGATAAGTGCCTAGTTATGTTTAGTTACCATGTACAGTTGTACCGACTACCGCTAAGCTGCCTCAACACAGTACATAGCCGCCCAGAAATATCAAGTTAAAATATGTTTGAATATTAATTATATTTTAGTCAAACAAATTTACCAAGTGACGATTTCCGACTGAAATTCTAATTTTGTTGAATGTGGGAGGTGGTGTGACGCACCCCTTCATGACCCACCATCGGTTAATCCTTGTATATGACACAGACACAGTTTTCCTTCTTCTCCTTTGCCTTCATTCCAACTATTTGGGGTCGGCTACCCTCGTTCTAAACTTCCACTTGATCTGATCTTCCACCTTGAACATACCAGTTTTCCTCATATCAGGGGCGCTATGTATGGGGAACTCGAAGGCTGTGCCCCCCCCCCCTCATGAAATTGATAAACTAAGACAATAAAGAATATATGGCAAGATTCTGGTATAAGTGGTATAACTGTATATGAGTATATAAAATAGTGAGCCCCCCATGATATTTTCAAAACCCCCGCATATGACACAGTCGATATAATATTATTATATTGCTAGTTGACCCGGTAATGCTTTGCTATTAGATACTAGATAATATAGTGTAAATAATAGCTATGATAATTATAATAGTTTTCTTGTCCGTAAAAATCAAATTATAATTGATCACCAAAGTAGCCCTTGAATAAACAAAAATAAATATATAAACAATATAAAAAAAGCTGTCCTAGGATAATACAGCCACTGTAATTGGTGAGAAGTTGGGAAATTAGCTGACGGGAAACTGAATGTATATCTGTACACAGTGATTAACCATTTGCTAACGAAAAAACGATTCTGAACGAAATTCGGTTGATAGTGTTGCTTTGTCAACAATATACATGCCATATTATCGTAAATAATTACATAGGCATTATATATTTTATTCAATAATATTTGTTTAATATTATACCTATTTTCCCGTTTTTCCACAGTTTTTCCCATTTATTGGGAAAATGCCTAGGTAAATCAAAAAATGGCCTCCTTAAAGTACAATCCCAGTAAGATTTCCTTCCCGAAAAAGTGTTATTATTGTAAATCTGAGCAAAATTGCTGATAGAAAAGTTGTTCACAGATTAAAAAAAATAAACATTATTGTAAAACCAATACATTCCTCGCTCCACTAAATCTAAAATATTTGGTACCAAAACTACCTAAAAACCTCTAATTTACTTCCTTAGTGGTTGAATTTTTAAAAATTCTTTCTTATCGGATGCCTACTTTATAATAGTCATCTGTATGCAAAATTTCAGCCCAATCCGTTTAGTGATTTTGGTTGTGCGATGATAAATCAGTTAGTCAGTCAGTCAGGACAAGTTATTTTAAATATCTAGATAGATATAGCTGCCCCCCCCCCCCCNCCCCCCCCATCACGGCTTCTTCGCTCATAGTCTTTTTTTTTTATAATTGCACAGGAAATTAAGAGACAATAATAATAACAATAAACTGTGATAACAATAACAATAATGATAAATATCCTTGCATTGATTATTACAATACATATTTTTTGTGTATAATGATGAGTAATATAAACATGTAGTAAAGTATTGCAATTTTCGTAGGGATCTTTAATTTTTTTGAAAATAAAATACAGCTCGTGCTATTCGCTGATTATGTAGCTTCTAATAGATGAAAGAAGTTTTAAAATTGATTAAGTAGATTTTGAGGTTATCCATTGTAAACAAACATACAAACAAATATTTTCTCTGTATTATACTAGTTTAGATAGGTAGGTACATACTACATAGTGATGAGTGTTGTGTACATTCGTTTGGTATTCGGTTAAATACAGAATATCAAAATAGTAAGCGATTAAAAATCATTTCGTTACATTTACTTCGATAGATCGTTTTCCATAAATATTTTATTTTATTTCTATGAGAATTCGCACTCTGGAATATTATTATAATTACATTATCCATACGACCGGAAATCGTTTGTCGATTGCTACAGATATATACTGCAGGTAAGGACGTTATCTACGTGCATTATCTGCAGTGTCCTTGATTAAATTAAATTACCTATTGAATGAAATAGCCAATAGGTTCTAGCATTGATTATAAATGCTATTTATAATCAATGCTACTAGGTTAAGTGTATTATATTGTAATTTGCAAGTTGGTACGTAGGTAAGTACTAAGTAATCACTACAATAATATTGTAGGTACTAATTTTTGAAACCTTTCTTGGCGCAATCTACAGTGTCAACATAGGTACACAACAGGAATATTTATACCTAATTAACATTTCACTAATATTTAACACAAAATAGACAATATAAACTAGTGGTCAGTAGAATACCCGTACGAATATTTCGCATTTTAAAAACAAATTAAACGCAAATATATAGGAGTGCGCACGGGGGAAACGGGAGATTTCCCGCCTTAGTTTTATTATCAATGTTTGTATATTTTCTATTAACTACGCGTTACGTGTTTTCTATAAAATAATTATAATAATGATTTAACTATACATCCAAATCCGTAACTTTGTGTGAGGCGATTAGAGAGCTGGAAAAACAATTTGGAGGTTCAGACTCCTAGATCCCTCCCCCTCAGCTATGGCCAGTCGCCTCTCCTGCCAAGAGAAGGTATGCATGCTTATGGGTATAAAAACTAACTGGTTGGTACATTTCCCTAACAACGGATTTTCGTTGTCTTCATATTATACACGTATAGTACATACTATATATACACTATAAATGTAAACCGTTTTGGCGACTGACAGCCTAAAAACAGTGTTTAAACAAAATTTAGGTACAGCAATATTGAGAATAAATCATTTGTCAAAAACGGCGAATTTAATCTTTAAAACGGTATACCTAGTTTATCGATTTTGGTGCCTGCATGAGTTTAGTCTAACCAATAGGTTTAAATAGGTAACACATCAAAAACATGTTTACGTAGAACGAGTAGAATTCGTTTGATTTTGGTTTTAGAGTAAAAGCATCTTTGTATAAAACTAAAAGAGTAACATCCACAGGTTGGCACTGCGGTGATTATACATATAAAAAAACAATATTTTATTGAAAAGAAATAGTGATAATTTTAAAATATTGAAATTATCATTATGTACTAAGCGTTTTATCAGGAATGACGCTGATAATATAAATTCAACTGAATAACCTGAATGACAAGTTCATTTCAATGATAAGTATAAGTACATAAATCATTTATATTTTTTAAATGTCGATTATAAGGCATAGCTACAATTTGCCACGTGAAATCTGAAGCAACATCGTCTTTATAAAATGAATAGAATCTATGAGACTATTATACTCCTCTAATATTCCACTATTACTATTTTCGTAAATCGTATATTATAATCTGTTACATATAAATGTAACTCACTACTCAATGTAGCAGACGAAGGGATTTAGAGAACTCTCTTTCTAATTAAATAAATTGGTATCGATACTATTGAGGCCCCCGTAAACGATCAAATTTGTTTGACAAACTTGTTTGTCAAACTTCTTGTTTTCATCAAACAATTACTGTACCTGTCTTCAAACGCTTGGACATTATTTGTATGTTTTATAAATAAACTCGCAATCCTCCTAGGTAGTACCTATCATTGATTAAATGTTATACAATCATACATATTATTATACATTCTATACACTAAGTATATACATACATATTTAATCAATGGCAGTACATACAAATTACGGTCTGGGCGAGTTAAATCCCTTGAGATTTTAGATTCACTAATTCTACATAATTTGATGTTACTTAATGAAGTTTTCGATCCCAGACCCCAACTAAACATCAATATCTAAATTTACGGTGTGTGCTATGAATTCATAATAAAATATTATCGCTTGTAATATCAATGCAATTTAATCATCAGCAAGTCGGGAATTACAATATATTGTATATTATTATGTAAATATACGACTTGATGCTAACATCACAAGGTCACCAAAAGATGAAAACAAAATTAAATAAGTATCGCTTATAGGTGCTTAAATTACTATTATAACTAATAACTGACTATTAAACTGCAGTTGGCTCTGTAATTGTTAATGTCTAATCTGATTTATGGGTAATAGTCTCAAACGGTTGGGAACCGCTAATTTAGACAATATTTCCTTTCGGGAATGGTAACACACGTACAGATCAGGCAAGATTTACGGTAGACAATTTTGTCACAGTGTAGAAAAAAAAAAAAATAAATACATTGATTATATCTACTTCTGGACCAATGACCATGCCAAATGCCATGCCAATGCGATAGCCTCCCCCTCCACAAGGACGCCCCTGAATATTATGTACCTACGCGTATGTACCCACGGTAACGGTTGCGCAAACATGTAGCCGACCATGTTGAACTGGTGTTATTAACAATACATAACTGTACACGATTACTAAAACTTTAACTGATAATCGGTGATCGACGAAACGTGTTGTATTCGAAAACTATATACCTACTGTAAATACCTATTTTTGAATACGGCGGAATTCGATTTAACGACCGATAGTACGTTTACTGCGATTTATTAGTTGACACTTGATCCGGGTTTGGGAGGCGATTCGTATACTGTTTGCGTACTTGAAATCGCCTCTGAAAACACACTGAGGCTATTCAAGTGAAAAACGGTCGTCTACCTGCAATTCGTACGCAATACGGGTGCGCTCGTATTTAGTCGACCCGCGTAAGTATTTTATTTTATAGAAGCGATTATTAATTTATTTCAACGGACGCTGTTAATTTATAAAAAAAAAAAAACTGTGCGTTTTTCCAAATCAATAACATTTTCAACCGCACGTTTTACAACCTTCACTGGGCATTTTTATGATTTTATGTTTTCGGGAATTAATGTAGCAGTAGTGTAGTAGGTACTAGGGTAGGCAGGTGAACACTTCGCAATTTTTCGTATACCTTTGTACGTAATATAATATATCATCTGAGATTATTATTATCTATCGTATGTTTGTATTCTCGCGGTATTTGGGAACGATGTTTATCAACATTGTTTATACCCTTTGTATTATGCGTAGGTTTGCGGTTATCGGTCAAGCTCGTTTTTCGCAATTTGGCGAGCCATTATTGTATTTGTCAATTTCGTTGTCCGTCAACCGCCGACCTTCGTGGTACACGCGCCCCTCCCCCCACCGTGTTATTTACGTTACTAATGTTTTCGTCAGTAATTCTTTCTTTCTTTCCGTTTCTTTTAAATTGTTCGTTTCTTGGCTGCGAAGTATTCCGACTTAAAACAAATCGTGTGTTTGGCGATTTGTTTTATTCGGTAGTCAAATTGTGTGCGTATAATAAGGCACATTTTGTTTCTTCTTACATAGTTCCAGCATACGGACAAACATAATTGTAGTATTTGCCTGCCGTGATATTGTATTCCGCAAAGTTTATGAGCGAGTTCAGTTTTAATATATTTGGTTTCGCGAATTTCATCAGGATCGAGTGAGTCATGGTGCATAACGTTGCACGGTTGTTTATTTCCATAATGTTTCGGTTGAGCGTAATTTTAAATCGTTAATTAAGCCACTACAACGATATGGCTTCCCTTTCTTCTTCTTTCAAAACTACCAAGTTCATATCAGAAATTAAATTTAACATTTGTCCGACAAAAACTATTTCTGTTTTCGACAAACTTTATTAGTTCTGATATTTAATATTATATTTTCGAAACTATTAAAATTTACATCGACCACAAATTTTAGACGTGATCATAACTTCCAAACTAAAAAGAGTATTATATAATTGGAGGATCCAATTTTATGGTGTTGTTTATAGTGTTTTAACTACCCATGCTAGTATGGATATATACCGACATGTAAGTACCTATATTTGTATTTAGCATAGCTGTTTTGAATCCAAGGAACTTTTACTGCTTTTGAGTCGTTCAAGTTCAATTTAAACTCGTCTTCAGTTTAAAATATAACAATTTGCTATTTTATAAAAAAAAAAAAAATGTTCATGTATAACTAATCAATATTATAAACATATAATATTATTCTTAGGTTAAATTTCCTGAAATGTATTATATTTTTTTAGTATGCCATGTATCAATTGTTTAAAATTGTTAATTTGAGCTTTTTATTCATAAAGGAAAACTATGTCTTCCCTAAGAAATAACAAAAAATTATTGTTATTTGCTAAAATTCCTATAGGAATACAATATACCTATTTAGTACATATATTTAAAATTTAACAGTCATATTATTTATAAAAAAACTTTTTTAGAAAATATTTAAACACAATTAAAAACACTTAAAAAAATTACTGTGTTCTCATATAGTTAGACTGAATATATTTGAATGTAAAAAACCTACATACTATGTTTAAATTAACATTTTTTTAATTAAATATAAAAGAAAAAGGTACTTGTAATTAATTTATAAATAGTATTCAAAATAAATAAAAAAGACTCTTTAATGTAAAAAGTACTAAAAACACTATAAAACACTAAAGCCTTTCAACAATCGGCACTTCTGGAGTTTGTCTAGGTTCACTATATATGATGCTATAAAAGTAACAGTGTAAACATTTTGGAGGGAGGGGTAAACCCCTAACCTCCATCCTGTTTTAGTGCTTGTAATTAGGTACACTTATTGAAGATATTGTTTTAAATTTACATTTTCCAGAAGTTTATTACTAAACAATCTATTATATAATAAAATAATACATCAGTACTGAAAGTGATACTATTTTTTTTTTCAGCCATCTAAATTGGAATGTGATCATATGTTTTGTTCTAATTGTCTTGAAGACTGGTTACGTTGTAACAGAACGTGTCCAATGTGCCGTAGCAGTAAAATTGGTTTCAAGCCTGTTAAGTGTGAATTTGTTGGACAACTTATTAAACATCTGTCATCCTCTGCAGCACCCACTATGGTTGTCCGTAGACAAGCGAGTAAGTTCTTTAGAATAAACGCCTGAAACACTAAAGTAAATATACCAATTTTATTATATTGTCAAATTGTAGTTGTTTTAAGGGGATTGTTGACATATTGATGATTTTACACATTTTGTAAAATTTGTAAAAAAATGTTTGCAATTTAATTAACATCATAATGATAAGACATTTCTACTACTTTACCACCAGATACCCATTTAAAGATAAGGGGTATTTATTTTTACAGATGAATATGATGTTTTGGACTTAGAAAAGCTTGAAAAATTTGTAATGAATTTTATTTTTTTTAAATTTTATTGTCAATTCTATTTATTATAAGTAAAATATAAAATTCTCGTAAGTATTTAAGGTCAATTTTTGAAAATGTATCATTATAATTTCAAATTTTTTAGTAAAATAATTTAATTTCTATTTCCAACATATCCTGTTAAAGAATCTATGAAGATTTAAAAAATTGATAAATTGAAAATTCCTACAGTTTTGTCTGGCTTTGAAGGTTAAGGTTTAATTGAACTAAAATGTCACCAATCCCTTAAGGTGTACATATTAAATAAATTAACAAGTATTTTCCTTATATATTCTAAACAGTACCTGTTCTCAATAAGAATCTTTCACTCTCTGTGTCAAAAGTCAAACTGTCACGTCCTGCATGGAGATGATACCGGGCTATAATATACAATAAGTCCATAACCTATATAAAATTATACTTGCAAACATAAATGTGTGATTTTTTTCTTATGTAAATTAATATAATTTTTTAATAATTTTAACAATACCTATATAATATTTATACAATTTATAATACCTAATATACTAGACCTTGGATATATATATATATTATAGACTCTAAGACTTATTATAATCTAGAAAACATTTTTACTGTCATTGTTTTTATATTTATATATGCATTAAAATGTAAATTAAATTATTGGTATAATTTAATATTTTAATACATATACAGTTGTTTTAAATTGAACTGTGATATTATATTATTCTTTAGCAATCATAATAATTTTTGAGTAAATATTATAAATAATCATTATGTTTTATGAAAATTACTATAATGCTCTACTTTACCCATTATTTTGAACTGCATATCTAAATAGCTATATAAAGTTATGGCTATATAATTATATAAGTAAAAAGGTAAAACTGTGGTAGCTTACCCACTGAAGTTAAATAATTCAAGTAGATTTTTTTTTTATACTACAATCCATCAAAAAATATTTTTATAGAAAATCATAGTATACAAGTAAAAAGAAATGTCTTCTAAGGGTTAGGTGGCAAAAGAAAAAAGATTTATAACATAAATGCAAATTTGAATTACCTATTTAGACAGTATAAGTTGTACCCAAAATGTTAGTGACTTTTACAACTTTCAGCTAGAAAATGCAATTTTCAATAATTGGAAAATAGTAATTACAGTAATTATAAATATTAATTGCTGTTGGACTACACAGAAATATTTTTGAAAAAAAAAGTAATTTTTCAAGACATAGTTTTAGACAAAAAGGTACATTAAATACAATAACAACAAATTTTTAAATAACAAAAAAAAAACTATTTATTTTAGTTTTAATAGTAGTTATTATTAATATTTAATAAATTAATGGGCAATTTGAAATTTGAATTCACTTTATGTAGATGTTCAAACAATGGCCAGTTTAGCGTCTTCTATACACAAATTCTTCTTTATTGCTTCTTGGTATAAATTGTGCCAATTTGTTTTTAATTGTTTAAATTGCTTCAATTGATTCTCTGGTATCTAATAGTTCACAAAATTTCATTTGTTATATTTAAAAATTGGATAAATTATTTTTTTATTATTATTTACAATAATTTGATGTTTTCCCAAAAAGTAGAATCGATAATTTATTTCCTGAATATTAAGTTCCGCCTGAAAAATCATTTCTTTGATTTCTTTAATTGTATTTTCTACTATGAATATTCCTTGAACATCACGAAAATGGTAGTTTAATAGATTCTTTAGTGTCTATAAAATAATAATAATATGTTGTATTGACAGGTTTTTTTTTTTCATTGTATATTCATTACATAAAAAATATATAGCTAAGAGGTATACCATGAACATTTTATACAATTGTGGGGAAAAAAGAATTACTTTCCATGATGGGTGGACTACTGTTGTAGATGAGAAGTTGAGAAGGAAGCATATAGAGAGGAATTTAATGTATAACTATTAGCAAAGATAAATCATTGCTTATGAAAAACGATTCTGCAATGTATATATAATATGTAATATTATAATAAAATAAATATATATTGAAATAATTTATATGGACTAGTAACTAGATTTATACTACATAAATTTGTTTACCAAAACTTTTTTTGTCAAATTCTTATATAAAAAAAAAAATCATTCAACTCAATTTATTTTTATTTTTATTACAAATGACAACTTCTAATGAATTTCCTGTTAAATTTTCAGGCATTTCTGTTTTGTCTAACAATTTTATCCATAGAGTACCTACCAAATAAAAATTACTCCCAAAATTAAATTGTCTATAAAAACTCAAAAATGGCTCAAATATTTTTATAGTTTTACCTTGTCCAGAAAAGGCAAATTTAAATTTTCTGTTCAAATTTTAAGTCACTATGAATATTTTTAACTGAATTACAAATGCATTATTTTTGTAAATTCCCTTCCTCATTTATATTTTATCCTGGTTTTTCCCAGGTATGAATAAATTACCTTCTTAAAATACCATCTAGATAATATTTTCTTTCAGAAATGGGGCCACACTTACATATGGGAGCAAGATTTCTAGTGGTTAAAAAAAAAAAAAATGAAATCTTTGTAAAACCAATTCATTCTTCTCTATACATTCAGAATCTTATGTAATTGAAACAGATATCATTATATTTAATAGTATATGTTTCAATTAAAGTTTAATAATTGGTAAGTAAATATGTAAGGCAGGCACGTACACAAAATAAAATTGGGGGGGGGGGGGGTTCATTAAAAATGTAAAATAATCAATATTATCAATATTTATAAAAAATTTATTAAATTTATATAAATAAATTCCACAACTATTAACTGTCGTGGGGGGGAGGATGATTGAACCCCCACTTGTATACATGCTTGACCAATACATTCCCCGTTGCACTCAGAATCTAAAAGAAAAAACAATATCCCTATACAAAAAATTGCCCTAATTATATCATTATCACTACTTTTTGGTAATGCTGATAAGAATACTCAAGAAATAATAAAAAACACGGTTATAAGTAGGTATTATATTATTTTATTGTCTATAACCCTGATAAAAAAATGTCAAGGGGGGGTGATGAATGGATCCCCCTCAAATATGCCACTGAGTTATACTATCAAATTCTCTATTTTTATTTACCATAATTTTGTCCATAAACGTTGTTATCGTATGTTCACATTCGAGTATGAATTGTTTTCCATAAATTGAGTACCACAAATCACATCGTTCTTTAATTATCATGTTATATTCAGAATGGTTGAGTCGCATACAGCCCACGTCCACGTGCGGGTGTTTTTCCAAACTTTTCAATATGGAAACAAACGATAATAACTTTTCTTTATAATCTTTCGGAGTTGGGTTGGTCGCTGCAAACTGGTTGATCATTAATTCTTCTCTCTTTTCAAAAAGAAAACCAAATCTCTGAAATCTATATTCGATACAGATACAAGAATATGTACATCATATACAAATATCAGTTAAACAATATCGATTAGGTATAACTGATACAAGACCATTATAATTATAATTTATACAATTAATTTTTAGGAAAAATTTTAGATCGTCTGCAAACAATAATAATTTACTTTCGCGGATAACATTTTTGATACTATTGAAAGAAAGGGAGAAAATTAATGGAAAAAGATGTCCCCTTTGAGGTACCCTAGACGAGACATGGGATATGACATGGACTTGCTCCCAAATACTTTTACATATTGTTTTCGATTTCGTAAATAAGATCCAAAACAGGATAGTAATAGTTTTCCAAAACCACTATCAACCAGAATTCTTAATAAGATCAAGTAAAATATCCAAGTATAAATATGATCTCATATATTTTATTTTCAATATGTATACAGGGTATTCAATCTATCGTAAAACACTCATTATCTCAGAAAGTATTACATATTTTCGACATTTATTTTACAAAATATTTTAGAAACAAGCAAATCTACAATTTTATATTTAAGTTATTTTTTGTCAGCCTTATTTTTGGGTATAAAACCACTACTTACCTACTTTGATATTCAAACGGCAACCTATATAAAAATTTCATAAATAGATAGAATATTAAATGTTGGTGTTGAAATTTTATATTTACTAATTGCATAGTTCTGGGCTTGAACTATATCTATGCAAATTGTCATTCCGTTCAGTAGCTCAGGCATAAAAGGTTAATAACCACACCAACACCCAACATTTTTGCATATAAAATATTGGAAGCATTTTTGTAGCAATTATTATTAAAATCATCCTAATTTAATTTTTAAAATTATTCATGTATATATCATTAGAAATATTTTTACCAGCATGCGGTCAAAATGATTTATTTGATTAATAAAGTCAGTCTTTTTCGGTTATAGAATATTAGTAGAATAATTTATTTCAATGTAATAAATTGGATGTTATATTTTTTTTTTGACTACTTTTCATAGAAAATCCGACTTAAACTAACCTAAGTGTATAAGGAACTTATAGTATAGTATAACACTTATAGTAGAATAGATGTAGAATTAAATAGAAAAAACTGGAAAACTATCCCAAAGTCCAAATATTCCCTTTTGAAAACACGTCGGATTGATCAATCGTGACCAAGTTTTACATAAGTACGTTATTTTTATAAGTATGGGAATACATTCGGGGGTCTCTCCTTAAATATTTCGTGAAAACAATTTATATATTAAAATTAAATACTATAAACGACAATTTGGGACACTTTACAATAATAGTGACGGACGGTTTTCTTATCAGTGCCCTTCGAGATTGTTAATAATTCACCTATATTTTACCCCTTAGATTGACGAAAAATATCGATTTAGTTACAAACTAATACATTATTATAAAAGTACCACGCCTTTTGTATTTAAATATAGATATTGTATTTATACACAATATGGTCGAGTACAAGGGAAAAGGGGAGAAAAATTTAAAAATCAAAAATCTGTTCATGTATGCATGAGTACGTTCCAGAAGTCCAAAATTAGATCAGGAAAATTTCTAAATTGCTTTTACTCTTATCTCACTAATCGAATACAATCAGAAAAATTTCTTTTCATGTTTTGATTGGAGCATGAATTTTGGCAGAAAAGTTGTTCGTACAATAAAACTAATTTGGGTATCGGGGAATGATTGCACCTCCTTTTGACATTTAAAATCACAATCGTAAGTTAGTATTTTTTTTTTATGTATTATTTATTATGTTTAGTGGTAAGTCGTTATTAGTTTTATGCATGGACATATTTGTTAAAAGATGCGGTGTTACTTGCCCAGAGGTATAATGTATTATAATATTAAATATCTGATTCCCTATTCATCTATGACGCCTGGCGTTTACAGTATGTTATAAATATGCGCTCTTGATAAAAAAAAAATGTCTGAATTTTCATGAATTGAAAATTAGGTTGTGAAGCAAAATTTACTAATAAATATTTGTCTACCTGTTTGTAGATATGTTACAGATATTGATAATAGAATATAATAGGAATATTTGTATAGTATATTAGTAATTAGTCAAATTAATTAAATTAATGGTTCATATTTTGATTGATATTTTGATATTTAGACAATGATTGTAATCAACTTCAAAATTGATGTCAATTTAATAAAATAAAACAATAACAATTAGATAATTTAAAAATATATTTAGTGAAAACATAAGTTACTCTGTAGTCTAGTAAAAATGTATAAATTAATCGTAGGAGGGAAGATGGGTGTTTGTTTCGTTTTAAGATTTTGAAGCGTATACATATTCGCTAAAAAAATGTAAGATCTCATCATTGGATTTAATGTAGATATTTTGTTTTTATGTATATACTGAATATAATAAACGAAATTTTTTTTAAAAGAATATTATACGATAATGCATACAAATGTTTTCTACGTATTATTTTTAGCCAAAAAATAAAACGCTGAACACAATAATTGATTATGTAAAATTAAATTATCTTAATTTTTGTGTTTTGAAAACTTCGTATCCTTATTTATATTTTAGCTGTCTTGATTTTAGTTTTTTTTTTGTCAACTTATTAATTATGAAATAATAAAAAAAAATCAAATGTTAAAAAATGAATTCATGTAAATATATAAAAATTCATAAATATATTGCATATTCATACAATACATAGGGATATTTGCATAAATCCCTATATATTTCATAGGCTATATAAAAAAGTTATTTTTTCAATCACTGATATTACAATACCGACTGTCTCAATTTTGAGCCATCCGAGTTTTTAGTTTTAGCTTAATACGTTCCTTATTATTTAGCACTGTATTCGCAATTCTATACAAATAAAAGTAAGCACTTATCTTTCAAACCGATTTTACTTTTAGATTTAGGAAATTATTTTATGTTTGCGATACTTATGTACATGTGGTATATATAGTTTGTATATATTTACATAATATTAATTTTCATGATTGCTTCTGGAACCCATACGATCATTTATTAATCTATGATTGCGTTTGGATTTAACCCTAGGTATACTGAAAGTAAAGGTTCACAAGGTAATAGCCTAAATGTTTAATTATGCTTTATATCTAGGGTATTTAAATTGTATTAATGTATAAATAGTGTTATATCGACACTGTTTTATATTAGTTAAGTAGTAAAGTAATTAATATCAAATTTCGCTTCACATCACCATTTTTCAATTCATGAAAATTCAAAAATTTTCTTATTCATTAAGAGCTAATATTTATAACATATTGTAAACATTTTCCAACATGTAAATGACCGCCAGGCGTTATAGATGTATAGGGAATTGGATATTTAATATTGTAATACAATATATCTGCGAGCAAATAATGCATCATCTTTTAACAAATATGTCCATATTTAGCACTAATATGGACTTAAAACTTTTCGTTGGATTATCCGATTATTTTACTTTCTGGGTTATTTCTTTCCGTTAAAATAAAGTCCCCAAGGCACCAATTCTAATACTATAGACTGTTTAAAATGTTATTCGGGATATTTAATTTTTACAAAAAAGCAGCTTGAGTATTTTTTTTAAATTTAACGTATACTTAAAAATGTTTAGTAAAATGTCAAGTTATTAATTATCATTGATATAATTATACTTTCATATACGAAGGATTCAGTAGATTGGCCAAAAAATTGGCTTACTTAAACATTGGCACTCCTATAAAAAACCTAAGTGCCACCACTGTGTTAACTTAACAATTTTAAACATTTTTTAGCACCTTCAATTACTGACTCCTTCATATATATATTAAACAATAATATAAACTATTAAAGTTATTATCTACATAATGTTACCAATTGGTGTTAATATAATAATACTTTTGGGATGTGATTTTCAATCGATCACCAATTAGTTTGATGCAATTAAAACATTCTTTTTTCATGTTGAACACATTAGTGTTGGTCACTACCGAGTTATAAAACGAATGAGACAATTTTAAATCACTATTTTTCTCGTTTTGAACCAGAGGACATTGAGTATTAATATGCTTCAGCCAACGGTGTGGCTTGACTAATTTCATTATGTTCAGCATACCGTCAATTTCCCTTGTGAACTTAATGATTATGTTTTCGATATTGGGTAGAAGGATAAATTTCTCGTCCTTTTGAGTGTAAATAATGAAAATAGAACGATCATTACTCAACATCTTTTTGAACGCTTTTAAATTGTTTAATACCATTCTGAAATTCATTTGAGATTTTATTATAATATCATATTTACATAGGTAATGATATTAAGCATTTTATTCTCTGAATTGTTTATACGTAGTGAAAGCTTCGAACAAGGCGTTTTCATATTTTTCGTAAAGCAATCTCATTTGCTTATTATTTTGACCTATTTCACCACCACAACATAATTTTTCTATTAAATTAACTGCTTCACATATGTAGCCCATTGCCATCGTTATTTCTGAAAAGTTTTTATTTCTTTGTATCTTACATTCGTCGATCATTTTCTGCCGTTAAAAAAAAAAAATAATAATAATAAAATTAACACCATATTCATAAAATTTAATTAGCAATTACATATCTACAATTTTGAATAAGTATAAACGATAGTTAGGTACTGATAAACTAAATGGATACCATGGAAAATTAAAATAGATACATACAAGAAACTCTTGAACATAACCGTCTTTGAAATCTGCCGGAAAGAATTCAAGATTTTCAATTAACTTCAATTGTTTATTAATTATATTTTCTTTCTAAATATAATTAATAATTCACAAATATTATAAAAGCAATTATTATCTTAATAATCATGTATTGATATTTACCGATTTGACACGATCGTAAATTATATTATATTCATTGAGAGAAGTCATAACATTATTTATAAATTCCGGCAAATGGTTTGTTAAATAAGTATATTGTTTTACTAAACACGGGTGTAAAGAACGATTTATTTCGGTCAAGTGACGATCCATCGCTAAAGTCTAAATATAAATTAAAATAATTTGTTGAAAACGTATTATCTACATTTTTTAATTTCTTTATCTTTCTTTCTTTCTATATTTTTATTTTGAAAACAATTCTTTTTTTTATGTGTGGGATAAAAAGTTTAATCTGCAAAGGTTTATGTAAATAAATAATATAACTAAATATTACTGACAATTGAAGCGTCCATTTTATCTAGTATTTTGTTGTACATGTTCACCAATTTATTCATATTTTCTATGTTATCAAAGATTTCATCTCGTTTTTTGATTAGATTGATAATGACTTCTGGCAAATCATAATCAAGGTTTAGTTTTAGTGCGGTATCCATGACACAAAATAATTCTTTCTGTAAATATTGTTCAATACAAATGTTTATAAACAAAAAGTAGGTAGCTTCCTATATAATATTAGTAATATTAACGTGTACGTACACTAAATACTACTCCTAGAGTATTATCTCGAAAAATGAGTAAAGCATCTTTCATAGAACATCTTTGAATCTCAAGAGCATCTCGTAACCATTCGGAAAATAATTTATTTTCATAAGCAAAGATTTCTTTACAAAAATGTCCATACGTTGATAATATCTAGTGTGTTATTATTAATTAAACTGTTTCGGTTGATATTTTCATATTGAACATGTAAACATACTTTGTTTTTTTGTACAGAGGGAATTTGAGTTGCTAATTCAATAACTTTAACAATCTCTTTAGCTCTTATATGTAAATCATGCACTAAAATTATGTTTCCTGCTATTAAAGGTACATTGGTCAATAATTGTGGGGATGATTTGAATGACTGTAATATTTATTCAATATAATTATTATTTATTAATTACCATAATTTAACTGTGTAGTTTGTGAGTATATGTAATTTTAATTATACATAACCAGTAGTGTTCCCGTTTATTTTTTTGAGAGTATACTGCATCACCCAGTTCTATATCTTACTTGTGGATTATATTATTTATAGGAAAATAATGATACAAAATATAAATTAAAATTACTATAAAAAACACTATACATTTCTAAAAATAAATTACTATTTATTGTAAGAAAATTGTGAAATTTTCAGTTACAATAATTACTGAAATAAATATAATTTTTATTACTGTTTCGGTTTTAGTGACATAAGTAGTTATAGTGGTATGAATGGCCGAACGGGTCATGATAATAATTTATTATGACGGATTTTTTTGTTTAATTATTTGAGAATATATTCAGTATACCCGTGATTTTTCAACAAAGTGTTGAGAGTATACGGCGTATATAATATGTAGTATACCCTAAGGGAAGTCGAGAACACCACTGTATTTACATCTAATATCACCTTGAATTGTGTGTGAAAACTATTGATTTCATCAGTGAGGTTTTCAATAATAATAGAGTATTTTGAACTATGTGTTTTTCTGTGCATATCATTTCGTATTATATCGTATTTCTCCATTATTTGTAATGCTTTGAGCCCTTTAATCGCACTTTGAGGAGATTCCATTTGTAGACCGATATTACTATACAGATTATTTACAATGCAATTTTTAAATTTACTCATCGTGTCCTTCATCATGTTCTGTTTATTGTACATATTATCGTTATCAACATCGCATAGTTGTTTAATGAAATTAGAATGCGGGTAAATAAAATCGAATTGCTGTTTGATCTGCACAGTGTATTAAAACAATCATATTGCATAAAGATATTTTAAGTACGCGTTGTAAATAAAATAAACCATTTTTATATTTAATTTTACCTCAATTATTTCAGCCAAATCTTTTGCAACCAAACTCACAAAATTTAATTTCTTAAATATAATATTTTCATCAAACTTCCAAGCCCAAGATTTTCTGAATTTTTCGCTTATTTTCTGGATGTTCTTTTGGCATTGACTATATCTGTCTTTCCAATGGTTTATAATAATTAAAACATTTCTTATAATCAACAAAGGGTTACTATTTGTGTATCTATAAGATAAATATATTAAATTAGTTAATGCATCTAATTTATAATATTTGAATATTGGTTAAATAAATTGTAAATTAAAATAATTACACGAGTATATTTATAATATAAACGAATATTTTACATATACTTGTTTTTATACTCTATTCAGGATAATATTGAATCGTACAAACGACAAAAACGTATCACGTTCATCCCACTACCCAGCGGCCTGGCTCGACATTACTTGGTCGGCTAAATTAATAAAATGACTCCCTCCACATAGGTAAAATTAGAGATATAAGGGTCACCCAATCCATCTCGTTTGCTCAAGTCCTCTTTGTTAAGTATAAAAATGCGTAAGTTTTAATTCTTTAGGAGGGTTAAACAAAACAAATAAATATGTATGTTTCATATCCGTCAAAACTGTATACCCGAATTACGACCATGGGCACTGATTTATTCAAAATATTTTAATATAAAAGTATACTTTATATTAAAATATTTTTATTTTATAGATTTGCATCTTATTTGAAGTTGAGTGGTTTGACGTATTATAATGTATTGTACGAAATTATTATTTTATATTAGATTTTGTTTTAAGCTATGTGAAGATGTATACTTTATGTTTTAACTTTTGTCTCTTCAATATGTACCTATATATCTAGGTATGTAGCATTATAGTTTTGCTACTATTTTTTAAATTTGTTTTATTTGTCATCATATTTACTTTGGTTTTTAATAATTTATAATTTTTTTTCATCTGAAATATTAAAAAAACAAAAAACAAAAAACATAATATTCAAGAGGAATCAGAGGAAGGCCCAGTTAGCAATCATCGCTTCATCGACTTGGTTAGGCCGCCACTACCACCACCATCGATCATCGTGCTCACTTCCTGATGATTCCCCCTAAGGCACCGACTAGGGAGTATAGACTCACTCAACGCCTCAATCTACATACACGGAAGCAGTTCAATTTTATCCGGAATAGAGAATAGAATAGCGAATTTTGCCGAAAATATAGACTATTGATCTGTATTATTTTATATATACACATATTGTTTCCAATACTTTTGGAAATGTTAAGCGACTCCTTTTGATAAAAATAACTCGGAAATTAGAATATTTTTATACGCGGATTGAAGTTTTGGCTGAATTTCAGTATGAATTTAACCATGTTGTTTTCTGGAGGTGGGTGTATTTTCTTTTTAGTAAATTGTGTCTAATTAGTACACTGTCATGCTTTTAATAGTTAAAAAAAAAAAAACAGGATAAATTTACGTAATAATGTTTTCCGTTATTTTTGGATTTTTTTTTTATAAATCGGTAAACATTATCATAGATAATCTACAATAGTGGTATTTCCATCGGCAGTGTCAGCTATCAGTACAGGTTTTTGGTAAAATGTTCTACGTTATCCGGAGAAAGTGCCATCCATTAAAATTGAGTTTTTATGTATTTTTAATACAAAATTATTCGTTTTGATTTATGGGTCAGGTATCCTGGTAAAATGGATGTTAAAAAAAACAAAAAAAAAAATGTGTAGCATAAGCATACAATGAACGAACTGATTGTGTCACAGCCAAAAAAAACAAAAAAATATTCTTATTTGATGTGAAATTTTTGCTTAATTTAATTGAAACTTAAATTATATTACTTAAGATGGATTAGGTATACATTTTTCAGCTGTTTTTTTTTTTTTAAACAATGACATATACAGGACAATAATATAAAATGATCTAACAATAAAAAAAACATTGACGGGTCAGCTAGTATAATATTAATATGACAATAAAATGATAATAACCGAAATATGTCAGGTATACTCAAAATAGTAGAAATTCGATCAGCAATTAAATTGGAAATCAACTCGAGTAAGCGTTCCATATTTTTCTTTTCTTTATAAAAACTCGACGTCAACCACATTAAAATTAGATTATTGTATAAAGGTGTAGTATTTTCATTGATAACAGACAACGGTGCCATGACTATTGCCTAAAATATTATTAAATCTAAATTAATCTGCGTCATAGTATGTAGAAAAATTAAAATAATCACATACAAAAATCCCTTCGTAAATTAATTCAATCTTTTCTTTAGTTTCTTTTACAGTAGTCTCGTAAATTATTTCAAATTTGCTCTTAGTATCGTAAAAATATCCTAAAATATTTTGAGCTATTTCAGTGTTTAGCATTTTCACAGTTTTTATGTATTTTGCAACCAATTTATCAGAGGTGAATTGTTGCAGTATTGTTTTGAAATTTGTATAACGTGTGTTCCAAAATTTATATTCTGTAACAACGGATTTCTCGATTTGTCCTTCCTAATCAAATTTAAAAAAAGTTGGTAAGATAATGGGGACGGGTGCAACCATTGGTATAGGCAGGAAGTTGGTAAGGTAGGATTCAGACACGAATTTGTTGTATATCTGTAAGGAGTGGAGTTCAATTGATAGTGATGCTTTATCAACAATATATATGCCATATTATAGTAAAATAATTAAATAAGCTCTGTATTCTATAATAATATTTGTTTAATATTATTATATATATTTTTCTCGGTCTTCCCATGTATTTTCCCAGTTTATCACATTCGCTGAGAAAATTCCGGAGAAAATCAAAAAATTACCTCTTTAAAGTACCACAACAGTGAAATTTCCTTTCTGAAAAATTTCTATCGTTATAAGTTAATAATAAGCATAATTGCTGGTCAAAAAATTGTCCACAGGAAAAAGAAGGACCGTAATATTTTTAGCTAATACCTATATTTCTTATATTTTCCCGTTTTTCTTTTGGTTTTTCATATTTATTGAGAAAACTTCGGAGAAAATTGAAAAACAACCTCTTTGAAGTACCTCTTTTGTGAAATTTCCTTTTAGAAAAATTGCTATTATTAAAAGTTGGAGCAAAATTGTTAGTAAAAAAAGTTGTTCACAGAAAAAAAAAATCGCAATATTATACAAATATATTTTGTACATTTTCCAAATTTTTTTTTTAGTTTCTTGGTTTTGATGAAAAGACTTGAGAAAATCGAAAAATGACTTCAGGTAAAACTTTCAGAAAAGTTTCTACATGTAAAAATCGGAAGAAATCTTCTGGTAAAAAACTTGTCCACGTAAAAAATAAACATTTTTGTAAAACTATAAGCTTCTTCAATTTACTCAGAAACAGGTAAATTAGGTAAGACGCTGATATTCAAGAATAATGAACTGTTTATATTTTGATTATTTTAGATTCTGAGTGGATTGAAGAAGCTTATAGTTTTACAGATTTTAGCGTAGCGAAAAATGTATTGGTTTTGCAATGATGTTTTTATTATATTGGGAGCGTAGTAAGGGATCTATGGGTTTTACTATGATGTCTATTTTGTATTTTAGATTCAAAATGTTAGAAGGAAATTCATGGTTTTATACTATGATGTTTTTTTATTTTTTTGTGTCTGTAAAAATTTTTTCGAAAAAAAATCTTGCTCCGATGTATAGAGTGTAGAACTTGTTCTGAAAGATAATTTTGTACAGTTGGTACATTAAAATGGCCATTTTTTGGTTTCCCAAAGGGTTTTCAAAATAAATGGGAAAAACCCGAAAGAAAATTATACGTAAAACGTATAAAACGTATTTGATCTAGTTGGTACTTTAAAGAGGTCATTTTTTGATATTCCAAGTGGTTCTTATAATAATTAAGAACAACAATGTTTTATCGTTGCGTACAGATATAAATTAGATTCTCCTTTATATTTTATTGTACTTTACCAACTTTTCACCTATAATAGTGGCCCACCCAAGCATGATCGTCTCTTTTGAGCTTAATTATTAAATAAACTTATGAAGTGAATTATCTCGGTGTTTTCCATTATTGCTTACTTCAATGTCTTTTAGAGTATTCATCTCTTTCTGCATTAGTTCTGTCCATGATGTCATTAGTTTTGGCAATTTATTTACTTGGTTATCAGTCAGTTCTTCAATATCAATATCATTTTCAATAATCTTAAATACCTCGATAGAGAATTCTAGTTTTTCCGTGACTTCATTGCTGTTAGCAATAAAATGAAATCCGTCATCTTTATATTATAGATGTATATAAATGAACCGTTTGTTTATATCAAGGTTCCCTAAAATTGTTTTCCGTCGGACCCCTTAGAGATAGTAAAAATGATCGTGGGCCCCTCCCCCCCTTATACCCTTTTATGCATCAGTATTTTCGTTTTCGGTCATTCGTAAAACTATCAATAAGTAATAATTATGAAATATCTAGATACATTTTTTAACTCATATCATATCTGTATTGCTGTAATTATTTAATTTAATATTTTTTCTGCAATTATGAATCTTTTAACATGATAAATGAAAATATTTATTACAGAATTTTTTTGTGTTCAATCGAAAATAATTTTTGTATTTCTAATCCATGAACGCCGACAAATTTGCTCAATCGTGTCGTAAAAAGTATTTTATGCTCAATCACGTGATAACTGGTTTCTTAATGGTTACAAAATATTGTTTTTCTTTTTTTTTTTAATTGAGCACTGTTATTAGATATAAGGTTCACACTGTTCACATTGAACATTTTAAAAGTAGTTATAAAAACCACACATTTTAAATTAGTTTTTAGAGCGAATCAGAATAAATAACATCATGTGTATCTACTTATACTAATTAATACATTTTAATACGTAACAAATATTTGTATTATTATTAAATTACAAATCGAATAATTGATTTTTAATCTTTAAAAATATTGAAGTCCGTTCAAATACACATTTCTTAAAAGATTAGCTATAATGATATTTGAGAAATCGTTCTTTATCATGACAAATTATAATTACTGAAACAGTGATCACTTAATTAGGTACCTACTTACGTGATGACCATTATGCTTTAATATAGAAATAAATTTACTTTTCAAATGAGACATCCATCTCGAAAAATCCACGGTCAACGATTATAACGGAAAAGACTAAATAATGTACATACTTAGGTACTTTGTCTATAAACAGAATAAATTAAATAAACGAAATAAATGTTAAATGTACTATTGAAAATGACAATATGCTATCAATATATAATTAACTTTATTTAGAAAAAAACAAAATGGTTGCCATGTGATACAAACCTTGGGCAATTCTTCCAAAATGAGAGTTTCCTTCAAATGACAGCATGATTTTAATTTTATCAGCGTGACTATCCCTGAAAAATTAAAATATAAATCCACATAATGGTTAACAGGTATTTTATCGTCAATATATGGGACGTCCACTAGTAATTCCCGAATACATTAGAAAATGATTCGTAATGGAAACACACGATTATGGTTGTCTCACTTTACTGTTGAACGCACAGAAATAACTATTTAATTTAGGAACAAATATCTAATTTGTATTATTATTAATTTTATTCAATACTTTAATGTACCTATGTAATAATAAATAAAAAAAATAATGTATAATACTATGTACCTAACATTACATTTTATTAATAATTAAATAATTCAATAGATTATAGTTTTTAGAACTATTAATAGGCAACTAATATTTGAGGCGTTTATTGGAAGTTTTTATGTTTATTCGATTTATTATTTTAAATTAATATCAAAAAGATTACTGGGCTTCACTGAGAAAATTCGTTAGGTTAGGTTAGGTTAGGCCAGGCTCAGGGTGTATCTTGGTGCTGGTCAGAAAGTAGAAATACAGTTGTGTAAATAAACATTTATAATAGTCAATGGGGGGGGGTTGAACCCTTTACCCTCCCTCCATTTAGCACGCTTGTGTACCTATTACCTGAGTGTTATATCTATGTGTATATAACAGGAGTATTGACGTTAAGGGTGGCGCAAAATACCCAGTGGTGGTTATCGGGAGGGGGTATTGCCCACCTCTTTGTTTTAGTCTGTCGTCGCCAGTATAATACATTGTATTATTGCTTACAACTTAATGCTTAAGTAATTTTACCACATTGCCACTGTGGATTTGAAACTCACTCCCTCTTTTCCTCTCCCATCGAGGAGTGGAATATATCCGCCACTGGTGGTCACCCATCTGAATAAGCAACAATACGCATCGTTTACGCGGCTTAACCGGATGGTTAAAATTAACATAATTTTTTTTTTTCTTATTAATTATTCGATAACTTTTCGACAACGATTTCGCAATAGTCGCTTGTCTGCCCTGGAGCGCTACTACGTATTATAATATAATTATTATTATACTCGTATATTAAAACGTTTTGTAAAATATTCTAGCGAAATAATATTGTAACGATCGGTTAGATGCGGTACGCGGCGGCGACCTAACCCAACCTTATTTCTCCGGAGCAGGCGGAAAACGCGTTTGTTTTATTATTATTATTTTTATCGTTGCTGGTAAATTTCAAAAATATATAGATAGGTAGTTCTCATCGGTGTACAGCACTAATCTGTTAACCTCGGAAACAGTCTATATATATTATGTAAACTTATATACGTGTTTCAATTTTTTTTTTTTTTCATTTATTTATTGTGAACTTTTAACAGAAGGGTTTTACCCGCGAGTTTTCGTTTAATGAATTTTAATATTTAACTGCATAGTAACTTGCCCATCGCACATTTTTTCGGCGCTTTGATTATATCACGATAAGAACGATATTATGTGTTGCAAAAAAGGGATCGTAACAGCTTCTTTTCACGTTCCGTTTTAATATTGTGTACGAATCGTCTATAATTAAACCCATTAAAATATAGGTAGCCCGTGAAATTTCGAAATTATAAAAATTAAAATTCTATAAGTTATTTATTTTTTGGATAAAAAGTTGTACAGTAAAGTACTAAGGTGTACTTTTTCACAAGCCTATCAATGCTAAATGCTAAAATTATTAATGTGGTTAAAATATTTATTATTTATAATATAATAAAATAAACAAACATTAATAACAATAAAAATATATATTTTAAAAATAATTATACTCTGTGAGTACAAAACTGAAAATGTTTTTTTTTTAAAAAAAATAAAATAGGTACATCATTAAAGTTGTAAATGAAACAATCAAAGCTCTTATTGATATTCATAAACTTTTAATTATAAGCTTATAATACTATTCTACGCTCCACAGGTATTGCATTTTTAAATTCATTAATTACACTATCAATACATACAGAAGAAGTTAATTCTTGTTCGATAAATAAAAATACATTTAGTCTATCCTGTGTCATACTGTCACGGTACATCTAAGTTTGCTTTTTACAATGGTAAGTTTAGAAAAACTCCTCTCACAATAATAACTTGTGACAGAGAATATAACAAACATTTTTAAACAAAGAAAAAAAATCATTTTTTATATTAGACAGGTCTATTAGATTTATGTTGGTAAATTTTATAATCATACAATTTTTATCTATATACATTACCAAAATAAATTTAAAAAATGTAATAATTTTTTTTTATCTACAATGGTTCATCATTTGTGTAAAGGCAATTTTACCGAGGCCCATTATTCAATAATTACAGGTCGTGGTAGCCCCAAAGAAAGTCCAAGGCAGCATATACTGCCTCTGCTGCCCCCGTGCGCACGTCTATGATTCGGCTGAAGATAGTATTCTTAGAGACGTGATATTTTCACAGAATAATATTATATCGGATTTTCCTAGACGTGGTCAAATATTGTTTAGCTATTTGCAGGCATTTTACAGAGTTTTTCGAGTTTGTTTTTAATTTTTATTCGGTAAGTATACTATATGAGTGGACAACAATTGTTCGGCCGAACAGAGATGCTTGAATATTTAACACGAATTTCGTTATATTAAGTTGTATACTGTGGTCCAAAAGCAATAAAAAAAAAAAAAAAAAAAAATGTCCTTACAATTACACGTACAACCGAATTTGGAACATTGCAGTATTCCGTGAGATTAGGCGGCAACATGTTTATCGTTGCTAATTGATGCTTGTAAATTAAATGATAATATGTGCGTTCTTCGCGCTCGCGGACGGCGATTATGACGAACATAATACGTTACACCCGTTATATTTTATCATCGCCGGGTTTAAAACAAAAAAAAAAAAAAATGTACATATTATATATATATATATGCATTAAAATATATACGTACGAAACCGGATAATACGGCCGACGGCGGCGATGGGCTATAAATCGCGGATCGCGATCTCGTTCGCTGGGGTTATTACCGCGGATTGAATATCAAACTATTAATTATTGTTCTCGTCTGTTATTACACAGGGTGTAACAGGACTATCGTCGCATATAACGCTACAACGTAAAAATGTCAAATAGTCCGGTCACACCCTGTACGACACGCATAGGTTTGTATAAGGCGGACGAGAATCTCAACGGATTTCACGTTGACCCGGCGATATTATGGAAGCCGCGGGGCCGCCGGGAGTGTCGGCGTACTAAGACAACACTGCCATTATTGTCGTATTGGCCGAACATTACGAACGTCCGCCACCGGTATTCATAAGGAAAAATAATAATAATATTTTTCGACTGGTGGACGCGCGCGTACGCAAACTGTTACCCAGCGTTATTATAATAACAACGGGCGCACGCGATAACCGCATGTCATAACGACCGCATGCCGGCGATCAATTTATCGTGAAACAACGCTCATGTTGTTTCAAAAAAATATTAATTTTTTTTGGATTTTGAGCGGGGCGAATAATGCATTGGTTTCACAATGATATGCATATTTGTTATTGTTATTATTATTATTTTTTTTTTTATCTGCGAACAACTTTTCTTTACCAGCAATTTTGCTCCGATTTACAATAGTGGCGTTTTTTCCGAAAGGGAAACCGACTGGGATGGTACTTTAAGGAGGTCATTTTTTGATTTTCCCAGCTATTTTCATAATAAATGGGCGAAAAACACGGGAAAAACGAGAGAACAGGTACAATATTAAACAAATATTATTAAAGAAATCATATAATGCATATTATGTAATTATTTTACCATAATATGACACATATATATTGTTGACTAAGCAACACTATTAGCCGGACTTCGCACATGAATTCTGCCTTCACTACTTTCTACCTACGCAAACTGTGGAATATCCCGTCAACGGGTGGATGGAAATTAAAATTACCAACATCAAGTTGTATATAAACTAAAACTTCATATAATATATAATATAACATAATATAGTTATGGAATTATAGTTATATATGTTGTTATTTGAAAATCGAGTGGTTTCACTTCCAAAAATATGGACAATATAAAATAATGGTAATGTAACATTTTAGATCTGCTTGATTTATAAATTTAAAAAAAACCCGAAATAAGTTAATACTTATTGAGATAATGAGTGTTTTGTTAAGGTTAATGGGCCTGTATATAGGCAGGTATTTAAATTCCGATTTATCCTAACACCAGGCACGTAGTCTCCCCCGGAATGTATAGTGCCATATTCGAATTAATTTGAGGTAGTTACGTACGTGTTTCACATGTTTTTATTGAATAGCAATTAAAATCGCATCATGTATGGCGTACAAGAAGTTTTAATACTTTTAATGTTGCGCTAAAACAAATATTTGAATTAAATACCGAAAAAAAAAAAAAAAAACCAAAAAAATTAATAACAACGCTTTAATTTAGGCAGTAGGCACGTGATTAAAACCACTAGGTTTGTGTACAATAATAAAATCATTCGCATCGAAACATAATATTTGACGTGAAATCGTTGATTTTTTCATTTTATTATATTCGTTGAAAATGCGAAACATATACTGGTAGTCACAGTTTCACGATAATTGTTCGTATAGTATTATAATATTATATAGATGACTCTCCTTCATTCGATCGGTCGATATGTGTAATATACGTAGGTGTATACCTAGCTATATTTTGTGATAACGATTACAATTTTGATGTAAAACAATATTGTATTACCAATACTGCACGTCAATAACAAAATTGAGATAACGATACGAATACGAACCTTTTTATTTTTGATTTTCGTTAGCACCGACAGCAGTGAGGGCTCTGTACGATTGTTATACTTCCTCACTGTTGCTGCCATCGTTTATTAAAGAAAATACACTGAGTGGTGTGTTTAAATCCTGTTATTCTCTTTATGGGGCAGGATCACATTAACTTAGGATACTATAACACTATGGAGAGGGATGAGCGAGGTGATCCGCCCCATCCCCTACAACGATAACTTAACCTATAG